CGACTCTGGCAAAAGGAAGATAAACAGCCAACAACGGACGTATAGGATGCTGTTGCGGTGCTGTCGAACGCTGCTCCGACAACAAACGAGTGACAGAGAAATGCGAAGCTCGATGGCTCAACTCGGCTCAGGGACACGACGAGCTTTGTATGTGTACGAACCGCATGCTCATGCTAACCGTATCTATTTTTCAATTCTCATCAAATGCCAAGCAGCAATAAATTACGAAAAAAAAATAGGATAGAATTCTAATAAAAAAAATTCTCGTAATAAACCCCTGCTGTATTAATATGCCATTATTCATTATACGTAACTTTTCCGAAAAAGTTATCAAACTACCTAGGCTGTGTTTCTAAAGCAGTTTTCTTGCCAACGTTAAAATCTTTTCGAAGTTTTTTTTGTGGATATTTTGTGTTTCGTACGCACACTTCGTTACACAAAATATATCCACAAAAAAAATATCAATGGACGTTTTGGCTCTGAATTTCTCACGTCATTATATAAGCCGGTCATCACTGATGCAATTCCTAGGCATAATAGAACAATACGCATGTGTAATGATTCTATGGCCTTGGTTTAGTGTCGCTCTTGTCATATTAGTTATTCTACATAACGTACAATGTTTGGACTATGATTTCCTGCCTTATCGTGCAAACCTAGCAGGGGCCCGTTCAATAGATTCTACACTGGGTCACTTCGACCGGGCGAAATCGCTCAAATTTCGGGTCACGCACCTTATAGATACCCGATCATGCTTCCTGTGTGACGGCGCCCCTGCTGTGTAGATCTTCCGTTTGATAGTGTTACTATCGATCTACCGCCTAGAAACGTTTCTTATTAGTCTCAGTACTGCACATCTAATCATTAGATAACACTGGCACTACATATTGAAGCGGGAGCTTAAGGATACATTATATAGTTGGTTGCCCACACTTCCATATTGGCTCAGACAGGCCACCAGGAGAACATACTAACAACAATAGGTAAATAACTAATTTATATATATACGTATATAAGTAATTCAGTATAACACTGACGGATAGTTGCGTATTTTTGAATCAGATCAACTGTCACGTTGTTATCTATCGTAAGTTATGCAACCTATAGATGTGCGGGAGCCTGGATTATCTAGACATATTCCCACAAGTTGTCGTGCAGTTCGGCCTATTTCACCGATCAATTTTACCATCGTAGCAAGCGTATATTATATGTGCGATTGTATATGTGTGTGTTTTTTAGTATATTCATTGATAACTGACATCGTAGATGGGCAGCCGCTGCACAGATTTCGACTGCAGATAGCATTATGGCATGGTGATTACTTTGGCTTTGTTCCTTATCCGTTTCGGCTCGTTTACCCTATAACTATATACGGCAGATTTAAGAAGACGAATAAAAAGGGAAACCTACGATAAGCCTTACGCCAGCTATTGTAGCTTTAGTGAAAGACAGCAAATTAAGTGGCGGATGTATCTCGTAACGATTAGGTGTTTATGAAAAAGCGGTACATCAAATACCTCCGCGATGACACGGCCGAGACTCCCTTTTTTTTTTTTTCTATAAAAACTGCCGGTGTAGGCAGAACTGGGACAGCATTCTTCGAAAAAGCAGTTAGTAGCCTAAGCAAGTAGTGACTTCTAGCTGAAAGAAGCCTCTCCTTTTGCTCACGTGGAAAATACACAGAATATGGACCAACTGACGTCAGTCTGAACACATGTTGAGCATTCGGCTGATGAAACGCTAGCCCAGTTCTGAATGAATACGTACTTCCACTTGTTCGGGTTTTTCTTTAGCGAATACGTTGAGCTCTGGATTTACTAAATACACGAATGTAATAGTTACTTTTTATAGATAATTACATATACTCTTGAATATATTGTTCACACATTTTGGTGCTAATATATATAAAACAAAATAATTAGATATTATGCAAGTTACACGAAGTTGAGAAACTCATTGGCACTTGCTGTACTTCGTGCATCCTTGATGCGCCGTGTTCATGTAGATGAGTAACGATAACGGACGCGCTTCTCGAAACGTAAAAACATCGATGCACTTGTTTTAGTCTCGAATTGAATTCACTCGCGATGCGTTACTGTCTATCGCGCTGTATATTTATAACAGGTCGTTTTCGTTATCTATCTAAATAAGAAAAAATCACTTCGTCACAAGACGTTAAGCTTATCTTCATGGGCAAATATATTTTTCGGAAGATATACGCCTTAGATTGTTCGTAAACAACGAAAAAAACAGAAATAAAATGCACCGAAATTGTTGTTCAGGGAGGTATTCCGTACACGAAAGCTACGCTGCTAGAGCCAGGAAGAGGGCGCCACCGACAAATAATGAATCAACACTATTTGAGCTCAGAATAGAAAAGCTATTTGTTTTTTTTTAACTTTGCAGTGTTTATATGCGTCCTAAAAAGTATCCATCAATTGCTGAATGGCAGCAGTTGATGAATACACCAAAATTGTTGAAAAATTATTAATCTGGAAGCACAGTAAAAACATTAACATTTTAGAATTTGAACGAAATTACTTACCCATAACGGGTGACTTTTATAATTAGTTATTTCTGTATTAGTCAGGCAGATTATACGGCTAATCTGGCAGTCTCCAGGGAGCCATATAAATTTGAGGAATTCTTAACATTACTCAGTTCCTAAGCAAGCTTTTAAGAAATAACGTTTCTTCTCAGAACTCCACAGCATAGTATATCATCTTCGGCAAGGTTCTAGTGCTGTAAAGGTATTTTTCTTTACGAATATATTGAGCGCATCATCGATGAGGGAATTAAGAGTAGAAGGAATCTACCAGATACGAAGAGAGTGCTTCGAAAAGAGAAGCTACCGTACTTTTTCATCTGGATCAGCAACCGGGAGTAGATAATTGTAACGGACCTAGAGGATGTGCCCTAAATCGCGTTGGTCCTCACTGGCTGCAAAATCGAAGTGTCGTTCATGGCAAAATATGGGCCCGCATCACTTTTTTGCCGTCGGCGTGAAATTTCATATAGTTTTTACAAAGTTACATTGTGAGACCGTACGAGAGGCATTTTTGGACGATTCGTAGCGTATAATTAAGCGGCTGTTAATATGCGATATATTTTTAGTTATATAGCAATGACAATATAATGGCTGTTACAACAAATTAACTGAATAGCAGCGAAGTCCTTGCTTGCTCGTCCGGTTTAGTTCGTTCCGTAGCCGTATTTCATGGACGGACGCAAACGTTATACATTACTGACAAGCTTTTATCTCTTTGAACTTCCAATAGAAAATGAAATAAAATATTGATAAATTAGACTTGAGCTGAGCTTGACGCAAGCAATGCGCAGGTTTGAGACTAAATTGCTCTATCAGAAGCAGCTGGCTTCATACCGGACCAACTAATCTCTAACATTCATCCCCGGGGTACACCATTGATTCACTGCTATTTAGCCTTATGGTGCTTACACCTATTGTGACACCTTTCTAAAATGTTCTGTGCTCTAATGGTACTAAAAAAACATATTTTTTTGCAGATACGGAGATTAGGTGCTACTTGATCAAAAACGTGCGTATCAGTGTAAAAAGAATTAATCAATAAGTACTTATGGTCAAAGGAAAATAGTTAGAAATGTAGTCCGTGAGAAAAATACAGTTATTACCTACACGTTTCCACCAGCCTTCAATGAGTGACTTTTCAACTCAGGTCTGAAATTTTGTCGACGAGAAGAAATATCTATCGGTATTTTTTAAATTCTTCTTACGCCTTTGGTATGATTTTTTCTGAAAGTATAAACAAAATTACTTAGTTTCAATAGTAATACCGCAACAGGCAATCTCGAACTAAAAACGTATAGGAGCTAAAAGGGATTTATCATAATGCACCGATAAAGGTATCAATATCTTTATTTCGTCTGCCTAGCTAAATGAGAATAAGACTCAGAATCTATTTGAGCACAATATATATATATATATATATATATATATATATAAACTAGTCTTATGCAGCCAGAACGCTCATTACCTGTAATAAACTGGTCATGTATGCAGCATTAGAATAGTTGACATGGAGATAATTATGAAAAAAAAACAACAAGCACGCAACCGTGCTATTATAAGTTGGAAAGATCTGTGTCTGTACTATATTCTCTACAAAGAAACTGGCAGCACAAACTGAAGACTTTGCGATGAAGTTCACTTAGACGAAGGCTCTCGAGAAGTCTAGGCTACAGGTATAAGAAACTTTGGACTTCCTAAGCCACTATGGATAAGCAGGAAAAAACAACTTTTAGGCCTAAAACGAATCAATGTCACACTTCAATACAATTGAGAGTAATTGCTACAGTCTTGGCGTCCACAAATAATTCGAGTCGTTGCTTCTTATTGGTGCACAAAAACATCGTAGTATACGAGTACGTGCTTCCATTTAGAATCCATTTTGGAAAAACACATTTCTGCCTTTGCCAGAACAGCACTATTCTGCTAGCCATTGAAATACGGTATCGAATAAAGGAGGAAAACACTTTATACAGAAATGAGCAGTTTAGTTCCGATCTCCATTAGTAGCATCTGGCACTATCTAGACCGGGCGCACTATCCCGTTAAGTCAACTGTGATATACATACAACTAACTTCTATAAGGTAGGTGTCTTGTCCTATTATTGTATGCATATTTATAAGAATATGTTTACCCTGAATTACTGGTGCTAGGCAGGCCCTTAGTAAGCAGGGCCCTCCCCGTGGAGAGGGTGCTCCAGCATACCTAGCTAACCAGACGCACACGGGATGCTTTGGTCGTCGTTGAGCTACCTACGGAGCGGAGTTACAACAGCCATCGTCCTCCTTGCCAACGACATTACTACGACACTGCTAGTTTTTCGCCTATTTTAAAAATTCACCTTCGTTTTTGGATAGGCCCTGAGTGAAGCCTACGCGTGGGCTGACTAGTAATGCGGCCGAATGGCTCAATGAATCTGCATAATTAAAAAAAAAGTAGATCAGGTATGTGCTTGTGAAAATGTCTTGCAATTTTCAAAAATACCTGAATTCATCGATATCCAGTGTCATGGCGGATAAGAAAGGAATGATACTGGTGCTCAAGTGAGGGTGTTACCGTAATAAGTGCGCAACTTGAAAAAAGGCTTAAGTTAAATTCATACGTGAAGTGAGTGATGAATTTCTGAGGTAAATGGGCTTTGAGCACTTTATCAGTACGTAAATTACCTCGCTAATGCCCACGAAGGGCTAAACGAATGCCTGATCCATTAAAACTGTCGGTACTGATTTGAGCCGAACTTAATTTGATATGCAAATGTTTATAATTTCACATAGAAAAGTGCCCACATCTACAAGATAGAGTTCATCTTTTGACTTTGATGGACTTCACAGTACTAGATGTCTGACGTCTGGTAATGTTTGAACGGTAACGAAAAAATAGGATAGCTTTATGATATAATAAGGGGTTCAATATGGGACAAAACAGAAGTTAAGAAGAAGTCGTCCAGGTGATGTGCCATACCTACATTATTCATTATTTCACTCGAGGCCTATCTCGCACGAGGCCTGAATAGTCCCCGATGGACATGATAGCTACCACCTGTTTATGTATCTGTACGACGTGAATAGGACTTGAGTGCATGGTTCTAGTGGCATAATGTCTTTCTTTATTGGCCTTAAGCAGCCTGCTATTACACGTAATATCAAATCGATTCGATCTCACCACTTGCTGCTTAAGGCTATTAGTTAGCTGTGTTATACAAGTGCAATCAGCTGAAGGGACATCTTGCGCGTTACTTTCCCTTGTTTTTCTTCATTTTATTTTGTATTAAATGCAACTCACGCTTTACGGGGTAAGTTTATGAATGTGAATGTAGTTAAATGAAAGTGAGGCACAACACGCATAAAAAGGATCTGAACTAGAAACTTACCGACCATATGTGGGTGAACCAAAAAATATCTATATGTACGAGGCCACGGCCCGGTCCGGCGTTCTTACACTAGAACAATCTAAATGATTAATTTCTTTTTACTTTTGCATTACGGTATCACCTAACTCAAAAGGTCAATTTTTTAGGTTTTGTGTGTAATAATGTTGTGCATTTATATTTGTATTAATACGGCGCTTCTTACGATTTCTCTACAATTAGAAACGGAGGCAAAATATAGCATACAACGTACAGGATCACGTGCGCTGCAGGTAGCAGCTATGATAGCAGAAAGCATATTTACTCTGTTCTATTTCATCTGGATGATAGTATACAGTTACCAGCCCATTTGAAACAAAAACCTATGGTCGCATCCACTCAAAGATAACAAACGTTTCGCAATGTCTTGGTTCCGACATGGGGTCGCGCATGCTGGATGTTAAGTAAATTTAACCCGAGTTTTGCTATAATGATACACTATAATAGCACAGCTGTTCCCTGTTCCAATTATTATGAAGTATAGATAATCCTTTGTGTTTTCATCTTTGACGGCTAGAGCGAGCATATCGGCGACTGTTTCGGCTTTCGAAGATCATTGTAGGCCTTTCTAAAGTGTTAAAGATCTCATTCAGTAGAGGCTGTCTGCAGAATTGTCAGCTTTTGCGAGACAGACGAGAGCTTAGCGTAAAGGCGATACCTCGCGCGCCGTCTAGCTCAAGCTACGCATGCGCATCGCAGCGCCCGGTTAAGCCGCCGGCCTCAACCACGGGACACCGAGCCCAAACACCCGCTCGTCGATTGACTGGGTCCTCTAAACTCAGGTAGTTCCCAACTCAGTTACCTCTGTCGCAAATTCGAACACTCGACAATACGCGATGCTTGCTAATATTTTTCTACGCTAGACCACTACAACGAGCCGTTGGAAACGCTATAAAATGTCAACGCCCGTTTGAAAGACATCAATTGTTTCAGTGTTGACATTTGTAATGTAAACGTGGCAACGGTAGACGTGATCATTCGAAAAGGTAAGCTCATTGTTTGTACTTACTCATATTACATGTGTTATATTGTGGATCTGTAAGAAACCTGTTTCAGGTATTAGATCCCTATACCACTGCCAGCAATTCACTCACTATAAAATAATACCGAGGACAGTTTGTGAATTTAGTGAAAAGCTCCTACTGCTTTTATTGTTTCATTTATTTCAGAACAGCAGCTTGCAGATTCGCAATGAATGGTTTAGACAAACCAGTGACCCAACCAGGATTTCGGCCAGATTTGGTTAAAAACCCTTCGCCGCTAGCCTCCCTCCCGAATAAGGGCGATGTCCCAAATAAGCTTGGGCGAAGTGACAGTGATGAAATTATTCGAGAGCTGAAACTCGGATTTTTTGAGAAGCTGCGCTTCAAACTTATGTCACGTGAGGAAAGAGAAGCATACCTTATAGAGAAGGTTAACAAAGAAAAGGAGCGACGTAAAAAAAGGGCGTTACTCAATGATGGCAAATAAATCCTTGAGCAGTGTTCAAACGAAGATGATGATTTCTGCTTGGTGGCCTGGTGGATAATTGCATACAGTGGAAGCCGGTTAAACGCTTTCTACGTTTCATACAATGTATGAGGTGCGATATCGCAAACTATCGTATAATCCTAATCGTGGTGCAGTGATAACCAAGATACAGCCTAACGCTATCAGCAAGGGGTCATAAAATGCAAGCCCAGCGACAGAACTGTTCGCGAGGTTCGTGGGTAAGGTCCGTTTTGATTGCCTTAACCTAAAATAATGCATAATACAATTAGACTGCGCCCCTCCTAAAATTGATTCAACGTACCAATGTGCTTAACAATGTTTCCTGTTGTCGAACTGGACTTGGCTAACTACGATGAGCTAAATATGTTAATGATTTTCCCCTGTTTGTATCCATCCATAGCTTTACGATCGCCAATATCGGGACTAAGCTATCCTCTCTGCCGGAAATAAAAGTGTATACATCATCAAGCAAATTTCATGAAACAGAATCTATACAATTCAATCATGTATACTTCAAGCAGGAGCCTCGCTTTCCGCGCTGAGACAAAAGAAAATAGAAATTGTCCCAGCTATTTTCGAGATGGTTGGCATTAGATTCGCTTCTGTTTGATTTCTTCAGAGAAGCAGCATTCGTCCCCCTTGTCGTTTGTTGTCCTAAAAAAAAACTACGAAATGTTTGAATCTAGATAGATAGTGGCGCCGACCTGCTCAGAGCGTTCCATTTGATTAGAAATCTGTATTGGCATTGTAATATTTGGGTACATTAGATGTTTGGTATCGTCTTACTTCGATCGTTTTATTTCGAGGACGACTATTCCAAGTGTTCTTTACACTGAAATAGACAAAATGTTTCATTCCTTTATAGGTGACATAAGCGTTTGTGGAGAATAAGATAGAAAGCCTGCGTAGCGAATTCAGGGGTAAATCTGAATACAATAGCGTCCAACAACTCAATAAATCTTTATTGGAGACAAGTATTACCAACGAAAGGATACCTTGCCCAGGACCATATTTCGTATTGACGTAGTATCTAGTCATTATCTAGTCAGTATCATTATCTAGTCAAACGGTTCAATCGAAACGGTAGCGGTGCGTCCACTGCACTTCGGACGCAGCCAAGTTTTCGACTAAAATTTGACCCTCGCTAACTCGAAATAAAACAGGATAGATAATATATCCATCCGTCCATCGCCACGTTAACAACTAAATACGCACGGTCAATATATATCCAAGGCTCCGTGGTGATCATCCGCAAAGTAGACTTGGCGACTAACCCTAACATAAAGGTTCGTCATACATAAAGGTTCGTCGTTTTTCTTAGGAATTTACCCTAATAACATTTTATAATACTTCTTTGATGGAACCAGCCTTATAAATTGCCCCGTAAACTAAATTAGACCAACAGTACGACGAGCAGGTTACATAGGAAGCACGGAACAGGACATTTTTATTTGGTGAATGAGCTTCGAATTCAGCTGAATACATATATCTATTTGTACTTCGACTCTTAGTTAATTCTTCATCTTCCATGTACAAGCATGTCAATCTGTTTTGTGCAAAGAAGTACGCTCACGAGGCGAGAACACGTTGCTAACACTCTATCGATACTTTAACCATGAACTGTGTAAAATTAGTGCGAATAAAGTTCGAGCACGAAACATTGTTGAAATATGTTAAATTACAGCAAACATTATTATTTTATTCGTTCATTTTAAAGTTGTGGAGGCGGTAAATGAAAATTGTCACGGGTAGCCAATTATGAAATCGTTGGATCTTGGCAAAAAGCAAAGAGCTGCTATCATTAAGGAGAAAAAAAGTTTTTTTTCAGTAGAAAATTCATTTTCGTGTATTGTTTCTTGACTTCAAGCATATTTTCAGGAGTATTTGGATCAAGAGAAGCCCGGCGTCGTGCTGTAAATACTGCAGTATCTCGTCAATCGTGCTATAAAGTAGTCTGAGATCATTGTGTCTGTCTAATGATAAAGGGTGCATGTTATATTTATATGAAGTATATAATTCGCCTGTGATGATAAAAATGTCATACCGTTAAAATTAAAATGTGATCGAAGTAATGGTTCTTGACATTGCTTAACGTACGCATAGATTGAAGCTTCGTATACGCTTCTTTATATAATAATATCTTTTTCAAAAGCATATCCACATTACCTGTTATATACGAAAGACGTACATTTGTTGAACTTCGTGAAAAAATCCTATATTTAGATGCGAACTTAAATCCTGATAGGACAACTTCTGGTTAATTTAATGGATAAATTGCTAGTAAAATAGGATTATAAAAACTGGTCATTTTAAATTAACAGAATCAGATAGTTCATGTGGGTAATTTACGAATATAAATTTCAGAAGAGCGTACATCCTAAATGCGTCGGGGTTTGGCTCATAATAACCTGGAGCCATAACTAATATACTTCTAAAGATAATTTAGCTACCCCCTGTTCTAATATGTAATTTTCGTAAAGAAATAGAGTAAAAGCATTACTCTATACTGAGGTAGACATGATACGTAATACGTCTTACCTGGCCAAGTAAATAACATTCAATGTCAGGTTTTGTTTAGAGTCTGTTTACATTCTGTCTGATGTTTACATAATGGTGTTACATATCTGGGTGTTTAAGAGTACGAATAATGACAATTTCTTTCGAAGTTTTGATACGAACTTTCCTATCAAGACTGAGCTGTACAATTGTTGCTTTTCAGGGCCATGTCACAGAACTTTACATGTCATTGGCTTCATGTCTACGTTGACGTTTGATTCCTTATAAAATATTATTGCCACTAAAATATTCAAAGGCCAACACTGTATATAACTAATAGAAAAGTTTTTCTTATTCGTATTGTATAAAAATCAGTCTCGAAACGAAAACTAGGCCTTTAGTCGAGGCAATTGTGATGAAAAACTCTGCGTTATGTAGAAAAGTAAACTAGGTTAGGTTTGAAATTAGCCATAAGATAAGCTTTCTCTAAAACCTTAGCTTACTATTCAGGATCGTATTATTGTTTTCGTTTCGATAGAACTTTCAATTAGGGACATGCGTCAGAGTCCCGATGTTGCACTAATGAGACTAACTAGTAAGGCTAGTTGGTTGCCATCTTTCGCTAACCTGACAGTGTTTCCTAGAATCACGCTAATAATAGGCTGATAGAATGGTATAAAAATCAATCGTAGTTTAGGTAGAGTTAAAGGTCTCGCAAATATCGCAAGAAGTAGGTTACATTGTAATTACTGTTTTGTCATCTCCACACTTATTCTTGTTATTACTACGGCCTAAAAGGTACATGTTTTTCTGCAAAGTTACTTCTCTACTTAGACAATGAGAAGAATTTTCTATTAAATCGTGTGTTAAATCAGACGGTTTTAACTTCGCCAATGCTTCGAACGTTTTTCTAAGTTCTAATTTTAAGGGTTGGCTATTTTTCGGTTGTTAGTGAATGTCATATAAGTTTAAAATCTATCTATCTAAAACTCTGCTTAAGTGGCCCATAAAGACACATCTACATTATAGAAATATAATACGATTGGCTTAGTGATTCTTGGCTACACTTTTTTTTTCAAGAGATTAACACTCGAACCATTGTTGCCACGTTAAGCAGCGATGCTTATAAAAACGATGGCACCAGAAGCTGGTAAAGCGAGTCGTCGATCATGAACTCCTAAGACCTTTTGTCGAATTAAGCTTTCTTCAATATATCTTCTGTTAGTTGTTATTAAGAAAAACGCGAGCTGAATATGCCTTATAAAAGAGGTGAGACCGCTGGTATTGTTGCCGCCGCATAAACGCAGCTCAGTCTATACCCAAAAGGAGCTAAAGACTGAGTTGAGGTACTTTACCTTTTATTATACCATGATTTTATGATGTGCGTACTTTTTTCCCTGATTATTAGAGAATTTACGTACAGTCCAGCTAAAACAGGTCACTACTTAACCGGAACTGAGGTAACATGTTTTGCTATTCAATTTCTTCTTAAACCTTATTTATTACAAGCACATCATGAAACGTAGCTAAAAAAGTAATAGAATCATTTGAGTGTGTGAAATTTTTGGCAGACACGTTAAAAGTACTACCATTCCCCATTTTAACCTTTTACAAGTTGATAAGATTTTGATTTTACCTTTTTCGAGCGATTTGGGGAGTGATTTTCTTGCATACGTGATTTTTCGATGTTGAGCCTCTTACAGTCTAGGCCGCAACAACACCATCAGGACGATTAACTTCGAAATCTCTCGACCCTCTAGTAACGATATTGCCATAACATAGTCTTTTGCAGTACAATAGATTTTGTTTATTGTTGTCAAACTACTGTATATCGGCTGAACTAAAGAAAAATGGCACCGCTAGCATACGGTACTTCTGTGAAGTGATCAAAGTAACAATCTCGCTTCATTTTTTAACGTAATCTATCGGGCGATTTAATAAAGAATAGAAAGTTGATTGCGGGACACTTTTGAATATACTATTCAAAAATCCGTGCTAGCTGTACCTAATTATATTTGCTTGTAGCTGGACTAGAACAGTAACGAAGAAAAACTCAGTGTCTTTTTTTCTGTTTTTAGCTTGCACCTCGATAAGCATCGAGCCGTTTTTTTTACGGGCTGTGCTGAAGTTACTTAGAATCTATATCCAAATTTAAAATTGATGTGAATGGCATCGCCTTATCAAATATATATAATGATCGGATTGCATTAAAAAATCTGGTAATTTCAATTGTATTTATGTATATCATCACCCAGACGACCGCCAGAGGTCTCTTATTCTTACTATGGAAACGAGGTATACCATCTTTGCCTATATCTTCGCTTCGTTTTGATAAAATTACAAAAGTGTGGAGTTCGATATTGTTTATCAGTTATAGAGAAGTTCGTCGTTTTACCACTCCTGATTTCCTGAAAATGCTAAATGTGTAAAAACTGTTTGCATGGAGGGCGAATGACTTCTACAGCGTAAAAAGAATGCAGAATAATCGTTTCAATAAAAAAGATTAGATAAACGTAATCTTTTCATATATATTGAAAACGAAGCGGTCTTTGAGGCCGACGCTTATAAACAAAATCTTGCCTTGTCGAAGACTTGGCCATAGAAAACATATCTTCAAAGGAAAGAACAAACGTTTCTCTACGTATTAGATGAATTAATATTTGAAAGAAATGTAAGAAATAGATTGAATATTACAACTTTGTAAGCATAATTTTTTCTATATATTTAATTCATTAAGCAATACTTTGTGATTTTATTGTATGTAGCAGAATTTGTCATTGATTTTAGTTATTTTACTTTAGGACGAAAGTTCCTGATAATCTAAACTGCACAGGACGTTAAACGATGTGCCAAAATATTTCAGCTTATGTTACCAGTACTGTAAAAAGCGTAATGCATTGATATGCAAACGTAAAAATTTTGCATTATTTCTGATTACATGTTTATATGTAAGTCATCTTATTATAGTATAAAAATAGATAGAGATCGCGTTGTGTTCATGTATCGTTGACAAACAGGTTTTTTCGAATGCTAGCATTGTTTTTCAACTCTTATACACGATACATACGGAGCGTGTTGTAATGACTAATAACTTTAATATTGCAACGAACTTACGCTACGAAAGAAAACGTTACACTTTAACCATTTACTAATCTAATTTCAATATAGCTATTAACCATTTTTTTTTTATTTATAAACATAGCAAATGCAAACTTGTTATTCTTTTTAAATAGCATTTTAACGTTCAAGGGCATAGGGGCAGCCTAAAGTGAGATCGAGTTTGTACGCTGTCTATTTTTTGTCCTTTGGACAGTCTCTAAAAATTTATCTTTTAATCGGAATAGCCCACAAATTTACACTACGTAATATCACAAAATATATTCTTATTTAGCTTATTTTTTTGTTTATTCAAAATCAGACACACAATTCGTTATCTCTTCCTATTTCCACTTCTAGAGCTTTGTCTGTATATCAATATTTAACAAATGATATAACTGCAATTAATGATTATAAAAAAATCTAGTCTTCGAAAGTGGTTAGCCCATACCTAACTACTAATAACGTACATAACAATGTGCAATGAATAGCAGGTAAAATTTATCGGTCCAGTCATTAAAACCTTGTCGCGGTCGAAGCCATCGTGGAATACGGTTGTCGGACATTTCACTTAGTAGATATCTGAAGCTACTCGAAACAGGAACATTTACCTTATTATGGTATGCTGCGAAGCATAAGTTACAGTATAATTAGTTTATGTACACTGAATAATTATATATACTTATATAGACAGTGTTTAATAGTTTTCCTTTATTTGTAGTGCTTAAATTATTATTTTACGTAATAATACTAGTCTAGATGTGATTTATTTAATTTATTAATTCAATTCTGTTCAGATTTCGAAACCGTCGTTTTACTATGGCCTTTTTAATCTAATAGCCTGTCTACGAATTCCATATATGACAGCTAAAAGCCTGTGTCGAAGCTTCCATCGCCGGCTCCATGCCAATTTCATAAATGATACTAATGGAAACTAATATACTAAATATAAAATTAACTCGTTTGGTTAAGAAAAGCTTCAAAGCTAGTAGAAGTGTATTTTAATAATATTTACATTTTTTTTGTGTTTTTGTAATATTTTGTCGTCGGTGGAACTTAGAGAAGCCTAAGAGAAGTTTACGCCTTATTATGTCAAACCTTCTGTCTGTGTACGCTAAGTATTAAGAAACAGCTTTACATCTATAACGAGGACTCTACAGACTTATAAGACGAACAATTATCTTGCAACTATTAATTTATTACAATAGTTTAAGATATCATCTGGAATTATAGAAAAAGTAGCGGAGCTCGCTCGGATGAATTTTTGGACGGCTCCTATAAAGGATATTAAATTTCCAACATGCCACAATTAGATTATCTATATAATTAGAATGTTTCTATAAGACAGTCGATATTAAATCTAGAGCAGCTTAACTATGGCAAGCCACGAACAGATTTGGAGATGGAGTCTTCGCCTTTACGATTACTTAGGACCGTTTGTTCAAGCGGCAATCTCTTACGGACAAAGGCAGACGGCGAGTGTGGTGACGCGTATCGACGGCCATCCGAGAATACGGTGGCGCGACTATCTCACTGCGACAAACTTAGTCGAACTCCTCATTTGAGATGCATAGATATCTAATATTCGGTAGCTAAACGAAGCACTTTCATGAAGCTACACGCACTTTAGGGCTCAAATTTAGCCCCAAAAATATTTGGTGTAGATCTAAATGAACGCTATCTTGGATACGCAAAATGCTGGACTAGCTAAATATTATCACCTGGCTTGGTCTTCAAAATGCGCTCGAACAGTTAGGCAATAAGCTCAGCATCGGCCTAGAAATTTATTTAATGTTCCGCGATATTCCGAGGCCAATAACACATGGCCTCTAGAATCCTGTAAGCATAACTCGATTTCATTTAGCACATAATTCATCTGACTGTTCCATAAGGTTAGTACGGATTATTAGAGGAATAGGACTTTATGACAACTGTTGTGGTAATTATGTTTTATTTATCTGTTGAAATTAGGTTATTTATGCCCTCTTAATACATATCGCCACGGGATCATCTGGGTGGTTAATACCTCTCTTAAGTGCGTTACCATGGTAATCATAAACATGCGACCATTTCTGACTCAAGTTTCAGCTTTGGCAAATGGTTTCCATGACATATTGCCGTCATGGCCGGTCGTGGGTCTGTCATGAAAAAAACGAAGGAGCCTAGCAACGACCACACCCTGCACAGCCAATATCCGATGGAAAGAAACATGGTGTAGGGTACTTCTTATGGGAACCGACACTTTTCAATGGAAGCTTGCCTTTTGCAGGCTTCGGCGGGGCGCTAAAGTAAGCCTAGTTTTGCTGTAGACCGCTTCTTGGATAACCTCCGTAAAAATACCCAATCCTCACGAGTCAGATCCTGAGTAATCCAATACACATGATCAGTTACATATGTATTAGTCTACACAGAATTACGCAAGCCAATTCATAAGTAGGAAACATGGCCTATTGAGGGCAATTCCCTACTCAGCGATAAACCCAAAGGCTCTAATTGAAAAAAAATAAATAATGATAGTATCGGTATTAACTCCGTCAGAAAAGCTTACAGATGCAAAATTTTTGTTTGTTCGTCTATATGATAAGTCATGGTTTGACGTGAACAAATTCCAAATAGATCCGGGGATCCTTTCAAAAGCGATCGCAAATTCATTTAGTTGTAACGCACTGTGAAATTTCGGTACTTTTACTTAATTTTGCACCAATTAAACACCGATTGTATCTTATGGCACATTGATACTTACTTTTTTCCTTTGAATCACGGTTTCTATTTCGGATTCACAGCGCACACGTGCTGCATAAGCGGATGAGCTGTATACTATTTAGTATTACGGGCTATATTGGAGATTTAGTGAGCAATGGATACCGTCACTGGTCGATTGTATTTACCGACAAGCTAGTACAGATAAGATGTACATGCATACTGTAGTCATTTTTTCCTAGATTATCAAAATCGTTGCGCAGACGAGCGTATCACATCATTACGATTAAGCTTTTGATTGGAAAAGAATAGAGATCCGTCCTTAATACCCTACCGGCAACACAGATGCTCCATAATTAGGTAGATAAAAAAGGATATAATTTTTATTATTCATTATCTTCTTCCATATGTCCAAATAATGATATATGCAGTTGTCTATACCACAAGAGTAACTAGAAGAGTTTTTGCCACAGCGGTTGTGACTCTTATATAGTCACTCATTATTGTTCACTTCGATGCTATTTAACTCATGCAGTCACTTTCTTATCCATTATTCTTTTTGGATTCAATCTTTTTATAAAAACAAGACATTCTGTTTAAAGGCACGCTTTCGTTTAGTGAGATTATTTTTGAGTGTTCCATTTTTCTACTTTCTTGCGCGCGTGACCTTTTCCGAGCAATAAGAACTCCTAGCGTTCACACTGCTCCTCACTGAGGATGACTTTCGAAGCGGAAAATTCCCGCTTGACCACGTGATATGGCCCCACTGTTTCCCTCGCCTGTTTCAAACCGCTCGCCCCTTTTCAGGCTTCACGAGCGCCCTCCTCCTCCTCCTTTTTTAGGTCCGCGACTCCCGAATGGGTAACTCTCTCCTGCGGTATAATGATGCCGTGCGTATAGTACTACACACACTTCACTGTACCATCTCCGTACCCTATGCCGCCAGCATCCTCTATATCACAGACTTGGCCGTGATGCCAGAAGGAATGAACTAAATCGACTAGCGATCGTTAAGAACACATGCTGGGTAAATGAACGGATTTCTATGGTCAGATAGAGATATAACGGCCACAGCGGTGCGTGCTTGCAGTAGTGCCATTTGTCTTCGAAATATATATATGTATATATATACATGATGGCATCAAACATGCCATCAGCCAGAGCAAGATTATATAGACGTGAGATAGTGCCACTGTTACAAGAAGGCTTTGCTTCAGACGTTACTTGTTCGAGAGAGACCAAATAGCGTCGCGATCTCTTTAATGCGCGAGTCTAGTTGGCGACAGGTACCGTTCTCACTGTGCTATTACACGATCTACTGTTAGATAAGCGAAGAAGTGTGCTCGTCTATGGATGTATGTACGCTTAATGACGCAAATGTCTCACAGTTCTTCCATGTATGTAGCTATATTCATTCGTGTGTCCTTCCTATGGTCATTGACATGCATAGGTCGGCAGCCTGCTATAGAAGTCAAGCTCAAGGGCACTTAGCGTTATTGCATTCTGTCTTGTAAATCTCTGAGAATAGATGTCTCGTTTCAAAAAGAAATACCGTTCTCGTCCGTCAGTAGAACAGTGTCAATAGAACGAGACGAATTGTGTACCAAGAAGTCAGTAGATCCGTTCCATATTGTATGTACTAGGAGATTTCATATCACTTACGCAGTTTATTTTTATAGCGGGGCGAGGGAGGTCGCGGCAGGGAAACATGCCGACTTCACTGGACGCGGCACGTCCATCCTTCGCCGGCTCCTCAGCCGGGCCCCGGCTCCGTTGCTGTAGAGTGGTGCTCGCGTGTGTCCGTGTGTGTCTGAGCGTCCTGTACCCCCGTACCAACTTCTCCCGCACCCCCGAAGGACAAGGCAGCACATGTGAGTAACATGGTGTATGATGCGTTAATGTCTTTGGGTTCAATTGAATGTGATTTAATCGTATTTTACTTCATGTGCATATACCAATGAGGGCTAAACAATATCACACGTGCGGCGTAGTGCTTACGTGGCCTTTAACTGTTCCGAAAACTGTGACGGATTGTTGGATTCAGCGTTTTTTCAGTTCTAGTTTCAACAAACGTTTAAGAGCGTAGCTCATTTTGTATGACCAGGGCTGAAAGATTGTATAACAGTGGGTCCCCGCGTACACTAAATACGTGTACTGCATGCATTGCCAGAATAAAGATTCGCTCGAGACATATACAATACACAACACGCATATATATCAGCTTCTTGCGGCGAAAGCGACCGGAACAAACTGTGCTTTGTTCGCCGACCAAACAATGCGGGGGAATTCAAGCATTATAACGTTGTTACAGCCAATGCTGGAGGTGACAAGGCCCTTTTGGGAACGCATGCTAGTCTTGTTCGTCTTTCTTTAATTAAAAACACCATGACAATACGTCCGTCTCATAAGAACACCTGCAGATGTCACAGACTAACATAATTTAGCGTATTATTGCCCTTTTTTTTACGTGGAAATTATTTAAGTGAGAGGGCGCGACATTTTCAACAATTTTTCGCTGAAATTGCATACCCTAAACCCGCATATAGCTCATTTCGAACGGTTTCGCTAACCATGAAACGGAATCGTGTCACTTCGTCATGCCCCCCACATTCGAGGCTTGCTATGTGCAGTTCCATGTTCTTCAATAAGTTCGAGCTTCTAATTACCAATTGCCTTCATTGCTTTCTGTCATGGGGCCAAAGCGACGTCGAATAAAGTTAAGCTATTTTATGTTATGACGTTTACGTGATGCGCAACCGAGAATTGAGTAAAAAGTCATTAATGAGCCTATATCGAGCTTTTTCTATGCTTTGTCGTACAGACATTTGTGCCGGTGAAAGATTTGGACACTTTTCACGCATTGGCAAGCCACAAATGCATTTTGCCGTTTTTCTTTTAGTTCAAACGAACGGTTAACACTAATGGATCTATCCCCCCAATAAATCAAAGAGTAACTAATGCCGTTCCAAAAGGTATAGGCTGAAGATATCCGTTACGCGTATATACTATTTCTGTTTGTTGATTATGACAGAACGATTTATGCAATGGAAGAATCAACTATTTATTTTTTATATTATTATTTCTTTAATTATATTATTATATCATCACACTTATAATGGAGAGTTCTCGGCGCTGTAGCAAAGGAATCATGCAAATATTCAGCCCCGTCGTTTTTGATGCCCTCTCCGTAATTAACACACAGCGGACTTAGTGGGCATTCTGCAATTTGGATCGCTGTGTGTAAATTTTAAAGGCCCCAAACGATGTGCTGATCTCACCTAGTTTATTTAAAATGTATTATTGCTTACGTACGTTTAGAAGGAACAGCTAGTAATGGCGTTGCCTTGAAACGTCAAATATCATTCCGGTACATACGAATTTAATTTTAATGATTTCTAACGATACGTGTTCTAATTAATGCTCCTCAAATGCTACGCGTCTTGACAGTTGGAAAAAGTTCTGCTCGTACCCCCCGGGTCCACAAAAATATACTGGGAAAAAGCGACGCGTCTTTTGAGCTTGCCAGGTATCCATACTCACAATGTGGAAATAATGGACGAAACACGGAGTAAGTCGATAAGTGTTGAGCCGAGCATTGCAAGAATAACACTTTTATATTGCCCAATATTTTAGACTGATCTGAAAATGGCAACGCTTTATAAATTTTCGTTCAATTAGTCGAGAGCCGATTAGAGAGACCTCTACAATCGAAAAAATAAACGATGCCGTTCGAATATCAAGGATATGTTGCTCGTGTAAATTTCGACCAAATTAATAATATTGCGTGCCAAAAACACCGAAAGTGAACATCTTGTTCTCCGAAATGTCTGTATATAACGATATTCTGTGCTGGAATACTTAGTGTCTTTTTTTTCTTACTCGCCTTTATCTGTCCCGTCGTGCTTCATGTATCGTAAAATCTCGGGGACAAAAATGTCAGGAACGTTTTGCTGACTACATTAATAGATACGGAGAATTTTTCAAGCCGTTAAATTAAACGGCATGGCCTATTTTAGAGGCATAATAAGATCTCCATAATTGCTCAGTGATCTCTGCTAGAAGAAATGGCAGCAATGCTGAAGGAAGCCGCAACGATTAGATCTCGTGCAGTGATATAACACCAGCTTTAATTTGCACCGTTGAAATAGAATACACACGGAACTTGTGAAGCCGTCCAGACGGAATAACTGCTATTGAAAGCAATTTTAATGTATGACTATATATAGTATGTTAGTATATACAAATCTGCCTCAGATCATATGTCATAACGTCCTTCAAGGGTTGAATCACAACTGGTTAATCTAAATGAGGGCTGTTCGTGGATAGTTCCTTCATATAAAAAAAAACTCCTTGGCCTGTCTTGTTCAATGGCAAAAATATTTATCTTCTGGAATATTCTTATTGGCTTTGAAGTGCGTCAAATCAGAGTTATTCTAGCATTTCTCCAAACGCACGTGAGCTATGCAAACTGTATAATTCGCTTAAATAGGCGCTAGTATATTCACAGGCGTACCTTAAATAGTACCCGAGCCTGTTGGGGTTTGTGTTTGATCGTTCATAATGTTTCGGAGCGCTCGAGGGCCCCCGCGTAGAATTGCAACAGATTATTAGTAGGATACTATAAAACGTTGCAGCGATTTTTACGCGAATAGGCGATCATGGCGCACTTCTAAAAAATGCTCATAGGGAGCATTCGGCCTGTAAGTACCTCGCGCAAATTGTGAATAGACTATGCCAATAACAGCTGCCTAGAATCCCATAGTAATTCTATGTTTTTTTTTAATTTTCATTAAAATAATTGTTCGTAATGAAACTACAAAAAGCTAGAGACATTGAAAATTTCGGCTTTTCGAGCTCTGCGAATCTACATTCCGACTACCTTGTTCACTCGCAATTCTATCAAGGACAACGCCTTTAGAGGGAGTGTCCCAATAGCTATTTCGCACAACGAGTATTGGTCGATCAGTTAATCTTATTATGTCATTTCTTATTAAATAATTGTATTCTATATACACGATGCGAGACCACCTGTTTTCTATGATAAACATTTTACTTTTGATGTGCACGTTTTTAACGCAATTGACTGGTTAGAATCAATGTTTGAACAGGTGTATTGTGTTAAAGTAGAGGAGATAAATCTGTGAGAACAATGAACAAATCTGATCATTATATTTTATGTTACTTGTGACACCGTGACAAGCTTTTTAAGATTTGCTTGCTAAATAAACTTAGTTCGCTAGTGCAGATGTGGGCGTACTTTGTGCACGTTCCCTTAATGCGTACGCGTATTCAAATCGGCCTTCCGCGGGCAAGCAGGGATTTTGGTAAAGCACGACGGTAAGAGGCCATTGAGACAAACGACGCACGGTTAAATCAACATGATGAAAATTTGGTGGACACAGAATGCTCATGCGGGTTAGGAGGCCGAAGGCAGTGTGATATTTTGTGATGAGCAGATCCGTTTTATGGGCACACGTCATCTAATACGCTCCATCTAATCAGTGATGAATAAACGACGGTTGGTACGAGCAAACATTGAAAGGATTTACCGGGTAGAGCTTTCGAAGCGTCTTCGTTCAGGTCGCCACGCGTGGTCACACTTGATGTAAAACACTTGTCGACCGCGTATAATGTAGTATAACAATTTAAATAGCGGATTGATAATGAGTCATGTTTTCTATTTTCCAACCCCTACATGTAACGCCAAACAACGGAACGGGAACGGTTTTCAGTTGCGAACGTATGTGCATAGGCACAGAAAACGTACACATATAACGCGTGTGAATGATACATGATAAAGAGAGTACAAAGGAAGAATGTAATGGAATAGAAGTCTAATTCACTTGAGGGATATACCTCGCAGTGTATTACTACTGAGGATCTAAGTTTAAAAGATGATCAGAGCAAAATGATAAATGAAAGCAGTGAAAATAGAAAGCAAATACAGAATCTAGATTTTATTTGGCGTCGTAGGTGACCATTTACCTTAATCGCTATAGATAAACAACCGACATGTCGTAAGGATTGTTGATGGCTAGCTTTGCTAAGAATTTCGACAAAGTGTCACCTATTCGTCTTCTAATACGATGGATGGTTTTTGTTTCAATGTCATTGTCTCTGATCTGATTCGACTTACTTGCACATCAGCTCGTTTTCGGCCGTATGACGGGAAAAACGTCCGGGGTCGTCGTTCATTTTATGAGAAGTAGGCCGCAAAAAGGACACTCGTGTGTAAAAAAAGATACCTTCGTTGGAGTACTTCTCGTTTGTAACCATTACTTAGATCCTAGATTTTAGTTCGCCTAGAAAATAGTAACTATCACATATTTTTCTCAGTATAATAAACAATGCTTGCTAATATCTTGCATGAAACTTTATTGAAACGTTCTAATTTACATAATTTTTTTCTTATAAATAAGGGCAGCTTCAATGCTATTCAATATTATTAAACATCCGGCATGCATTTTTTTTAATTTTGTTTTCAATTACTCTGAAGACGGCTACTTATGGGCAACATGAGTCAATGTAATATGAAGGGAATATAGTCGTTGTTAAACAATGCGAGAATATCTTTGTTGATATAAGACGATTTGCTTTGATGCTTGGGCTATTTTCACGTAAAGACGTTATTTATATGAACGCTATAAGCGATTTACTGACGATCGTTCGGTCGGCGTGCAAACTACGATTATTGCAAAGGACCAGCAACTGATCCGCTGTGTTTAGGTTTATATTACCCTTAGAAATATATCCTGGTATATAACATGATAAGTCGAGATTTAATTTTTTAAACAGAAACCAATTGTGTAGCGGTGATTCGCTTTCACAATGGTATGCAGCTCTCAAATTGAGCACAATAACAACAATGATAACATGTAAATTTTGACAAAATCTGAAAAAAATTTATCTCAGGAACCGGATTTTTTGCCTGCACTTCTTTCTGCTGTAATTCTTTAGAATTACAAGATTAGAATTACCGTGGTGTTTTTTTTAAATCAATAACTGTTACGATAAACGATTAACTCAAAGGTCACCCCAATATATTATATACTATAGTATTATAATTAGTTATTGTCAACGCAGTATTATACATATTAATTGATAGTGAATCAATTAGCGTCATTAAACGATCAGGTTTTCAAAGGACAACTTAAGGAACGTAATTAATGTCTTGACTGAAGGTATGTTTTGTTTCTTGTTGCCCAACTGGTCTAGTGCAACTATGCATTACCATCTAGAGAATCCATAAGTTTATTGAGCTGAGGATACCTTACACGCTTCATATGATTCTGTAGAAGGGCACTCTGTCCACTTTTCCGGAACCCCTCAAGAGTCTATTTAGTGACGAATGCGTACCGTGAAATCCACAATGCTAATATTATATGTAAGCATCTACTGTACATCTCCTTATTTCTTTGAGTGTTTCCTTAAGCGTACCTAGCGCTTGGATTAAAGGTTTTCAGTAATGTGTTCACGTTTCGCAATACGACGATCATTTCTTATTTACCATAGCTATAATTCTCTCTCGTTTCGCGATTCACATGGCTGCGGCGAACCAGTAGACACCAATGCCACCACCGATTCCATAGAGCAGGTCATCTGAAATGCCGCTTTTTCATTAGAAAAAAAACGCTTGATTATAGCGCAGGCGAAATCACAGTATTCCAGTGCGAGAAAAGCAACAGTGGAAAAACAAAGGAAATCATTTAATGGATTTTGGTAAGATGAAACATAATTTTTTTTATCTATGATGATGGTTGATCACAACTAAAACAGACGACAAGCCCAATATGTATGTATGTATATATATATATATATATATAAACGAAATAAAATGGTATGCCATCTCAATATAAGCGCAGGACGAGCCGCTGCAAATGGCTCATCCTATCTACTTAATAATGATCCGTCCCATTATGATAACAATAGTAGAATGCCGGCGAATGCGGATCAAGCCACGAAGAAGCTACTGGAATTGTAGACTGATTAAAAATCGATTATGGTAGAATCCGACTGTAGAATATTTAAGCGATCGACCGAGGGGTATAAATGCTTCGCTGCCGACCGAAGATGGCTACGGCAGCAGATCGTGTTGCGAGTGCTCACACATTTGCAAAAAGGGGTCTACGTTTGGTCCGGCCTAGAGATCTGTGGAGGAAGAATATAGGTAAGCTTTAACGTGAAGCTGTACGGGCGCCTTCCCCTGAAAAGACAGAACAGTTGTTTTGTCGAGGACAAGGCTCAACAAAAACACGACATTCGAAAGGCCTCAATCGGCAAAATTAGGTTCAAGGCTTTTGAGGCTCGACTGTACGGTCCTCTGGCGGTGCTTTGAAAGCTGTATGTTGTGCTAACCTTCCGACCTTGACGGGAACAACTTCCGACAGCCATACCAAGCCGGTCTAGGTGATTTTACAAAACTTTATCCTTATTATATTACCTAAAAAATGCGGCCAGCAAAGAACGGGTACCTTTTGGTGCAGCTGCAACAGGAATGGGCGCGTTAAAGTGCAGTGTGCAAGAGCACAGTGTGCTGCGGAAGTGTACAAGTGTAGCACTATACTGTTCACGAATCTGCGCCGATGCATCTTCTGAACGAAGCGTCGAACTGTCGCTGACAGACGACTGAATCAAAGAACTCTGAACATCCAGCGGCGATATGTATATACAAAACTTATTTTTTATTCATTTTCATTTATTCCAATATGCGGATAGTATTGGATACGCTTCGTGAAAGACTAGCCCTTTAATCAGCATTTAACTGCGCCTGCATTAAAGCTGAATTCGGTAATTCCTTTCAAGATTAAGCGAACAGCAATAGCACATCGAAATGGTCACATGGTGTATCTGATTCAGGCTGGTTATTGGATGAAATATTTCTACAATAGAGCTGTAAAGATTTCCCAGAGAAAATACGAAAATTCTAACAAAAAAGAACACTTAAAAACACTTTCGAGAGCTTCGAAAAATATGGTTGTGTTCGGTATGCTTCAGCATTTCGATAACGGAGAAATACTGTAAATCATCGTGATACGCGTGGTTTACATTAAAGAGTTAGTTAGACTTTTTTTTGCGTATCTTAAGCGTAAAGTTTATGATCCTTAAGACTACTTCTGGGTACGTATACATATGTACAAAGGCATCATATGCTAGCTAAGGAAAGTGGAATGGTCCCTAAGCGAGATATTCTCTGTTCAGATATGTACCGCCTCGCGTCGTTGTCGCCTGGTTAGGACTCCGCGTAAGCTAGTGTAGCCATTGTAAAGATTAGCAGGATTTGACTAAGTACCTAAAACGGACAAACGAACCTGTGTTATTTGTTTTAGGAAAAGCGGGTCGACGCAACGAATAGGGTAGCAGTAAATAAATGCGCAATCAGTTTCATGTGGTAGAAAAATTGATTCGAGCGTATACCTGAAAACGAAAACTGTGAGCTGTACTGTTGCACGAGGCACGTATTAGGGCATATAGTTTAAAATATAAAACGTTATAGTAATTATTTGTACTAACCGATGTAGATGAATTCGTAAGTGGTGTAAATTATGTAATTTCCTACACAAAAAAATTCGCAATTCAATCAACCCATTGAGCTTCTTCTACAAGCAAAATTCAGATGATATCTTGTGCTTGGGTAACGTTCAGATGATTGTGCATATCGTGCACCTGACGCGCATTAGATATCATACACCGCTCCGAAGTTTCAACTCACGCTAACTGGATAGCGTTAATTACTCAGCCAAATTAGCTGCGAACTGGGCGCCCGATGTCCGCTGATGCCGCCGCCGCCGCCACTGTTGTAGTATGTTCTGTAGACCTGTAAACGCGCATGAACGACTTTCGTTTCATTCAAATTCAACACATGTGTTAGCATGAAATTTAACGCCGGCTAAGGCAGCAAAGGTACCGCCTCAAAGACTATGCTTCTGTTTGACGCTAGCTGTTACCGCCACCGTCTATGCAGCTTCCATCACATGTCTTCCTCCTCTCTTACCGTCTGCATGATCGGCGCAGACCATCGTCGACCCTGTCTAGATCTTATCCGTCCGGCGATAACAGACCTGAAGGTCGAATTCGACGACTACAGGCCAACGCTAGTGTCACTGTCGCATAGACAGACGTATGTCGTGGCTATCCTCAAGGTACTTTTCGGATTAGAGTTACTTGAAGCTCCGTACAGCCTTTGCTCAAGACTAAACGGGAGCTAGATGATTCCAGCTCTTGTAGAAGCAGCATAATCTGTGACTGTTCATCACGAGCTCGTTTGGAAGCTTTACCAGCGTTCTAACCAATTGAATAACGGTGTAAGTATCAGTTAATCTGACTAGCAGCTTTTTTGTACACTATAGCCTTCTTTCGGTAATTTACATTTTGGGTGAGGTGGGCGAAGAGCACCTAGAAAAGGAGTAAGGCTAAAGATTCGGTAGACGTGCACACCTACACGCGTTCACAGACCTGAAGAGTCTTCGTCTTTGTTAGTCGGAATCTAGTGTAACGTGAAAATAAATGTCGGTAGTGAAGCCTGTATTACAGTGTGTCGAGGATTGCGGGAATCAAAATGATCTCAGACTTAAGAAGTCTCTTTTGCAGCCTCAAAGCGTTTGGTTCATCTCTAGTTTTGTGTAAACTTTTTGTGTGTCGTGTGCTCCGCTTAAAAGAACTGAGCATGTTTTATGAACTGCGAAAGTCTATATGATACCTGTTAAGGAATAACACAAAAGTCACGACAAGGAGAATGTAAATAAGTGTTCGCTTACTTATAAATCCATTTCAAGATCATTGCGTTTATCCGCAAATGCAAGAACAGCTATTAAGCCAATGGGATGGAAGCAATGTATTAAATGAACCTCATTATTCAGTTATTTTTCGTCTGGAGCTCTTTGGCGCAGAAGTGCTGTTTTAGAGAATCGCTAAAAAATCGTGCGCCTAAAAAATCGCTAAAAAAAAACTGTGCAAGAACTTTCGTATTTGAGGTTTCAATATATTATAAATTCGAAATGAGAATTATCAGACAATTTACCGATATTACAGGCATTAACGTAAGTCGAAATTACGCTATTTGAGAACTTGGGAAACTTATATTATTACCTCGAATTCGAGATAATCATCGTTGCTTTCCTCAAGCGTTATTAGTTAATAATAGTTTCTTGGGCTTGGTAACGATTTCTGGTATTCAGGAAGTTTTCTTTCACACTTTTCCAGCCGAACATGTTTTAATTGTATCTATGTGATAGTAATCTACTTTAGCTTTTCTGGTTGGATGCAAGTGTACATAGGAGGAACGCGCAGGTCTTCCAACGATGGCAAATTATGTGTTAGATTCAAACATGTGACGAGGTACATAACAGAGTTGGTTAGGTCTCGCATTGCGATGGTTACTTCAGCATTCATGAGATATTTTGTAGTATTTCTGAAAACAGATGCATGTGTCTTCGACATACAATGAAAATTTTCTCTGCCAAAAAAACTCTTCTTTTTTTTCGTGCTCTAAATTTTCTAATATATTCGTAATGTACTTTTCAATATCGTTAAAGATTTTTCAAAACAGTGTTCAAAGTTCCCAGAGCAATCACGTCGACGTCTTCAATCAGCACCAGCTATGATTTGTTGCAAGTGGCCACGTAGTGACGGCTTTTCGTTCCTGGTTCGATTCCGCCAGATTTAGTTTTCATAGGTACTCTTCTCAATGTCAGATCGACACTTCACGTTTGTAATATTTGTAAAAATATCTGGTGCACGAGTTATAAAAACTGTACATTAATACGGCTCCCATTTCGTGCTGGTGTTAATTTCTTTTGAACATTTTTAGTATATGCGGTAATTGAGTATCCATCAAGAAGTTTGATCATATAGAAGCACTTCAAAGTGCGTTACTCTTACAACGGCATATAACTCTAAATGAGAATGCGTAGAAGCCTGGGTCTAGTAACCTAATCAGTGTGATGATGTGAAAACCAACATAGTCTTGTGATATAAATCGTATAGAAAGTTAATGACTGTACGTAAGTTTTCGTATAGTTGTTGCATTTATGTTCATTTCAGATAATTATGAGAAGTCGAGCAATGAAGGGCATCCAGGAACAATGCTTAGAGGGCGAGCCAATCTGTGGAATAATTAATCGGCGACTGCTCCCGGCCAAGCTTCATCTTTTCCTCTACTGCGGCTGTAAGTGAATGCTCTTTGAGCTACGGTATAATTATTTGGGTACAGAATTATTATAGAGAAATTATTTAGTTAGTTCTATCGAAATGAAAATTTCAGCAAGATTTTAAGCTTGGATAATAATTATAGATGACCTATTGGCACTACAGTAAACTTGATGTTGGGATGCTAGTGTATTTTGCTCGTAACCTGTTGCTTACAAAGTAATATAGAAAACCCAATGACCTACGCAGTTTTTTCTTCTCCGTTGTCATAGGTCTATTCTTTTTTTATTATCAGTGAAAGCAGTGCATAAAATTCGAAACAATTATTAGCTCTTACTGGTTTTCGTTAAATGATCGTGACGTAATCATCATTTAATTAGTGATTGCGTCTACTATAAACATTTTTGTAACGAAAATTCATTCACTGATTCATATTCGTCTACGATGCTGGTATGTACACATCTAAAAATAGGAGCTAGGAGTGCATTTTATGCCCCTATAGGTGTGGCGCTGTGCTACTTATCATTAGACTGTTTTTAATGCTTTATCGTAGAAATTATAGTAACTCTTTAAAGGAGAACTCGGAAATGCCTACGCTTATTTAAAGCTACTGTGAGGATCTATACCTGAGTTCGTTGCGAAGCTAAAATCTCGATCCTACAATAGATTCGCTTTGCAAAATGTCAAAAGTAAACTAAACGCTAAGAACGGCAGGACTTTACAACCGTTTTCTATGTCAATTCTCTCTTCTTCTGATCCTTCCAATTCGATAATTAAATAGAGTTGCTGAAATTCCTCACTATATTAGCTATAGCATGAATATCTCTATGGCCTAACAACGAGAATAGTTTCTAAAAACAAACTGTTTAAAAACAAAGCAATTATACACTTAGTAACATGCGAAAATATCTTTGATGTGATCAAAAAAACACTTGGTTGCAGCTCTTCATGTTTAATAATGACTATGAGTAGTTTTATCAAAACTGGTCATTTTGATAAGATTGTTGCAGTGTTATACTTAACGGAAGTTCTGCCTAATTCGCTATTGATAAAAACGTTTAGAGGCAGTTGGCTCTCCTACTAATTTGAACACTTAATCATGTACCAAAGCAGGTAAAATGTTTTCACTGATCTTATTTGATAATAATAGGTTTCTTAGCGTGTCAAAAACTCAATAAAAGTATCTCAGTCTAACAGTTTTTTTTTTCTTTTTGATAAATCTGTACGACTATGTAACTAGTAGTCTTTTGATGTCGAAATGTTTCCTATTTTTGCTTAGTATTAAGCTACGGTTGATTTCGTTTCAAAATTTAGTGAAAATAGTTTTTAGAGGTTATATAATCTCTACAAATAATACATCTCTGATGTGTCTCCAACAGAGATAGAGATTAAAGGACCTTCAAGGACTTACTATTTTTCGTCCGGTCTGTGCCTTCACACGACCTCTGTAGACGCCGTTGTCTGATATCAACGTTGATCCTGATGTACGGCAAAAGCAACAAACGTCTAATGGTCAGAGTTGAAAAGTTTCATTTTGTCTGTTTCAGAGAACACGAAAGAATCGCCCGTTTCGACCTGTGTCGATCAGATGTTGGCCGGGCCGGACGAACGACTGAGAATGAGTGAGAAAGATGATAAAACTAGTTGATATTGCGAAAACATACTGATGGTTCAGCGTTTCAATTAGTCACTTCAGTGTCATGTCTTTATTTAAGAGAACTGCTCGTTTGAGCCCTGTCTACCGAATGTATGCGTGATTAAGAAATGAATTTTTATATAGGGGTACAAATTTATGATCTTAGAAGTTAGGTTACCACTCTTGATGTCACTGCGTGTCGCATAATATCGTAGAAAGTTCAACATTAGTTCAGCAAGTTCAGCATGAACTTCTGCCTACTATACGGTAGCATATTATTGTTGCTATATCTTTCGCGGCTGGAATCCACTTTGTGTAAACGACGGCCTAGGGGTCCTGTTTGTCCCTTAGATTAAAAAAAAATCGATTTGCTTTTCTTTTCTCCTTCTCTCTGTCACTTGAACTGGTCGAGCTGAACTAGAAGCTGTAAACTGAAGACCCCGCGCCGTAAATGCATGTTAATTAGCAGATGCCCGAGGCCATTATTATCGGAGGAAAAGCAGATGCCACCAGCGTGATTGCCCTTATAGACAATGTTACCAAACAATAAAGTGGAACAGAGAGAGAGAAAGAGCGTGTCGTGAGTACGATCTTATCAACAGTCGAACGATATCCAAAGCCTTTGAGGTTTAAGTTTACCAGTCTGCACGCATATGCGTAGTTTGCAAACCTTATCCGGCTACTCAGAACAACACTCAACAAGGACGAAACCTGACTCCAAGGCATCCTGTGTTTAGTTCCATCAGCATACTATACGCAGTCCTGACAAGCGATTTTAGCCTGTACTGGTTGAAACTGTCGATTGCGAGGAAACATTTTGACTACACTGAAATTATATAGCGTTAAGCCGTGTAACAAATTAATTTAATGCATTGCCAATTAAGCTGGCTCTAAAAGAGCAGAGATTCTAAAGCAGTACCCCTCTTTGAATATTGATCTGAAACTCTGAAGCTTATACCGACCCAAGAGACGACCTTCCATTAACATGTATTAGACAGGATGTATGATTCAGCATACGCTTCCCAATAGACCCTTAAAATGGTCTATGTGCTTCTAAAACAGGTAGGGAAATGGTAGCTGCCTGAAAATTAGGTAACTCTGGTATCTATAGTTACGACATGTAGAGGAAGTGACTTGAATCGCTTCAAATTACGTTTGGAGGTTTATGATGATATACTCGTGCGATATAAAGGATTCTCTATTAATATGTCTTTCAGCGTTGGCGGGCGTAATGCCTTACATCGTGCTGCACGCAAAGTCGCTAGGCATTTCGGCTGGTTTGGCGGGTACGGCAAACGCCATCATGTTAATTACATCGATTTTCCTTAAATTCTACCTTGGCGCACTCGCTGACAAATTTCGAGCTGTCAAAGGAATTCTTATTCAGGTAGGCACATTCACATCCGAAAGTGTAGGTTTTCTGCCTATAACTTATACAAGCGTCACTGACGACGCGCAAAGGTATCGTAGGCAGTACTGCCATAGTAGAACCACACGCCGGGCTGAATCTTGGGGATAGATTTGTGGGCTGGATCCGCGATCAAGGTAGACAGAAGCTACCTTACTTTCGTTCATGAGAGTCGGCATCAGCACAGTTCTAAGACAATTCTCTTACCGGCGTATACACCTGTACCCATATCCCACCGCCTGAATTCATCCGTATTATCCTAAGGTCAATTTCTCCATGTGCTTGACTTGGATCGTTGTTTTGATTAAATGAATATGCCTATTTTGCCAATTTGGCACACATTTTTGTTGGTTAGCTCGTATTGTTTCGTAATTCATCATTCGTAATTCGAGCATTCATTGTGTTTAGGTGATTCTTTTGCAAGGATTGGCCCACCTGGCTCTTTACACATGCATACCGCGTATTGAATCAACCGACGTTTGGCGCCCCATATCGGAAAATAACGCAACCTTCTATTCCGCTGACAGGGAATATCGTATAATTTGTAGAGTCAATACTTCGGAGCCCGTAATGTACGTAATGATTATATATCATTATAAACATAACTTTATTAATTCAGTAGAACTTATAATACATTGTTTCGAATCATTATTTTCGGTTAGCTACATTGATCGTATCTCCAGAAAGCCTCAGACGTTTTTCGAACGTTTTTATGTCCAATTGAATTCATCTGATTACTGATATTTGTCGTATATGTACTATTTCAGTTGCTCTCAGAGTGTGATTAATCAAACTTCACTATCTGAATGCAGTTTTACTAAGGACTTTGTCAACGAGCACGAGTGTAAGAGTCAGAGCAGGAACGGCCCTGTTGCAATAGAGGCCTTTCAGTTCTGGGTGTTTTTAGCTCTTCGAATCATTGCTGGTGGACTAGCCTCGGTCGGATTCTCACTTACTGACGCGGCCATCTTTGCGATACTCGGTGATCACAAAGAACTTTATGGGCGTCAAAGACTATGGGGTATGTGATCATGATTGAGTTAGCTATAGCTACACGAAGACACTAGCGCATTAATAGAGCGTGCTGATCTATAATACTAAAACAATAGCTGGCAATGCTGGTATTTGAACCCACGCCTCCGCATAAAGTGGAACTGACCGGTACATCGAAACGTAAAAGTTCTCAGCCGATACAGTAATATTGTATCACATTGAATAATTATGCAACTTAGTCAAAAAAAAAGCCGCTTAGCAGCGTCTCAATGTTGCATTACTGAGCCAATCTGCTGTTACGAATGTCTCAAATCATGTTTATGTTCTCTTCTCTAGCTAGTTTGGTGTCGGACCCGAGTGAAAATCAAACAACAGACATACAGACACCACAAATAAGAATCCATGAAATCCAGGTCCTACGTACTTCTGTGCGCAGATGTAAGCCTACAAGTGGCAGTATTAAATTTGGTTTCGATAAAAAATAGTTTTCGTTGAGAAAATGTTTCACTAAATAATCTATTTGGTTCGCTCTGAAAATAGCCACCATCTCTACCGTAAACAGTACATAAACAAGATTGGACCAACAACCTTTAATCCGTCAGATCATAGACATCCTTTAGAATATTAAAAATGTAAGGACTGGTCTTATTTATTGTTTACTGTTTCTAATGTTTCGTTTGCTCACGGTGGAGTATTATATGCTGTTTGACAGCCTTTCCGTTATTGCACCGAGCCGTTATCATCGATTTGCTCGGTTTATAGATACCCTCACCAATTCCAACACATAGTTAACACCAACTTCTCACCCATGTCGGAACGATTGGAATATTTATTTTGCGTACTGATGACAGTTCTAAAGCTAAAAAAACTCTAAGCTTATCTAACCATATATTCCGTCAAAGGTGGTCTAATGCGTTTAATGTCGAATTAAAAAAGTTAAATCAAGTACGCTCGTTAACGGGAAAAGTGTCACTTTTGAATATCAATCCTAGCTATCGAATCCTCATCGTACACGCGATATCTTCCTCGGATGCTTTCAGGGGCTTTTAATGTATAGAGAGTCTCGAAATACTCGTTTTGACATCCAATATACACCGCGTTTCGACTCTCAAAGTAACGTTTTGTGATCGGAATGAGACGCCTACAAGCTTCGTAAAGAAGCTTTCCTAGGATATTTTGTAACGCTATCTACCAGCAAAGGACTAGAAAAGGAAAGGAGGAACAAACTGCTATCACACGCATAACAACGTAATACAGTGATTCCCCTGAGTAATGTAACTGATTGATGATTTACGTTAAACGTCAATAGTTCACATTTTATGTTTGATACTTCAGTCAGTAGGCCTTGTTTCGAAATAATAATAATTTACAATAGTACTTTCATCCTTATATTAAAAAAAATGACCTCTTAATGAAACGCAGGTACGATTGCGTGGGGTGGTCTGTCCCCGCTGATTGGCTTAATCAACGAGAACTTCTCAACGTCAGCAGCTAACAACTATGCCCCGGGTTTCTATATTCACTTCACTTTGACGCTGATCGATTTAGTGGCCGTATGTTACCTAGACCCGCCGGAAGTGATACGCCCTTCGAAGAGTATTCTCTCTGATCTTCGTCAACTTTTCCGACAACCTAGCATACTGTTCGTCACCCTGTGCATTTTCGTCCAGGGAACTCTTATGGGACCGATTTGGTCGTATGCGTTCTTGTACTTCAGGGACACACTCAATGTCAGCCAATCTTTGATGGGTCTTCAATTGTTGATTCAGTGTTTCTTCGGTGAGACGCCCGTGATGTTCTTCGCTGGCTGGATAATCGCCCGTCTAGGTTTCCGTAACTCAATGGCACTTGCTGTGGGAGGAACTGGACTTCGACTAGCGGTATACGCGTTTGGAACGAATCCTTGGCATATGCTTCCCATTGAAGTAACGCATGGTCTTTCGTTTGGGCTATTCTACACTGCCATGACGCTATTCGCCAGTAGAGTTTCACCCAAAGGCACAGAAGCCAGTGTGCAAGGAATCATGAGCGGAATGTTCGAAGGAGCAGGTATTTCATACGTATTATATATTACTAACAATAGGTCGGTGAATTACGTTCTCACATTGTGTAATGTCTACAGTGAACTCTACTATCTGGCTATGAACGAATGTTTGAAATAAAATTGTTTCACACTTCGTTTCTAACATACTAATTTTAAAGATGCGTATGAGACGTGAAACTTCGTTCCTAGGAACACTATAACTACCGGTACTATGGTTGTTTGCTTACTCCTTCATGCAGGCATTGCGGCCGGTAGCATCGTTTGCGGTTTTCTCTTCGACCATATTGGCCAGCGGCAAACAATGCTATTCTTCACCATTTATACCTTTGGATTTCTTGTTCTACAGATTATTGTCAATTTGATGATAAGCGAAACTTCCATCAGTGACGATGGTACGTACACCTGAGCGCATCACGACGAATCAGAGGTTAACAGTAGAATACAACTATTATTGAATTAAATATTTCCGCATACAGTCTTCACATGATGACAAAATCTTAATCTATCCGCCGCTTAAAACGTTACCAGTGAGCAGATGGTGAATATCATACAGTTGCCATACATCATACTTGGTAAATCACACTCAAATCGAACAGTTCTTTTAAATAAGAAAACTCTAGCCAAACTATAAAAGTACATTCGAAATTTCGTTTGTATACAAACTTCAATGAAGGAATCTTGTCGTTTCGGAATTTCAGTGTCAGTAAAAAAGCTACCTCCGCCTGAGATACAGGTCGAAGAGGCCTCACAGGTCGAGCAGCTGCTGAAAGGAGTCGATAGAACCATGCCACGTATTAACACCGATGTCTCTGAACTTAAGGATATCTCGTTCGTTGAGGAGCACGATGATGCAGTTGCTTGAAAAAGTACCTGCAAAGCCATTTCACTACCAAAGCGCATCGATGGCGGATGCCTAATTTATAACGTGTAACTGATATAGCAGTTACAGAGTGGTTAAAATGTTAAAAAACCTATTAATACAATCAGAATGCCTTGCCTGTAATGATTTAACCAGTGATCGCGATCTTACAAGAGGATCAATTAGCAAAGAAGCAGGGGTTAAGCTATTGGCAGACCTTGGACCGGGTGAACAAAAGCGATGGGCGTCAAAAGCAGCGCTTCCTTTATGGTTAATTATCCACAATACTGTTCAATGAAATTTCGCCATGTAAAAATAGGTAAACTAGAAGCATAGATTAAAACCTGCAAGGGACGTGTGCTAAAGTTAACTGATATCCGTCTATTGCATCGCGATAACGTTTCTTCGCATCAGCATGGTAGCTATCAGGACTTCTACGTTCAAGGCATTAAGCGGTACACAACTGTCCCAACTCTGCATACATGTACATATGTCATGCGTATTTTCGTTTGTTCTGTATTTTCCAAATGTGAAAGTAATGTTTGTAGATTGAAAAGAGCTCATCGATGATTTGCTTTGGAAAAGTTCAAAATTTTATGAATTTTATTCTACACGTAGACTATCGGGGCGATTATTCATTGTTGTCCTGACCTGTAAACAATTATGGCATTAACCAAACTCCGGAAGACTAAAGACTTTTAGGGTAGTTTGTGTGCATTTGATACTGCAGCCGACGTAATTTAAACACTCGCTTTTTGCTCAAACTTTTGCAATATTCATTGCGTCGCTCTGCATAACAGCTGCTCGATGTGCACGATGAAGTAGATCATGTAAAAACTACTTTACGATCTCCACATTTTGGAACATTTATTTTACTTCTGGCCATTGCTAGCAACATTCCAGCATTTTTTTTCACTGTACATAAAAACAATAGCGTCTATGTGTATACATATATATATATATATATATATATATATATACACGCTATTTGAACTATGCTAAAGCTGTATTGACTAGTTAGTTACTTACATCTATGCTTGAAAATTAAATACAGGCTGACGCAGGTCTCTGAGCGAATTCAATAAACAACCATATATATATATATATATATATATAATATATATATATATATATATATATATATATGTGTATATATATATACATATATGCTGTATAGGGTAAAGTTTCTTCTTTAGGCTAGGCTTTCTCAACGCCAAACTCGCTACAGGTCAAAACCCACAGCGTCAGTGTTTATACAGTTACTGTTATACAATAGAAACATTAAATTAGTTTCAAATACAAAGCCGTACGCTTTGCCCAGCCTCGGAACCAAGACAGTGGTGTATGTTAGACTTTTAACTAATATAATTTTATACTCATTCATATATATACATATATATATGTGTGTGTGTGTAAAAAGGTCGCTTTGTGAATGTGAACATGGAAGTAGTGCGTGTTCAAAAAAGTTTTTATCAATTTTTTTCGAAAATGCAGGAGAGTAATTAAGTGTAATTTTTGAAAACTGCTAATCAGTATGATTTCAACATAAGGATAACAGGCAAAATCAGACGACAAGATAATTTCAGAGGATACTCACGTAGCATCATGTATAATTCAGCTTCGTACCGTTTTTTCGCATGAAACGTGCCAGCCTACCAGGCAGAAAACAATCAAGCACATAAAGATATATATAGGCGTCTAAATAGTAATGACAATTCAGCTACGATTCGGTTTAATAGGTCGTGGAAGGTGTACATACCTTCTCGACATTCAACAGGCGTTTATTCAGGTCATATTTTACCTTGATTTGTTGTACATATTAAAATTGGATCGATTTTTAATAATAGAAGCGCCTTTCTTTCATAATTTTTAAGAAAATCGATGCTAACAAACACAATCACCGAAGTCAAGGGTTTTTTTAGTCGTTATTTGGAATGAATGCTCTTCTACCCGGACAAAAATCTGCCATCTTCCAGATTTTTAAATACTTGTTTAGGTTTGTACTAAGCTAATAAATTTTCATTAAACATCTAACAAAAATTTAACAAACGTAATATTTTGCATTTTCCTAATACCGTTGTGTTTAACTATTCAATGACTTCAGAGATCTATACAATTCAAGGCAATGGTAAATGGTTACGTACGTCTAGACCTTAAAACAGTTTTAATACAGATATTTATATCTGATAGATAATAAAACAGATATTTAATTTCGGACCGACTTATTTTGAAGCCATAACATTGAAAATAATTTATAGTTACGAGGTTTCCAGCATTTATGTCATCATATTTATGATAGTGTATTTCACTAATGTTCAATAGTACATGGTGTTACTTGGCGGTAATTCTCTGTGTGGCATATATAAACTTTATGAAAAAGATATAAATGTTAAGGAACATTCGTCGAGTGTTTTTACCATGTCAGTTAATGTGACTTCTGCCTTACACTAGGTGGTTACTAACGCATCCGGCGGACTTTGAAATTGAGTAACTTTCGAACCACTGCCGCTAGTAGATAAAGTTTATCTGGTAAATAGCTTAGCCTTCTAGAAACATGTGAGGGAAAGCTGATGATTCAGTGACTCTTAAGAGTGATTAGTGTGGAAGGAAAAATATCTTTTGATCTCGAAAATTAACACTCAGTGGTCAAGCACTTGTTCCAGGGACTTAGAACTTGAAGCTATACCCTAATATCAGCCTAAAACATGGCTTGTTATTTCTAATAAAGTGCATACTCATGGCCAAATATTGAACTATATTAGATATTATATTGTTATTGAAATATCTGTGTTGCTTATAACAAGTTCAATGATGTCATTTGTTCAACCTGAGCTAATTATCTTATCCGTGCTTCTTGCCAGCCTAAACACTTTACATAAAAATCTTACGGGGGCTTATGTTACGATCTTCGACAACTAGAGGGCGGATGCAGTTAAATATGAATTTCAAAGAATATCATCTATTGTTTGTTTCATTTCTTATAAATTGACATAATTTAGTCGAAAAGCTAGAAATTTCCGTTGCACCATATGGATCTCATTGTATACACGCCCACAGAAGCTGGGCTTAAGTCAGCATAAATACACACAGCCAGCCCCCAATACCCCAAATTTTGTGGTTGTCAAGGGTATGCGTACGCGGTAGAGGAGAGTCGAAGTGTTTTCACGTTGCCATGGCTTCCCGGGCCCACCCTACTCGTTCCACTCCCCGAACGTATAAACAGCAAAATTGCAGCTGGTTTTTCTGCGGGCTTCAACAACTGCCGGAGCCAATAATTGTTGAGTAGCTACATAAAAGCGTAACGCGATATGCCTAGTGACGTTCATTCTAAATCTATCGAATAATTACAGTTTAGCCTTCTAGTAGGTTGAATTGCAGTTTTGGTCGTCTGCAAAGGTACGAAACAACGAGTTCGGGCAGCGATGTTAGGTAGTTACTATTGCCGCATGCGAGACCCCATGACATTCAAAAAAAGAGCTAAAATTTCGTACAAGAGTCTGTGCAAGTAGCTTTAACACGGTGTACTAAATAGCTACAATGCGTGTTCCGTCCTTATATGAGTTGTACTGTCTACTGTTGAAAAAAAAGTATGGCTTAATTCTATTTGTAGAGGGCCGTCGCGAAGTGTCTAAACAGTTAGGCTAAATATCAAAAGCAAAATATAATCCTCGAGAGTAATGACATTTCGCTACTTCAAACTTCCTCACGCCTTCTATAGAATGCCGTGATTAAACGAGGGAAGAAAATGCATAGACAAATTGTAAAGTCATATAGTAATGATAGGCAGTAAATTTCCATACATCGTTGTGTGCGTATTCAGTACATCTGTGCCTATAAATGGTCCGCGCTAATTTGGATCTATTTTTCTCCTATCTATCCTCTATTTATATCTGCTTGACGTCTTCCTTATGAGGCTGAAATACAGTTCAAATCTTTAATGATACATCATTTAAACGTCCCGTGTCTTGATCGCTAACTGATTGTACCCTATCTAAGCGGCCTGCCTGTATAGAATACGGTACAGAGTATTCTTAAAGACGGCTTTCAGTCTGCAATGCAGGTTCGAACACCAAAATATAAATCTAATACATAATCAATACTTTTTAAGACAATTTCTGCGCGCCTACAAAACGTGGCATGATATAGATGCAGCAATTGAATCAGATACCAAAGACATGACGTAGATGCGTACATTGGAATAGTTTAATTTATTTGAAATTCACTACTACTCGAAGTAAGATCCTCGTTTGTCTGGCAAAGTTGTCGGCCTTAAATATTTACGAACTTATTCTAACTTGATGATGGGGAAAATGCAATTTCTCTTGTTAATTCTGTATTGCAAAAAGATGGACTACGTAACAGATCACGCAATCGTGCGCTGGCTTCAAGTGGCATAACGGCAATTTTCATTGTTCGAATACTGGTACGTGATTAAGACTTTGTATCATTTTTTAAATCGATAACTATTAATTATCAAATATTAGTTATAATTTAAATAATAATTATTATTAATCAATATAAACGGTTTGCCTTATTCTGATATAATAAACTGTAGTTTCGTTTGGCCCATTCAATTACTCTCATCTAAATAGTTTCATTTCTACGTTTGGTGTTGCCGTAAAACACTGCTCCAGTTACCTTTATCGAGCAGTATAGTATAATATGTATACATAATAATCTCATTATTTGTTTTTGCCGCTGTCGTTCAAGATTTTCAAATACACTTTTATTGACTATTTCAAAATAATTTGCTGCGTCCATAAAAAAACACGGAAAATTAACAATTTTCCGTGTTTTTTATGGACGTACCTCGACTAAACTATAATTAGCAGCTATTCGTTTGCCCTTTGAGGTTGCCTTCTTTGCTGAATAGTATCGCACTAATCCAATTGCCTGTGATATAGCCAACGCAGTTATATATTACGGCCACTGCTTTTGCATGTTATTACACCATTATTATTTCAAAATGTCTAACCATTTTAGAAGTGGCAATATCTCTTCATCCTAGAGAGGACAGTCTGTCCACGTTTGTGAACTACTTGACAATTGCTGCTAATTTGACTGACGTTTTTGCCGTTGTTGCCGATTGCCCATTTTATCATGATTACCGGTAAGCCAAACGTATAGAAGAAGAGATATCGACAGTAGAGAAATGGCAGACTGTGCTCACGCTCAAATAAGGCCAATTGTAATCATATAAATAAGCAACCAGTTCAAATGGTTTATACAATAAATAATCAAGATATTGTCTTGTTTTATATAAAGAGAAACCGTTCCCATAGGAATTAGGACCTCAACAAAAAATATGCGTTAAAAAGATTAAAATAGATTTAAAAAAAAAAAAAAAGAATAACTAATATCAGAAACCATACGCTAACGCAGGCATCATTTCTGTCACCTTAAAATGTTCTAAAAATATTTTTCCGGAAATTCTACGCTTGTAACACATGGTAGGGTTTTCAACATGACGCTTTTTTCAGTGGCTAAACTTCTAAAAATATTTTGACCTACGAGAGCCCTATTGTCGAAAATGTATGTTGCCCGAGATCTGTGCTAACGGTGCCAGAGTTCATGCGAACATCTGTTAGCCTCGAGGGTTGATACGTCAGTACAGAGAGTCTTACGAAAGATAATGGGCCTATTCGATTTCGATCTACTTCAGAGAATCATTTTGCAATAAACGTTAACATAGATTTAGCGCTATATACACGTTTAGGCGTTTTAGAAAATACGTCGTTAGAGAGTTACGGTTTGCTGTGCTGTTTTGGATTCCACGTTATTTCGGCTTGTTTATTATTACGGGACAGTTACTCCGGAGCTTGATAAGTCTGGGAGAGAAGTAGCTAAAGATGGTCCGAGTGGCGGTCCTGGGATGTGGCGTCTTGGGTTCGAAAATCGTTGGTGACCTCGCCTATCATGGACATGAGGTTCGAGCTTACGATAGCAATCCGGAAGCATTAGATAAGCTGCTCTTGAGGCTTTCCGAAGACACCAAAATTCTCCGTAAGGATGGCCTATTAAATCAGTCAAATCTCGTCGGCAATGTGCTTTGCATTTCTCGCCTAGAAGAGGCGGTCCGCGAGGCAGATTTCGTGTTCGAAGCAGTCGTCGAAGACCTTGCGTCAAAAAGCGAACTGGTCGCACAGGTACTATCAACATACCAATCACTTAGTAACCATTAATGAAAACATTTGGCATAATTTTCTTTATGTCTCAAGCAAATAGAATATGGTAGATTGCGAAAGCAATTTGTTACGCAACCTGCTGAAATGATGAGAGCTAGAAGAGACAGCATGACGTATTTTGTGGCTATTGACAATTCCTTTTAGGTATCTCACCTTTGTCCCACGACCGCAATCATTGGTTCAAGTTCCATGCACCTCAAGATTGATTCCATCTTCGAACGAGCTGCAGGTAAGGATTCGAAATTGCCTAACAGCCGTACCTAGGATCAAACGTTTAAGTATATCTTTATGCTATGCGGGCAAATAAATATCTGATGCTTATTTATTATTAACTCTCTTTCTTGTCTCGTTTAGTAACTTATAGTATTTTTTTTTGTATATTCTGTAGTAATAATTCAGTAATAAGTAATTCATATTCTATAATATTACGAGAAGTTCCTAACTATGCCCATCGCCAAAATGTTATTCTTGAAATTAAAGGGAGTAAGGACATGGATCAGGAACGATTTCAATTTGTTAGGTAGGCCAAACTTTAGCGCGACACCTTTTCCAAAACAAACAGATCCAGATGTTAGGTTTAGGCTTAAAATATATTTGCCCACAATATATATGCCGCTAGATGTTGAATGGTGGACAAGCTCCATATTTGATAAAAACAGTTTTTCTTGAGCTGAGACGGTCCGTGATAATTGATTGATTTATGCAAAATACCGAGTGCTTCGATAAATCGAAATCCCGGCTACCGGCATCGTTTATCTTTGTTTCAGGCAAAGATCGTTGTTTGGGGGTACGTTTCCTTTTTCCCGTATTTACAGTATCTGAGGTTGAGCTTCAAATGGCCGAAGACACATCACCTGAGTCTCTGACCTCGGTACGTGAATTTCTCGAGCGCATGGGCAAAACTGCATTTCTGAGAGCAGGCAACCTTCCGCTAGTGCTGAGTGAGGCTCAACGTGAATATCGCTGGGTCACTCGCGTACACATTTTTCAACAGACAGCCTGCCGAAGGCCTCCACTCCTTGTTCCAGACCTAACCCATCATGAGAGTCTCGAGCGGGTACTCAACTCAGAACTCATGGATGGTCTAACACAATCCCGAGAGAAAGATTGTGTCGTATGTATGGATGAGGAGCGCAACTGCGTGTTGCACCCATGTCATCATCTTTGCTTGTGTGCCACGTGTGGCAAAATGCTGTTCAAACGACAAGACGCATGTCCTATTTGCAGGAAAAAGATATCATCCATCTTTCGAGTATTTTATGCTTGATGTCATTAAGTACATAGTGTTCCGTTCAGATGTACTTGATACCATGCGACTGTATAAATCACCAACTGATTGTTAAAATAGATGGACTGATTATATGTTTAATGAACGTAATTGCTATGAAAAAACGGCAATCGAGAAGCTTTAACCAGATATCTTTATATCGTTCGTGTTATGTTGTTGGGATAACAGACTACAGAGTCGACGTTAATTTTTCCTATTACTGAACGCATATTCATAATACAAAATTGTATTACTTCCTATTTGAACAGCCAGAATCATATAAGATGGGCACAGGTAACGTATCTGAGTACAGAGCACGTTGGTTAAATCATTAGAATATGGTTACCATGTTCGGCCATAGTCTCTCATCAGCCCATGCTATCGTCGAAGACGTAGCACTATACACCAGAAGAGCTTCCGTATGTAACTATGTCAACACGAAAAATACGAATTTAACATGAATGTAATTATATTTAGCGTCATTGTTGAATTTTCTCAGTTGAATGTTTGAGACACAAGTTATAATGGGAGACGTACATTGCAGTATATATAACCGATCACTCGTAAGCTCTTACAGCTACCGACCCCTAAAGGAGTGAATAAGTAAATAAATGTATCTTCTAATTGATGTACAAATATTTCAATCTATTTGTTAAACGCGACCGTACGTGGTTTCCATGACCATCGTTCCATCGCTGTCCTCTGCTATTTTAATCAAAAACCTTGGTTTGCGTGTCTATAGTCTTCAGTTGTTGTTGACCAATTGGTATACGTATTGAAATACTATTAACACAGCGGTTTCCATTTCTTCTCCATGAATATTCTATCTAATTCGGCCAGATCGCCAATCATTATCCATCTTATTTATGTTAGAAATATAACAAAAAGCGCTAAACATTATAAGGTTAAAAAAATCACACTTAAAAAATATATTGTTTTAGTTTTCCGATCTTAGCGATAGCTCGTTGTACCCTTTAAATAGAAGTTTTTTTTTCATTCGGAATTTGTATGGATTCTAATGGCATTGCCTAAAACAGAAGCCTACGTTAATTGAACAAAAGCTCTCTTTCCGTTAATGGATATTGTCGGATTGTGTATTGTATTACTCATTTAAAAATATTTATCGTACATTCAGCTATGGCGCAGAATGTATACATGGTTTTGTCTGCTCTCACTTCTATAATTACCCAGCCATGACCATTAATCATATCTCATTATGTATCTACCCATCTTGTTAGTGATAGACCTCGACATTAAGTTACGTAAGTGCGATACAACTTATTCATCTTTATCTAGCTCTATCTACCATCAGCAATTTGACAGTTACGTGTAGAGTATCGTGTGACTTCATGGACCGCTTCATTTTTCTTTTTAATGAAGAAACATCGGTTTTAAAACTGGACATTATCAAAAATACACCAGTTTGTATGTGACTCAATTTGGGCGACTGAATTTCTGACGATTACAATTAAAAAATGGGGCTATTTAAAACAACTATGTGTTTATTTTATATTCTATCAAGCTTTTATTGAGCTATAAAAAAGCAAAATGACCAGCATATTTATTTAGCATCACAAAGCTACAGTTTGAAAAAGGAAGGAAGATTGTGTTATGTGAAAGTCATAGTGGACTTAGTTATGTATGGTCACTGTATTGAACATTGCATATGGGGCTGGATTATGGCCCCATATGTTGTTCTCATACGGCTTATGCAACCCAATCTTGTGAAGTTATATATGTCAACCACTAAGGTGTACCTAATCGGTATTTTCCCGAAAGCTAATGAATTTTCACCACAGTGGCTTTTCATTGCTTAAATTTTTGGACGATTGCTTATGATGGTTTATTTTATCGAACAGAGCCGGGATTTTTCTATACACACGAGAGATTTCATAACAATCTGATACCAGCTCGAGTTTTTCGATAAGATTAAGTTAGTCTATGTATAGAGCGTTCTGCGATTTTTCCCATATAAAGGAACGAGCGTGTATTAGTCTTTATGTTAAAAATAAAATGGATACTGCAGACGCTTCAGAATGCCTACGAAAGTTAGATCCTAAGTAAATTTCTTGCTTAATAAAAGAGGATGTGCTTGAAGCGCTTTGAAGACGAACAGAAACCCCCCAAAATCGACCTTATCCCTAGAAGCCCTGTGCCCGAGGTGCTCCTCACGGTTTCCTTCAATCGGTGGGCGGCGGCCTGTAATGACCTCATGCCGTCCAGCTTCATGGTCACCAAGGGATAGAGTAAAGAAGCTTTAAGAAGACTGTGTAAGTCTGTCCATCCGCAAGAGACCAGAACCATAGCACGACAAGTCCTGGGTTTCTTGCAATGCGCCGGCTTGCACTTCATCACTGATACAGCAACCATGTTGATGTTGCAAACAAAAAACTAGATGTATGTGTTGCCTCGTGCTCCTGTAATTACCCGACCTAATCTTCTATGGATTTTTCTTCTTCTAAAACTAACAAAAAGTCTAAAAAGGAAGCGTTTTGGCACGACAGAAGAAATCAATGAGAAATTACTAACCGAACGGAGGATTATTCCGCCCATAGAAGTTATAAAAATGTTTTATGAACTGGAAAAAACAGCGATACAAATATGTTACATTCGGCGAGGATCCTTTTGAAGGATACGAATTGGTATGATTAGACATGTGTTACTCTACTTTTAGATTAGAGATGTATTACTCTGGAGTAAAAAAAATCAACTATTTTTAACAAAAAAGGTTATGTATAATCCCATCTTCTCCTACAACTGGCAACGAGGTTTTCTTAACTAATGTGACCTTTTTCTCTGCTATCCGTGTCAATCTTACTCTTTCCAAGTTTACCTGGATTTTTCGTTGAATAAACAGATAACAATCTGAAAGTCTTTCCAGCACTACCTAGTAAACCTAGGATATAAATGCCTTGGGGCTATTGCCATAAGAAATACTCGAAACCATCGTTCCAAGCAAAGAAAGAATTAGACCGCGGGCGTCCGAAAGAATAAGCTCAAGCACCCTAAATATATACTTAGACATTAAGTGGATTCGTTTTTGACTGAATTTGGTTGCTGAAAAATTGTTCTGGAATGTGTTAATTAACTGTTGAGTTAATAAAAGGACCCTTTAGTTCTACTTCGGAAGGCTTTTGCTAAAATAGACAGCGATGCATCAAAATTTACCGTTAGTCCAAAATCGTCTTTTTTTTGTCCTACTGGCCTTTTATAATGCGATTCCAGTCTGGCTTAGTACTGCTTGAACGTACTACTGATTTCGGTACAAGTGCCCATTATTGGCACACATTTAGAGAAGTTATATAATTTTCTAAAAATACTCCGCACGTGATCTAACCAAATTGAATCACGTTTATTGTTAGAAAATCGGTAACCTACTCACCTATTTCCTGCCGCCTGAGGCTTTGCCTGCTATATGCTGGTGTTTTTATTACAATGGCTCGGTAGTGTAGCTATTGCGTCATTCTGTGATGTCAACGTGGTGCGGTGTATCAGACGTCCACGTACGACCGTAAAATGCTGGTTAAGGTTTCTGTGCTTAGTACGTAGCCCCAGAGGCTTTTCCACTTGGCACAAACGTTCCTTAGAAAGAGCTGAAGACTTGTAAACGTTATGCAAAAAGTTGCAGCCGACTCAAATCATAGACCCAATAAAACTAAATATAATAGTAGCAATAAAATAAATAAAAGGGCAAGCACTTTAGCCCGATAGTTAAGTGACAAATTTGATTCACTAAAATGAAGTTGTGGTCAAGATACTGGAATCTATTCACATCTATTTATATTATATTATCTATAACAGAAAAGTAACGAGAAAGGACCTACTTTTATTGCTAGCCTGCGTGAACTTATGTCGTGTCGTATGTACATCGTCTGCAGGCGTACGATTAGCGTTAACAATCAATTGGTAATTGAATTAGGGTTGCCGGAGATAAGAGTAACGAAGGGCTTGGAAAAAGTAAAATTATTAAAGATGACTTGAGCGGCTATATTGGGATGTAGTGTCTTCGAATTCAAAAACTATCATGATTATGAAGTGTGAATTTACCAAAACGGTTCCAACAAACTTGATAAGCTTCTTCTAAAACTTGCTGAAAACGTCAGCGCTTTCCGAGAAATGGGTCCACTAAACGAGGAAGATATTTGTACAATGTATATTGCGCCTGACAAAAGCTGTTCGTGAAGCTCATGTTATGTTTGAAGCGATTATCCAAGACTTTTTTTTATCGAAAAAAATCTCATTAAACAGGTGCATTTTTATATATTGTGCATAATTGGGCCATGAAACCAAGAATATTTAATTTATAATAATATTGGGATACTATTTTATATGTTTCCTCTAGTGCTTTGATATTTACTTTAAGTGTTCAATTGTTGTCCAACACGGCTGTTATCGGCTGGAGCTCTGTACACTTGAAGATTGATTGCGTTTCCGCAGTGCAAATAGGGTTTACTCTTTTAAAGGATTTCATACACTTCCGTTATTCCATTCTCTCTATACGTGAGGATGCGACTGGCTGTGTGTTTAGAAATTTGCTATACTGCATATTTACCTATGCTTTCTTTAGTCATGCTATAGTGTAACCTATGCTGTAAGTCTTCTTTCAATTGCTACATGTTACACAATCTGTTCACAAATCAGAACCGCTCGTTGGCAATACGCTTCGTGTTTTTTATGTTCGAGACTGAGCTGCAAAAGATCAAATACATGTACAATAGCTATCTGCCAATACTTCTTTCGATCAGGAAGCTCGCCGCAACGGGACTACCCTTGAGTTTTACGCACCTGTACTTTCTTTTACCGAACGCCTTTGCTCCCTGTTAGGAATGGTACATATCGAAACAGCGTCGGCGTAACGCTTAGTCTTGAGAAATGAACGATGATCGACGACAATTCCGAGGAAAGGACGGTGTCATTTTGTACGTACGAATGACACACTTGTGTTTTTTACCGTCGCATCGTATCAGTAATGTAATGGTTCGTTGTTTAAATATATCATTTAAAGAAAAAATTAAACAAACGAGAAAAACCGAAAAGAAAACTGTTTAAATCGTCTACAATTAGGTCCTAACCACACGGCACAAACAATATGGTTTTGTTAATATTTATTGAATATAAACTGACATGAAAGCACGGTTGGCATCATTCATATCTGCCAATCAGTTTAGGTCATTTGGATTAGAGTTACTGGTGCTCACAATTATCGTTTAACTACAGTGTGAATGATGACGCTTCTGTGAGGGGTGGCGACAGCGGCATCGCTGAATACGTTTCCATATAAATTAACAAATATAGAATACATCATGAAAGAAGAAAAACAATTAATATCACATACTATAGGTTTCGCCGCCTGCTGGCTACTTATTGTATGCAGGAGAAAATTAAAAAAACAAAAAAAAAAAGTTAAAACATAAACCTCAAAAATACTCCGTTATGATTAAATGAAAAGACCAACGTTGGTCACCGCCAAAAACGAAGGCTGATTTACAAAATTGGACGTCGCTTAAAATTAGTCTCAAATCAAATTGAAAACAATTGATGCTTTGTAATAATGAACGTTCATCCTGATGAAACAGAGTGATTCAAAGATGAATGTCAATAAAATATCCAATAAAAGGACAACGATTCTGTGACGAACACTATGCCGGGTCAAATAGGTTCATGCAATAATATACGCTAACTACCCATATCACATTCATATTTTGATCTCAAGTGACCTTTTGCTAAACACTGAGAGCAGCCTAAAAAGCTATTGAACTGTAGCGTGAATGTAAGAACTTAAAAGTCAGACATAAGCATGTTTGTAAAATTTAAAAAACGGAGCTTTAAATTATTTCATCCGAAACCTTCATTTAGGCCCATAGGCTTGTGCGTATTGTAAAACCAATAGTGACAAACGTAGATTCTTGAAACTCTTGTTGAGCCTGAAATAGTAAGGCCTGATAAAGGCTCCGTTAGGAACTGAACTGACTAGTATAGGTTAGTAATTCTACGGAAAAACCAGCTCTTCTAATACAGTCTTGTAATTATTGATTAAATTTTGCACCGAATTTGTTTGCTGTTTCTGGAAAAACCTCTTTAGACCGTGCGTTCGGCCTAGTCCAGAAGAGAAGATGTGTAAATGCTTTCGGAGCATTTATATATCCCAATTAAACCCTTGAGACTAGTAAATACTTGTTCCATGGGCATCGGTCATATATTAATTTAGAACGACAACCTTACGATGATGCAATGTCGCACTTATCGCTTAGTTTCGTAATGGCTGTAGTTATTCTCGTCTTCGCAATTTTTATCACTGGCTCTATTTCTTTTTTTTGACAGTAACCACAATCAAAGACCTGCTTTAAGACTTGCAAAAAAAATATGAACTAAAAAAAATTAGGACAACGACGTTAGCCCCTACTTCAACCTTTACTGCCGCTCCTAAACCAGTGAATGAATAGGGAACTACTATAAAGTCACGTATTGGGCCTCGTACATTGGTAAATTAATATAGAAATCAATTGTAAAACCTTATTTGCTTGTTGGTGCTTTCGTAACGTATCCACATACTAAAACAATTACGACTAAACTATTGAATGACTCCTTAAGAAAATTAGGAACGAGACACAGTACCTTAAGCTAACAAAAAATACCGCCCATGTGAATATATCAAGCTAACGCCTGTTGCGTGCTAACAAACCCACCGCTTAGAATTTGCCTCATCATAAAAAATGAATTATCAAATTATTATTTATTATTAAGAAAGTATAGAATAGATTATTTGTTTCTGTCTTTTTTTCTCTAGAAATAGTTTGCTCTGAAGCAGCTGATCTTTCGGAATAGACTTTTTTTTTCTAGAAAACAACAAAGCATGGTTCTGTGGTAAGACCTTATTGGAATTGAACATGTGGAAACTGTCGAGTACCTATCCTTTGAGCGGACGCTTGTAACGCTTGCCATCGAAAGAGTCCCGTACATCCTCTATAATTCAATGAATGACCGTCTAGCGTTCACGAATGTTTCTGCACAGCTCGATAGACAAACAAGTCACAAAGTAGGAAAACTGTAGTGTTTGTTGTTCTGCATCAACAAGAGAGTAAACGATAGTGCCGCTGTTGTTAGCGGGCAGGGAGAAAGCTGGCTATCCAAATTCTAGCGATTTCTCTTAACGATCGTAAAACTGCCATATTTCTTTTGTGCTATGTAAGCTTCTAATCGAAACTCGCAATCAGCTAAAGCCTATTGTTATCTTAATTAGGTATTTAGAATAATGTACAACTGGAAACATTTCAAGACCGATCTGTCTCATTAGTGAAGCAACCGTGTAATACTTAATAAGGTATAAACTAGGTTATAAAAATAATCTAATTATTTATTAAACATATGGGCCACTTTGTTTATGAAATTCAATGTGACGAAGTACACGATGAAGACCATGAAAAATCCAAATTTATCGTTCCCCTGCACCGTCGAAACGGCATCATATTTAGTTCAGTGTACAAAGGAATATTAGCATCTTGTCAAGCGGTTAAAGACACTTACAATTATGTAGGCTTAGCTGCCCTTCAGAAAATGTCTCCTTTCTAACATAATGTTGTCCAGCTGGAAAGACTAAATCCATCCTGATGGTCCAAGACTTCCCTGTTTGTGCAGCCTCCATATTTTTTTTTAACAAGCTCATTCTTGCGGTCATAATTCAACACTACCTTAAACGAGCAGATGTGTTTTCTGGGACTGAAACATTTTTTTTCCGTCCAGAATCAGTGTCCATTCTGCTGTGTTGAGTAAAGCATTAAATTGGCATCACTCATCAACATCACGGAATTTTAGCTTTGATAAAATTCATTCACTTCCAGTACTGATGTTTCTCAAGTGCTGGATTATAAGGGACGACGATTTCGTCTAGCTAGATTTGCTATTGACAATTGAACAGCACACGCGTTGCCTCTGAGGGCCGCTCGTGTGGAGTAATTTCTCGAATGGCTCTATATAAGCAGCGAGACGATAGAGACGTCTTTCGCTTGAAACTTAATAACTAATTTAAGTTAATAGCTGTATCACAGCTAAGCTGTACAGATTCAGTGTTTAGAACAAACACATCAGGCCCGATAACGTGAGGCCTTGCTTCGATTTTGTGCGATAATAATTATCATCGTCGTCGTCTTCGACGCCCGTCCTGTAACAGCTGATGACAACGATCGCAAAACTAACAGCTCCGGGTCCAAATCCGAAACATTTTCCCCAATCGATTTAGTTAGCTATTAGATAAAAACTCCCATAACACCTTCGCTGCTGCTGCCAGTGCGACCACGAACGATCCTACAATAGTCAGCATAACAACTTCGTCAGGGTAACATTCACTTGTATTGCATACAACGTTTATGTGTTTGTATGATTCAATGCAATTTTATCACATTTATCTTTCAAGTTGATCCTATAATTTTACTCGATTGCCACTGTCTATCTAAAACGAAAATAAAAATACCAAGCTGCTGATAGCGACAATTGTAAAGATTTATTTTTTTTTATGTGCACCTATCAAGTACATAGTTTTTTTTCAAATGTAAATAGTTCGACGTTTGATACGACGGGTGAATTTTAGAACCGTTTTATAGACTGACCATTTAGAAGATAGTAAGCGATAGATATTTGACTTTTTTCGAGAAAATATTTGTTTTATAATGCATCGAATATTGTACTTAGTTAAATGGTGTCAAGGAGCAATTTGGCTATTTTTATTGACCAGTCAAACTAACAAAACACCAACAAAATCAGCATCTGAGTGTCGTAGCATGACTTTTTTTTTTCATTTGAAAAATATATTTTTGCATGAACTAATAATTGATAGTATATGATCCTCGGCCTTATCTTCTCATGATCGAGCAGGCAGCTTGTAGCGAAAATAATGGCTATTATAACACATTCTGAGGAAACTATTTTCAGCCATCATCTATAAGCACAAATAGTCAGCTACCGGAAATTACATAAGCTTACTACGAACTATTACATTCTTGTAGATGCTTAGACATAACGCCTTAATGGGCAATACGTATGTAAAAATCCTTTAAAAACTATGAGATGAGCTTTGCATGAAAACTATTATCCTGTAGTATTATGTTTGTACAAGGCTATCGGAAAGCTAACGGCTACCTATCACTGAGAACCGTGAATTTTGATTTTTTTGGCAAAATGAAGCCAGCTTAGCGAACACGAAGCTTTCATTTTGGGAATCAAGTAGAACTCGAACAAATAAATATAGCCTTCATCAATCACATACTCCCTCACGTATTTAGGTTATTAACTAGACAGGCAGTAAACCTCAGAAGACCAAGTCAAAAATAGTTATCTGGAGTCAGTTAAAAAAAATTCGTGCGCCCCACTGAAGAGATCCGCTCTTGCGAAGCAGCGCCAGACATCAGATTTTAGGCGATCAAAAGAAAAGCAGTACTGCCCAGACGGGACACCTCCTCCGAGGGAACAACCCTGCTACAGCCTTATATAACGATGAATCAAGCAAAGCCAACTCTTATGAAACTTGTGAATATCATCGCGACCTAGTACGACTGAAAGCAACCTTAGACCTACCGAACACTTCGTACCCTCGCCGGTTTGAAAAAAGAAGCCGTAATTTGCTATGTTTACCGCTGCCATATTGTCGAGCTTTCGCTTACCACCACTAGAAAACGCAGCCTGACAGGCACGCAAAGCAATTGTGATTGTGCGAACACCCAAAAGCGACAGTGACAACTACGATTGCACCTTAAAGTTAAATATTTAATGATATGTGAAACAAAGCTAGAAATATAGGCTACCGGAGTTAAAATGTGGGGCAATCTAAATAGAAACGTACAGTATTGGGCGTACTGGCCCTGAGTATGGGTTTGCAATTTTCAAAAATCAGTTGCTGAACGCTTTGCAATATATATATAGTATCCTATTGCAGTATCGTAATATGTGACAGGCGCCTTTCGTCTAATAAAGCACTGGCCCTAAGCACATACTGCGATAGAACATAATAACTAGGCTTGTAATCTATAGCTATATTTATGGCAATTGCTAACGACAATGTCTGCTATCTGATTTTAAATAATTATTTGTAAATCAATGTCATATTACTATGACTGGTCGTGCTCGTCTGATAGATTTGGCTTTGAGTTTATAATAAATAGGAAACGTCTGAACCCTTATACAGTATTTACATATATAATGTTTAGAAAAAGGTCGTGTGGAACGTTTCAGCGAAATTTGCCGAAGCAAAAATCACGGGACTGACAAGTTTGTTTGACAACAAGCTACCGTTATATTACTACGAATGTAAACGCAACAGGAGTACAATACGAGAAGAATTACAGATCCTTACCATATATATACCTCTACATACACATGTCTAGGAATGCAGTTCTAATAAACATCTATATCAGAGTTTTTGTCAGTTAGGCTCTGGGTAAAAATCATTACCAGAAAGTTGTTTCAATTAGGAAGGTAGATTAGTACACAAGAAATACTAGTCAATGAATGTTTCACTCACTCAAAGAAGATGGTCTGCCTTGTAACAAATAAGTTTAATCAAAAATTTAGGTTGCTGACAGCCCTAATGTGCAGATTTTACGGTACCTATAGGTGGTATTAAACCTCTTGGATAATGAAATAGTCGAAACACATAACTCCTATAGTTCTTACCAGAACGTAGCATGAACAGCTTGAGAAGATATTCTTAAAAACAGATAATTCGTATACAGTATAGTATGATTAAAACTATTAGTTGTCGCTCATCACTGATGGCCTTGGACAGATCCTCCAGTGGTCTCAGGCCACAACAAAAAGCTCAGTTTATAGGAAGCCGATTGGCTGTGACCGTTAGATTCTATGAAAGCAACATTCATTCTGTTGATGAACCCACTGCTCGGTAGTGCGTTATAAATTCTGTTGACAAATCTATAATTAGTATGTGCTATACGCAGGCAGGTAAACAACTGTGAGATCCCGAAAATTCTACGCGTCACTTACGAGGACTTAAACGATGCTCGTTATCAATCCATGCTGTGCCAGCGATAGCCTGCCCAGAGTATAGAAATACAATAGATCATCTGATCGAAATCATTTCCGTTTGCCATTTGCTAAAGGGTCATAATCAATCATAGATAATTCTGTTAAGTTCAACTTCAAGGTAAGGCTTGAAAACGATTTGCTTTTGGAATACGCAGTTAATGCTCCGGCAACATCGCACAAATATCAAAAAAAATAAAAGTATCATTATTTTAATTCAAGACTTCACAGCAGCTGCTAAAATTACTCACGTAAACATTAAACTGGAAAGTAGATGTTAGTTATTCTACTGTGCACAATCACTATTTTTGTACAATATGTATTTTTTTTTTCCTTCTTTTACATCGGACTTACTTATGACGTCTTTCTTAGCTGGCCTGACTTTCAATTGCTTTAAGAACGCAGCAGCTTCGAAAAAAAATTGGCCTAACAATCGAGATGTATGCAACCTTGTTGAGATGAATGGGCAGAAGCTAAATATGTTCCTTTTGAATTTAAGAAAATTTGTCTAACTGTATTTTTAGAAACTAACAGGCTGCTTCAAGGTAAATATTCTATTACAGAAACGAAATTCTAGCTAAAATATTATTTTAGCTGGCAAGTGCGTACAATTAGATTTGATATGAAAAATAAATGCAAGAGATACTTTACTCTATATACTTATAGTCCACAGTAAGATGCTTCATTTAGGATTATTATATACGGTCTAGAAACTGTTAAATTGTCTGACTTAATGAACAGTTGAGCTCTCTTAAAGGCTCATCCATTCGCCCATTGCCCTGAAACAGTCTCTAATTCATATTAACGAATAGATACCATTTGTCATCAACGGTGATAATTCTGTCCAATGCAGTGTTAAAGCAAAGTTTAGGGAGTTCGTGAGATAGCCAGTTTTTATGTCTTGGTGTAAAGCAAAAGTGGCTAATGGCCATCGTGTATCAACAGCCCATGTTTACGGCCACATCCTAAGTTGTCTGTCGGCTGTCGTATTTCAAAAAAAAAGCGCTCTCAAACGGTCGTCGTCAAACTCAGAGTCAATTAGAGCGGGGGTGCCCTGTATGCCCCGGATAATATTCTTAAATTTAGCAAATCACTCTCGAGAAGCGATAACGTCGTTATCATACACAACGCAGATATACGAGACTATTTGGCTTCTACGAAATGCATAGCACAGAAAATGTCTCTCCCCTGCAAAATTCATTTTTGAAGAGTTCTTTTTTCACACTGCAATGCCACTACAGTTCGCTGGTAATGCGTAAAGAGTACTTTTAACACAGAACTAGGTAACAAATGAGACGGAAATGGAAAAGAAGTTTTTTCAGCGCGGTAATCTTCTTTCCATTTTAATTTCAAGCCAAAATACCCTATAGATGAGCCCGATTGTCCTATCAATGTTGACTGAGTTGCTTGATATGTTGATGAAGTATCGACACGTTTCAAAGCTGGTACATCCGTTCTGAAAATGCTTGCAGGAAGGCCAAGTGTATTTTAGCTACATTCATCATTAGCTAATTCATTCTCAAGGTCAAAGCTGCCTTTGCCAATCTGTCAAATGGGAGTGAACTGGTCGGCAAAACGAGCGGCCTGAATTTTATAGAGAGTGAATAGAAATGGGCTTAGACCTGAACCTTGCTGAACCTTTACTGTTACTGAATACTCATTTGAAACAGCATTACAATATACCGTTCAGAGGCGCTGGTCAAATAAGACCTGTACTAAACAACAGGAAAAAGTTAGAGTCGGAAATTATTTTCAAAAAAAAAAACACGTTTCCCCTAAAACGATATCCTAAAAAAGACATTGCCAAGTGCCTCTGTGACCTCAATCAAAGCTACAAGAACAACGTTTCCTCCATCGTAGGAACGGGTAAGATAGTTATAAATACTATAGCTAGCAAGGTCGCGGGTCTGTGAAAAAATTTGCGTTGGAAAAGTGGGATTCAAGTTAACATATGCCACATTTGGCAAAGAGTTTCGACTCAAAATAGGCAATGATTTTCTTTGTACTTTTACATCTTGAAATAAAGAAATAACTAAGGAAACTTCGAACAATGTTAAATATAGATGCCAGCGAATTCTGCAAAACGTTCGATAGGACAACAAAAAGGGAGTCAGTGATGCCACGTTTTATAAAGATGCTAAAGATTACACCTACCTCTTTAACAGTTGGTGAGGAATTGAAAGCAAAAGAGACTTCTGGTAGGAGCGTGAAGGTATGTGATAAAGATAGGTGGCCTATACACGTTTCAGATTCTTCTTTCGTTATTCCATCAATTACACAAGAGTGGCATGACAGGTGATCGGGAGATTCTTCATTTGACATTAGTAAAATTATCGTGTCGTCAAGAACGATAATAATTATATTTTGTGAGACGGTTATAAGATCAAGCAATCTAGTTCGTACGTTAACAGTTATTAGAATAAGCTCTAAAAACAACACGATCTGTCGATGGCTGCTTTAAGCGATACTTTATACATACACCAGGCAACAAAAAATACTCAGCTGATTGAGCTTCAAAAGTTTCGTAGACATATAAAAATACACCGCCACCATTGCTCGTTGAACGAGTTATTGCAAAGCGTTAAAATTATACAACTGTAAAAGCGGAAATACCACAATTCTATAGAGGGTTCCAAAATGCAAGTAGCATCAATAATACACTGCATTTCATGCCTTCGTCACCCTGTTCATGACCGTTGCTTTATCACCCATAAATGAAGCAGGACACCGTCGCTGCCTGTTCTAAATAACGGCATTGCCGCCCAAACGACACAGCGACAGTGTCGACCTACCGGAGTGTAAAACTCCTGAACCAACCAGACGGCTTCAGCTAAGCAGCACGCAAACGTTAGTAACGGCACGAGAGACCGCTGTTTTCCGTACCACTTAAGTGGCATCTATGCTCCCACAAGCGAAGCGTGCTTAGTGAAGCAGGGGTAGGATGGTAGATGGTAGATTGTGGGTTCCAACATCAAAATAACAGAGGCGTGGGTTTGGTCGTTTGCCAGCGTCATCCCGAGCTGCGGACACATAAGAAAGCAATCAAATCATTTTACGCTCAGTGGATTTATTATACCCAGATATTCGTCCATCTTTTACGATTTGATTTTGTTCGATTTGTATAATTTTATTGTCGAATAATTGCAGATTCGGCGCGAACGTTAATTTTTCTCTTTTTTTTTTGTTTTTTTTTTCGTTAGAGAGAAATACTTTAGGTGAAAATGCATTATTATATTATAGATAACTAGGCTTTACAGTTGTATTGGCATTTCTGGCGTGTGGAAATTACACGAAGTGGAATCAAAACGCATTTTGCACATGTTAAGGAAACGGATTTGGGCGCCTTGAGAAGCAAGAGATGTCGGCACCGCTGTTTATTCGTATAGATCATCACCACGATCGTTGAAGATCGTTAAGTAATTCCTAAATACACCTGACACTAGGAACATACACGTAACTGACTATCAGTGATTTGATCCCATAATTGTAAAATAAGAGAGACACTAACAATCGCTTGTTGCGATATTTTTTCTCTGTATCAGTATTTGTATTCCCCAAGCTAGTCTATATTTAACCGCAGAATGTATATATGTATACACGTTTCCAACATTAAAACTGAACTCAAGGTCATTTTTGGGGAAGATCGGTACGTTACGGGACGGGAGTCAGAAAAAACATCTTAGTTACACGTCAGAACTTGAACTGGTCTAAAAATTACACAGTAAATGAATAGAGATAACAGTACGCCTCAACTTGAAGTCCTTAATGTGCAAAGAGTAACATAGGTAAAAGGTAGGCCTACTTTGGCAGCAAAGATGTGTAGGGCGGTAATTCTTCGTGTGCTAAAAAAAAAAATGCATATAATTGTTATCATTAAAACGTGTTTATCATTATCGAACAATGCAGGCGTCACAGCATTAGGTATGTTTATATTTTCGTTTCGTAGAACACAATTTGTATTTCATTGAAATATATTTTGGTGCGTATGTAATAACGCTACCTATTCTAGGATGAATTAATATTTCCATAAGACGTATCACCTGTTAATGTTTCTGTACCGTTCCGTATTAGCCATAAGATTCTTTCGATTCCTTTGCTCAAATCGATTAGGTTATAAGTAGATTCTGTTTGATCCTATAAAACATACATATACATAGGAACGTAAAAATAGATAAGAGGTAAGTATTAATCTATTTTATAACCTTTTTCCTCAATTGACACAAGTTATCGACTTTTAGTAAAAGCAACCAGTGTTGCAAATGTAGTGAGCGTATCAACCATAAATTTTGCGCGCAGGTTTCAAATTGATTACATGTATGTATCTACCTGTAGCACACCATGGCGGCAGCCGTTTTTTTTTGTATTTGTAAAAATTTTCTATGTATTACGGCAGGAAGACCCTTCTACTCCTTCAATAAATAAACATTTAAAAAAAATTGTCGTTTTCCGTTTCATGACCCACTTCATTCTAATGACCCTTAGCAGCATACCTTCCGCTAGATGCTTGCTTGCAAATACCGAATTTAACGATTAAGCGTTTGCATGTACCAATAAGATACCTATGCGATAGGCAGGGTAGATATGGAGATTCCTCGCTGATGTTGGGCCTCTTTGGCTACAGATGCTTAAATTGTGCCTTCTATGCTTCAGAACCGTAGGTCCATGGCAGTGCTCTTCATAAGTCTGACTCGTTTCAGAAATGCGATACAAAGCTTATTTGAGACAAACTGAATAGCCAAGTACACCTAATAAATTATGCGCAGAGCATTCGATGGTGAATGCAGACGAATCGCGTACATATTGCATGTAATAACAGCAAGATAATTTCTTTTCCTAACGAATGTATATAGGTAGAAGACCTACGGTTTCAACTTTGTGTTAACGCCGTGCTGATCAGCTCAGACCAGTGGCTTCCTAATGTTAGTTTGTTGTTTTTAAGTGACATTTCAAAATATTCTAAGCGATACTTTGTTTGACCACGACTTGCCAGATACAATAAACTAACAGTATTGCTGGCCTACATGTTAACCTTATCTGGCTGTTTCGTAGAAATTCGATTTAAGATGAGTTCTGCTCCATCTACTCCATCTTGAAGAGGAACACCGGTTGCTCGAAAAGTATTCCTTGCCATTAATTGTATAAACAAATGCTTTTTCGCTTTAGATGCAAAGTTCGTTTTGCATCTAAAGCTGGATCATTACTAATATCAGTGTCAGTACCGCTATTGCTGAACAACAATTAGTTTTCGTATATCGCGACACGTCAGTGTATTCCATAGGATAATTAATATGCCAGCTTTTTGTCTAGCTGATAAAACTAAAGGCCACAGCGTAAACGTATGAGCTCGTACCTATCAGACGATTGCCGAGCTTCAACGTCAAGTTCGATGGAAATTAAACTTAAATTATTGCATAACGCATTTCCCCAAAGCGGGATGATATAGTTTAGTTACAACACGAACGGGTATAGAAAATACCTTAAATTTGCTAGTATTCAAGTTGAATCTACTTATCATATGGCTGCTATGAAAAATGCACGAACGCCGTCATACAGCTCAACGTCGTAGCAAAGTTTACTGATCGGTCTACAATTCACTCAGCGGACAATCAGTGGCACTATACCAGTGTTGATGCAACAAAACCATATTTTATTATAACAATAAAGTATATAGCATAATTGTAGAAGCAAAGATATACCGACAAGTCTAATGTAATTTATAATGATTTCGAATAAAATCGGGAATCTCCCCTTGAACTTTCGCAATTTTTCCTGCTGGGCTTTGCCAAATCACGCAATCTATACTACTTACTTAGGTAAGAACCAAGACTAGAGGGACACCTATGCAAACTCTACAGTAACAGACGTGCATAATTCCTTTCAGTTTGTAGAGGCATTCTGTAAAAGCGAGTGATAATAGGCACGAAGCAGGTTTTCTTAGGGAAAATTCGACTTCAGAGCGGAACTTCAATACATCTTTCACCATACCATGTGATACAAATGTTACAAAACAACTACCATAGCATCTTAAAAGTATTCAATTCCTAACAATCGTCCTTCGTCTCTTGACTACACGTTTGTCAAAACCTTAGAAAGCTTAATTATAAATCAAAAAGTTCACATGACACAATTATTCATATACAGTTTGTTATATACAAACAGCGACACAGTTATAAATAAATGCACAATCGCTACGTATATGAACCAAGTCTTTAACTAAATTCAGTCAGACTCAAAATAATAAGGCAGAGTTTGAAGGTAGGTATTCAGCGCCATCTTTCTTCTTCTTACACAACATAATTTAAACTAGAACTTGAAAAGCAACTGCCGATGTGCAAACGTAGCATGGAATTAATGCGATGTGGTAGGTAAAAATGGGCCCAAGTTTAGTCCGGTACTACGAAGCTCGGTGCCGATCTTCACCATGTTCGAGCAAGGTAAACCGCAAAAAGAAGTACTCTAAAGGAAGTCTGCTGATTGCAAAGCTCTGACCTGAGTTAGAACACTTCGACGGTCCAAATCTTCAAAATGAGAAGCACTGAATGATCGCAAACTATTTTTTTTAAGCATCTGCACAGATCGTCTATTCTACTAAAAAATATTATATAAAGGAGATGTCTGATTGATGTAAAAAAGTTACCTTAACAGTAGCTTGCACAGGAGAAATACAAGCCGTGCTACTTAGCTTCCACTCTTAGCAAGATCTATGCAAATTGTACCCAGATTTTTGTGAGCAAAAAGATTCGTAAGCAACTTTACAAATCTTTATCAAAAAAAACCACCAGGTCTATTTTGTCTAAAATGGTTATAATTTATCATGTTCTGATTTTATAATCTACGGTTCCGATATGCATTTGAAAATATTCAACTTTAATTTACTTACTTGGATATTTTTTTGTAAAAAAAGTAAGTATCACACTATGAACTAGAAAATCGACACGGTACAATCGGCACTCAAAGCTCAAATATTTAACTTCGACCACGGCACGCTGCACGCCTTCTATGTGCACATCCTGTACATCCGTCATATAATAACCTCTATTATGCGCACACTGCACCCATCATGTCTACGTTTGTATGCAGAGCCGAACGGAAAGACGTACAAGAAAAATGAAAAAAAAAAACAATACATTTTTAGTTGTTTGATCAATATTGGGTATAGTTTAACAACGAATGCAGCACAAGTATAGCGCCGCATTGTTCTATGAGTATGAGATATCGTATTCGTACTCGGTAACGTATTTTAAATGTATGCAATGAATGTATAAAGGTTTGTTTTGCGTTTTTCCACCAGCACACAGAGTACAGTCATTAAAATGGCATTTGCTTTCGTCCATAATGACGTAGTAAACAGAAGCATAGTTCGGATTAGCGCCACATCATTGTTGTTCGTCGTACTATAATCGTTGCGCGCTCGTATTGATCGCCATAGTGCGATATCTGTGTGACTTAAAAATCTTATCATAGTTTCACGTCCTTCTACGTTTATATATCTTATATATATATATATATATATATATATATATATATATATATATATATATATATATAGCACGTATAGTTATATAACACACCTTGTAAATACAAATAATATATAGCTCTCATCGTGCACTATGACAGTTAACTTTTTCTCCACTAAAGTAAATTGATCTAGTCTGTTGTTTACGTCTTTCTGTTAATGCCAGCGGTTCGATAAACCATAAGTCGGTCGCTCCGTAGAACGTCACGCTTGCCAAGAATCGTATACGAAAATCATTGGCGCAATGATAAAATAGCTGCCTGTAGCCCGCCAAACCAGCTTCTAATTTCAATATTGAGTCTGCAATGGCAGATGGTTTACACCTGAGTAACTAAATTAAATGTGAAAAATCACTAGAAAATCTGTTGTATAGCTATTAAATATCAAAACGTATAAACGAATGACTATATGTGCAATCAAAAAACACGACAGATACGCCTGTCGTATGTGAACGTAAATACATTGGAAATATACATTGGAACAGCAATGTAGACGTATATACATGTCTGACTGATCTGTAGAAATTTTTAAAGATTTAACTTGAACTTGAGAAACTAAACTTTTAATTATTCTTACATATAGTACATAATAGAGAAGAGATGATTGGCGCTTTCCAATTAGAGAGTGCTCTAGAAATGCTGCTGTATTGTACCTTTCAACTGAATCTCAACAGTGAGCTTATGTAAAGAATAGCATGTAATGACAACAGGGGTAGAAATGATAAACGGGCGTGATTGGGGTGAAGTAACTGTGAATTACAAGCACTTTTGGCAAGACCTTGCGACTTACTTAGATCCTTAATCAGATCAAGTGCTAGGCTTCACCGATCTAACAGCTTCAGACCAGACTGTGAAAATAGATACAGGATATGCCCTATTCGGGCGTTCTAATCCTAACTTACGCTAACAATAATGCGACCTCAGTTGCAGAGAAAGCAAAAGCTTACCGAAACTTCAAAAAACTCATGCGCCTACTGCTGCGCTCACGAGGTTGAAGGAGCCGACCCGATCAAAATCGACTTGCCTATAAAAGATGAACGGAACATTTGTATTCGAGAACTATTTTTTTCAAATTTTATATCATGGCAATTCAAGGGCTATCGGTAGCATCCGTTTCAGCCTAGAGACAGGTAATTAAATCGTCTATGCCCCCCTTGATGTAAAACTTCCCGGACATGACGATTAGAATAGAGTGTCCCGGATTTTCTTATCTGATATTATACTTGTATAAAGTAACTAAACGTGCAACACCAAAAAAAATCGAAAATTATATGCCAGTTACAATAGTTGTCAAGAGCTACTTACGTAGTAAATACAAATAGTTATTGACATTGATTAAGGTAGCTTATGAAACCACTTATGCCTCAATTAAAATCGTATTTCTTCTTTTCATTTACCATAGAGACTTGTAATTACAGAACTAAACAGTTTGCTTACACACACACACACATATATATATATAATCGAATTCTAAGTAAATGCCGGTTATTGTTGAAAATCTGCGTAAGCTACGTGTCGTTGGTATCAAGTGAAATTTAAGGTTGATGATTGCTGGTTCTTGGTATATCAATCAAAAACCTACATTAAGTAAGTAAGTTAACTACGTTTTTCATCATGTCAGGACCTTCAATTGTACTGAAAAAGAAACGCTGCTTTACAAGAAAAACTCGTTTCAGAACTTTTCAGGCTCCAGGCGCATCTCGCTAGTACTAAGTACAAGAGTGGAACCTTCTATAAAATTAAATGTTATATCTAAATATATTATAGGTTTACGGCCGTGATGGGAAATGCTCAAGTAATTTCAGTTGGAAGTTGAAGTTCTATTCTTATGCTGCCCCCGCAAGATGCGACACAACTCGTGGCGCTGATATGTTGGTCTGTTTCTTTAATTACGAACCTTATTGACATTAGTTCTGCAGTCCAACGCTCCCGTGTTGTTGGTGGGACTTGAAACAGCGATCTCTGACCATTTTCAAGCAGAAGCCCAAACCAGTTCAAACCTTAGCAACTAACAGAGTAAATTAGTCAGTGTTCGAATAATAATAAGACGTCCACAGCTTGAGACCAATATGTGTATTTCTGCTCAGCTTGGGTGTTATCATTATTTGATGATCTTCAAGAATCGGAGTTAGTGATGGCTGAATCGTAACATTAGACTAAGCAAAAAATGGCCGAAATCACACACAACTTTGTGTTCAAACCAGAAAGTATACTATAAGTACACATTTGCCTGCATGGTTCAGAGAACCCATAAGCAAGTAAAAAGAAGAAACCGTTGTAATAGGTATCGGTTTATTAGAAAAACAGAAAGATCCAGTGCGCCCCCTTAGTGGGCTACTCATAGATGACCAGGGTCGAGAAGCAATCGAATGAATGCATAACTTTAACTACATGTTTTGTGTGCCTTTAGTTTGTAGCGGTTGTGGCGATTGTAGAATGTCACGAACATTTTTCAATATATTTTTCCGCGAATTTGATATGCTTGTTGACGTTAATATTTATCTGATCAGAAAAGCTGAGCATTCCTGCTGGTAAATTTTTTTGGTAATTTAATCTGGTAGATTACAAAAGCTTTTCGAATACTTCTGAATTACTCGCGTTGATAGTTCCATGCGATCTGTTTACTCATTTGATAGGTACTGCAGAAGTGACACAGCGCTTGATAGTTTGACAGAGGTAGTTCGATGCACCATTACCGAACCAACGAAGAAACAGAATGATATTAAACACCGTCTGCCACAATGAAGTGTCTGTGACCCCGCTAATCTAATCTATGAATCTTCTATTAAAAATTCTATATATTAGAATATTATTGTGCTAGCAAACAGCCGTTAAAATTAGGCTATATTTCACAGGAATAAGATAGAGTTAAATATAAATGGACATCTTTTAAATTAATATCGTCCAGAGATGCTTTTAAGCGGCATGATTCTTTGGTAACAATACCAGAATGTTGCGGGCCGACATGTTGTATCCTGACCCGAGAGTTGGAATGGGTTTCGGATGATGCCCCAGCTAGCAGAACTGCTTTGGAGCAATTCGTAGATGTTTTTCAAAGATGAAAAATTCCGCTTTAGGTAGACTATTATTATTTCCTTTAAAATTACGACGCACTAGAAATGGCTGAGCGAAATCTCCATATTTAAAATTCATTCGGCCAGTTTTGGTTATCATTAGTATACGTTGTCAGTCTGTAGCTACGACACGCGGATACCGTCAAATATAGCGCAGTTATATCGCGCTTGTTGGAAAAGAAGAGATCAACTAGGCGGTCGTATGTTCACACGTTTATCACGTGGTCTAGATAATCTTTAAAAAGTATCATATGAATCGAGTTTATTCAGGGTATAGGAAATCCAGCCTCTGTACAGATGTACTTTGTCCGTATTGCTATCATCTCGAACAGTAGTATACTTTTACTCTCACACATATTGTGACAGACTATATATATATATATATATAGGACTGACACAAGCCCAACATCAACAATCTGAAAATTTTTACTGAAGGCATCTTAACGTAAAGCAATTAGACGCAAAATCAAAAGCATTGACATTAGTAAAATCGTGTAGGCGGACCTTGAACGGACCTTTGCTACGTCCTGAGTGAACAAACATATCTAAACAGATATAAACAGATAATCAGTTAATACACACCCACACTTACTATATTATATATTGGTATTAGATATATCGTTTAGTGTTAATGGCGGTCAAAAAGAATATGATAATGCTGTCCGGGACGAAACACCATAAGACGAGAGGTATAATAGGCCATATTTCGGATAAAAAAAATTTGGGGTGATTTATACGTACCTTGCTTGATCTTTAGCTATTGATTATTTGAACGTCTCATTTGAAACAGATGCCTTAAAAGTCGGACCTCACGATACACGTACTGCCTTCTTCTACTATACATAATATATATATATATATATTTGTTAATCTGTAATAGAACTGATGCCGTGTATCGGGGTTAACTTTGAAATAACAGTAAAGCTGAACAGGTTTAGTTCTTATGTGTACCAAATATCGGCGTCGGCGTCTAGACGTTGTAATCCGATTGTTTTACACTCAGAAACGCTATTAATAAACTCGGTTAAAGTGTCGACACTGTAAGCACTGCCATGGACAAAAGTTAACTAACATTGAAAAGTTTAGTGTCTCCAAGCTTTAAACTTTGCCACAACAGGTGTTTAAGGACAACAGATGCTATATTTTGCAGTGAGACCCCGTATAGATCTGTTTTGGATACTGAATTGCTAATTATGCGTGACGATTGAATGCTGACTGGGCCATTTCTCACCCGGTCGATGTTATGATTTTTAGCATTAGTCAAAAAACTAGCTCATTTTTCTCCTAGTCGAAAGCAGGAGATGATGACGCGCTTTTGAAAAATACAACTATGCACATCCAGCCAATACAGTGTCCCTCAAAAGAACTACAAATGTGGTAAACTATGGTACACGGACTGTTCCATTGATCTATAGTTGTCAATTAGTGTTTTAAGGAAAAGGTAATAGAGAGTGGAATAGAACATTTTAGTCATAGCTATGACAAAGAATGTTGCTAGAGGTCTAGCCGAAACAGACAAGTGATTCGTCTTACAAATTAGCAAATGGTAAGAGGCTACATTTAAACGCAAGTGATACCAACAATAAACCACAGCTGTGAGTGTTATCCGCAAACAAATACAAACAGCATAAAGCCCACATCAATATGCATTCTCACAGTATGTGTAATAACAAGGCCAAAGGTTGACAAGACAGCTTCTCCGTAAAAAAAAAAAAAAAAGAAGAAGAAGAAGAAAAAACCTTTGACAGGAGTTCGTACACTGCCGTCGTGCGTAGCAACGGTGCTAACTTCGACAAGCCTCGGAGTTATCATTGAAGTACAATTTAAGACTGTTATATAACTTTGTTATTAGTAATAGGTCAATTAAATACGCAGTAGTCTGAACACAATTGACAAGCATTGGGATTTTAGATGGGGATTCGACAGCGCATGCAGCCTCATTGTTAGTATTTCGAACTGGGTCATCATTTTCAAACACAAAACATCCAGGGATTGCTTTATTAGATCGATCTTGATATTTCGATGTTAGATCGAGCGTTCATTATTGTAACTGCCGCTGGATACGAGCCCAAATGCATGATCGAACGTCGAAGCTATTATCGACAACTTGGCCAGATTCGTGTATAGATAACCATGTATATTTCTATTAGAGTATAGAGAGTATCGTAAAATGGTACTAGTCTAGTGATACTGTTTTATTGAAATGCGAATTAAGTTGGCAATTAATTGAATCAATGTTCTTTTTTTGTGGAACAGGGTACACCGGATCCGAACATCGATACACGTGTGTGCACTAGCGTTACGGACACAATGTCCATAATGCATCCATATGAAATATTGTCCGCGCGGCGTGTTCTATATGCGTATTTTATTCGTTGGCCGATACCGTGAACATAGCTCTAGTGCGCCTTTGTCGTTTTGTACGTGCAATTCGTCAACCTCTTCTTGTGCCCTCTCTCCAGCCCCGTTTAACGCTTTAACAATAGCAGTATCACCACCATAGCTACCATTACAACCAGCATTGCAAGCACCATCAACGGCCGTTACTGCTTGACACTGCTTTGTGTAACCAATTAAGGTGCTTTTGAAAAACGCCCTCTAACGGCACATATTTACCAGAATCTTTTGTGAGCCTATAAAAAGTGACATATTATTAGTGCGTCTCGTCAGTCATCGCCATGAAGCTGTTCCTAACTTTTGTCGCCCTTTGTGTGTGCGCCCACGCCGAACTTCTCAGGTAAGATCGGTGTTTGGACACTAGAATAGAATCTAATAATAGACTGAATGAACTGGTGAGCTTATCGCTTTAATGGCCACTCAGCAGGATACTATAACTGCTAACTAGCAAGGCCTTTGGATGATGAGTAACTTAAGATGATTTGCGTACTTAACAAAGCTATAATGGTAACCGATTCGATTACCGTGGTGCTTGCACAGAAAGCCAAAGCCAAACTTTCTCAGTTTTTTTTTTTGTGGATATTGCGTGACTTGCTAGCTAATGCAGATACCAGCATGAGATCCATGACCCTCAAATACGCGTCCATCGATTATCTAGACTTCGCTCATTGTTATAGAGATTTATAGCGCTCATCAATATTACTAAGAGGGAACTCAATTCAAGGTGGAACTATACTTCAGGCCATGCACGTTCGTTATTAAGAAAATCAGCTAAAAAACTCTAAACTTTAAGGCCGAAATCACCTGGGGAAAAAATGTACCCTTGAAGGTACTTACATCTGCAATTGTTTTTGAGAAGCGTATACGTGTTCCCTTGTAAGCATTCACGCAAATGTAAAAAGTGAATCCAGACTTTTACAGTAGGAATTTAAAGCAGACTATCGTAAGCACTGTACTACACCGTGAATTTTTGGCTGTTCAGGGTTCCCCTGACGAAGATCAGCTCCGTGCGTAAGCATCTGATCGAGAAAGGAACTGCCCGTCATGTTGCTTTTAGTAGGCCCATCGTAGGCAACAGCATCGAGCCCATTAACAACTACATAGATGTAAGTCACTTCGTATCAATTATGCTATGTATCGTCACTATTGCTATTATTAAAAAGAACAGGTCCGGGTAAGATTTATACAACACTGCAGGAGGTAGTAGAAGTCCAGAAATGTTTTTGCATTTAATTATGCAGATTAACCGATAGACGACAGCACTATACTATTTTACAACTCCAATGACTCGCGGAAGTGGTAGGTCGATACGCGAAATCATATATTCCCATTATCTCAACTGTGACTACCGATACTTGTTTCAGACATGGAAGGCGGACAAATGTATTTCTCTGTTCCAAATGCCACATAATGCTTTATTATTCAGTATATAGGACAACGCTAGAAAATTTTGAAGTCGAGCTTTGTCTCGATGAAAGCTCAACGGTCGTTTCTACAAAAGCCATTGATTTCTTTTTCATACACAAGCTTTCCAGTTGAAAGGGTAATATTAGCCTCCCTACTGAAAAATCGCCTGTGCTCATACGATTGATTCTATAGTGTAGATTTATTACCCTGCCCAATAACGAACTTAGCAGAGGATTCAAGTTTTCATTATTCATCTACTCAAACTTGTCTACGTTCAATGACTTACATGTGGACGTAAGTGTATTGGAGATTTTAGTTATTTTATGTTAAAATTAAACGTCCTATTCATTTATCGTGAAAGAATACCTGTTCACCATCTTAACTTCATTTGAATGTAATTAATTCACAAGTAAAACACGCGGAGTGCATGTCCAGATCGAAAGAAAATAACGTTGAAATATAAGCATTAAGTTATCGACAAGGTACTCGTATGAATCTATATCACAGCTCGAGACCAATAGCCAGGCCACTTATGAAGACTTAAAGCTAGTAGCATTAAGTGGAAATTTCAAGACACAGCATCTAGACTAACAGATTTAAATAAGCTTAGGTAAAAAGTTCATGCGTGGCATAACGTGGGGTTACCGCAACTCCTGTTTGATAAATGAGGCTTGAAACAAGCTCGTTATGAAGTTAATACTTGAAACCCACTGCATGTTACAGTAAACGGTATCTGCTAAATTATAAATTTTAGGGTTCACTATATTGAAGCTGAACACTAGATAAACGGCGCTGAATCTGTTTATGTTGCCAGTCGGGATCAAGACAGATATCGAATGATACGTAAAAATGGTAATGCTCAAGACATAGGTAGTGGGAGTATAAGTATTTCATAGAACACATTCTAGAATACCGAGACCCTCGTGCAGTGTTTTGCCATTGCTATCACTTAATGAAGATATATGCTGCGAATGCTTCAACCAATCTTAATGTAACTAACATGACTCGTAATGGTTTAGCAACACTTTAGCACGTAAAAACGGTAAAGCTATTAGATGTTTCATAAACGAAAGTCATATTGTAATTCTATTTGACACATTATTTGCTTGCTGCGAGAAACAACAACTTTGTTTGGCATAATTTAGAAAAGAGTTCTGGTGAATATTCTATAATTATCTGCCTGTTGACAACGCTGGATCTAAATATTAAAGGCAACATCAGAATAAATTCGCTGACTAAGGTGTTTGTTCAATATTGGATACAGTTTTCATCGAAGAACTAATCAACTGTGTGACATCGTTACTTTGGAGACCATTTGACGGTCCGGCATACCTTCGAAGATGGCAAGCACATGGATATAACACAAAATATCGCCTATATCGTAGTGGCTGTTGATGCTGAAGCGCTTTCGGTGACTGGATTGTTAATGTATCCGTCGGCTGGTGATTCCTCATTGATAGTCGCTTAACTGATGACGCTGTCGAGACGTTTAATACGATTCAGCTTCTATCTTTCTGTTCCGCGGTCAACTGGCGTAATCGATATGACTAAGTCGTAGCAAAATAAGCTCTAACAATATGCCAGGTTATAATTTTAACAAACGGTACGCGCCTTACTGACTCACCAGCAGCCATCTTGCAAGTATCTCTATAGCTCCACTGGATCGCTAATGCAATCCATTGGACAAGACGTGTGCGTCTTATCCAATGGATTCTAATTAACTAATCTAAGCGTATATAACTTGTTCCAATACGAACTGGCACAATTTATCATTCATATTGGCCATTACGGTGTATGGAGATGACCAAAGAAATAACTAAAATACTTTTTACGTGTGTTCGATTGGAACCAATCAGTTTTACGTCTATCTTAACTGTGATATCGGTGTGTTGCCCAATTGATTAGAAAAAACTCGTAGCTATTGCCTTAAATACACGAATCAATAGAATCGATGCGGCTTTGGACAAATGCACAGATGCAAAGTAGGTCTTATCACGCTTAAATAGTGCTTAGCTGCTCCACGCACTTCTAGTTCCTTTACTTTACGGGCTTTGCTGTTCTATCAATTCATTACTTTAACCACTGCTTTAAAAGTCAACCATCAATGAGTTTTTTTGACGACGTTGCAGGCTCAATATTACGGACCTATTAGCATCGGAAACCCTCCGCAGACTTTCCAGGTCGTCTTCGATACTGGATCGTCCAACCTATGGGTGCCTTCTTCGCAATGTCCTATCACAAACGTCGCTTGTCGTTAGTACACGCCCAGCTAACATACGCATTGAAAGTCTATAATAGACGAAAGACTCGTGTTTCTAGGGGAAGTGAGAATGTGACATTCTCAAAACTATGGTTCAGGACGATGATTTAAGCAACAAAGGTCTACCCTATTAATATAAACAGGGATTATTGAATGTGATATATAGTTTGTCCCTTAAGATCTTAAGGGACTCCTTTTAAATGAGTAACTACGCAACAAGAAACACGTACATGTTTGTAGCGGCTCTCTTGACAGACCGTCTCATTTTGCATTGTAGGACCAAACTACCTTCTCTAGCAACAATTATTTTCTATTATAAGCATTGAGATTCCGCTGTTTGCAGTTCTGCACAACAAGTACCACTCTGACAAGTCACTGTCGTACGTTTCCAACGGCACTGCGTTCAATATCCAGTATGGTTCGGGTAGTGTGTCCGGGAGGCTTTCTACCGACAGCGTCCTCGTTAGTGGCGTCAGGATCAGCAATCAGACATTTGCTGAAATTTTCAAGGAGTCTGGAATAAGCTTCATTGCAGCTAAGTTTGACGGTATCCTCGGTATGGCGTATCCTGAGATTTCAGTTCTTAGAGTGTTGCCGCTCTTTGATGAGATGATCCGGCAGAATGCCATAAATAAAGCTATCTTTACGTTCTATCTCACTCGCGACCCGGATCATCCCACCGGCAGTGAACTCGTCATTGGAGGTAGGCACCAGTCCAACTATACCGATATCTGTAGTCGGCTTGCTACAACGCGTCGTTCTTTAGCCTGTTCGACCATGGTGCTAAGACAATTACTGGCTAAATTTGTAGAGTTCGATTAGCGTTAGTGATGTATACACGAGTTAAAAGTAGCTATTGTTCATGCCAAGTATTTGTGAATTGAAGGCAGATCTGAATGAGACCCTAACGCGTCTAACATAGTTTACTTTTCCTTGTCGATTTTTTTTTTATTTCATATAGGGATCGACGAGAAGCACTACAAGGGTGAGATTTCCTATTTTCCAGTGACGAAGAAAGGCTACTGGGAATTTCGGATGGACAAGTAAGCTCACTTAAAAGGGTCAAACGGCTACCCTGATGTGTGAACAGCGATTTGGCTAACCCGTTAAAATGTGATAGATACTATGTGAACGCTATTACTTTAATTGCCAAAGGCAGTCCGCTCTAAAACAATGTCTATATTCAAAACTCGCGGATGAATTTGGCAAATCGGTTTGTGTGAATGTTCTAGAATTCCTTCTTTTTATATAACTATTCCCTGGATGGATTTAATGCTTTCAATAGTAGGCGACTTTCAAAAGATGTATCCATGCATTGTCGCTTAATCGATTGCGTGAAGCCCGCATGTTTATGAATTTTCAGAGTCACCGTAGGCGGTAAGATCGATTTTTGCGCACACGGATGCGCAGTCATTGCTGATACTGGTACGTCGCTTATTGCTGGACCAGTAGCCGAGATTAAGAAGCTGAATGAGGCGATCGGCGCCGCACCATTTATGAATGGCGAATACGTGGTCACCTGCAACAATCTGTCGAATATGCCGAACGTAACTTTCTTCTTTAGTGGCAAACCCTTTACCCTTAGTCCTAAGGACTACGTCCTTAAGGTGAGGAGCATATTTGACAAAAGACTAACTTGTGTGAGTGTAATAATAGTAGGAAGTTCATCTCATCATTATAGGTATTATTCTTATTTTTTAAACTGATCCTAACTTCAGTTCGTCCATCAATCTAATTAAAGGTCTAGTCAGTTGACTAAAAATTGTACGGATCAATTAATACATTGCTCTAAGTTTATACACAAAATGTTCTTCATTATGCTTTTCAACTAAGTGACGAGTAGCCTAAGTAACAAACCAAGACTGGATCGTTCCGCTTTGGGGTGCCAGTTAACACCGAAAAGCAAAATTGAGTTATTGAAAAGTGAATTTGACGAAAGTAATTTCTGTAAATGGTTTTGTGGCACTTATTTTAGATGAGCCAAGGCCCGTTTCCCGTCTGTTTATCAGGCTTCATTGGCCTTGACGTTCCTCGTGGTCCTCTTTGGATTCTCGGCGATGTCTTCATAGGGAAGTACTTCACTGTGTTCGATCGCGTCAACGATCAGGTCGGGTTCGCGGAAGCTGCTTAGGTATCATGTTTGTAGAGCAGCGGCGCCCGATTATGATAATTATACATTTAAATTCAAATTCATTTTCTAAACCCTCATTTTCGTGAGAACGTGTGCTTTGGAAATCAAATTCAAAATTTAGCGACACCAAATTGGCTCTATCGCTTTCGCGGTGTTTCAACTTTGTGAATGAATAGAAAAAAGTATTAATATTATAATAGAGAATAAATTGTTCTTAATATGTTCAGAAGCATTGGATCATTCTGATCCAACTAATAAATTGCAATCTCTTTGTTTTTATTGTGACACGTACTTTTGTCAAACAAGTTTTGCGTGATAGTCTCAGGGTCTTGGGACAAAACCCGCCTGATCTATTTATGAGGAATCATTGATAACTTCATCATTCTTGAAATCTTACCAAAGCATTAGTCATTAATATGAGCTGCCTTTCAGAGCATTAGGGTAACGCAAAGTGTTAGTGAACGCATTGCTGTTATTCTAACGAAAACAAAACAAAATTGACGACTATTAAATATAACGCGTTGTGCGCTATGTTCAACAATCGTGTAGCTCGTCCATAAGTGCATTAATAAAAGCTTGCTCTTTGGGTTATTCGGTGATTTTGTTACTAAATCGTTGTGCATTTTTTGAACTTTCGATATATACAGTTTTTAATTTGAGAAAGGTGTGTTGTTCATAAAAGGATCTAGACATTGGTAGTCCTTGTCTAGCTTTTCTCACCCTCCACAAAATTAGGATCTGAAAATTAAAGTCCGATTGAAACTGATGTCAAAAATCGTTTAATTAGGAAAGGATTCCATTTTCACTATGTATAGTAAAAGCTTTCATAGCACCTCACCACGTGAACTTTTTTTTACTTAAATTAAAATGTTTAAACGTCCGTGTGTGGATTTCTATCTATAATAAAAAGCAAAACATTTACAATGAACATCAATTAAATTATGTACAGATCGTTTTCATCTTTTCAGTCTTTCTTTCCTTATTAGAGCACGCTATAAAAAGGACATAGCAGTCTTCGTCTGAAAATGCATTCGCCCCTACTTAGCAGTGATAAGTTTTTCTAGACGGTCAATTGTGACCGAATCTATATACACAAAGCGCTTCACAGCCACTAACCCTGCGCTTTATATGACCACTAACGCGCTTGTTTATTGAAAATAACATTACAATTACAGATTTGTTCTGGCGGGCTTTTAGTATCTTATGGCCCGAGCGTCTTGTTCACTATGACAAACCTTACAGGCTTCTTCCCAGACTTCAGCGTAATGCAGCCGCTCTAAATCCTATAAATGCCTTTAATTGCAGTCAACGTTACTTCATACATGTCCCTAAATGTAGCGGTTCTTATGGTTTATCGCACTCTTTTATGCCTAGTTAAAACGATGGATCGGCGAAAACAGGGACATTTACCTGATTGCAATTCGTGCACTGATCTCCTTTGATAGCAAACATGATCTAACCGTATGCGCTTCAAGCTTGAGCTTCGTTCGAAAACACTCAAGCTCTGGCCAGCTTCAAAAGGGTCAGACGTATTCCTTTGATTTGGAATAGGACAGCGTACCAATACTCTACAAAAAAAAACTGCTTCATTAGCTAATTTTTTTGGACACATTTATTAATGCCAACTAGCCTCGACAGAAAATACAGCAAATGGTTTTAGTTTTTCGCTTGAAGTGCATTAATCCGCATGACCCGAATTAATTCAGCGTTTTTTTTCCATTGCTCGGTCGTTAGCTAGTAAAACTCGGAAGTTTGAGAACCAGTTTCATCTTGTAAAACAAGACTCACGTTAATCCCATTGATCTGAACTCCTATAATTTTATCACTACCGCTAAAATGAAGCTTACGGGCCCAATTTTCTCGTCGCAGGTAGGGAAAAACGCTCTGCAGTCATTTGCTCCGCATCTGATATATCACTGATGTGTATTTATTTCTTAAAGCATATTAAAATATAAGAATAGTCAAGGCATATTATTTAGTAATATGCATGCTCAACTGCTCTAGAAGTATTGATGAATCTATCAGACTACCAGAAGACTGCAATATGCGTGACGGCCCAGATAACGCATCCATGTGCTGTACCTTAACTCAACAGGGTCGTATATCGTCACCTTATGAAACTTCTTCCGCGCCGCTACGATCTTTTTTTACCGGCAACCTATACGCAATCAAACATCCACCATACTCCAGAGATTGGTGAATAATGTACGCAGGGTCCAAAAGTACTAATGGTTCTCATGTACCTTGGCAAATCTCCCGACCTCGACCCTTTCATGATGTACCTTCAGAACGTGCTACGGGTTATCGACTCCGCCAACCTACAGCTCAAAGTCAAGCAATGCACCCTTGGAATCTAAGAAGTGCTCTATTGAAACCACAAAATCACTGTCGCCAAAACTTTTCCGCGATGCCTGGATAATACCAATACTGCTAGTTTTTTATTACCCAGGCATCGCGAGTTTCTTGTAACCCGAGAGTTTTTTGCTACCTACTGGGTGTCTCCTTTTACCACCACCAGCTCGTACCAGATCGTATCGAGTCGAGAGTAACATTTTCCAGGTATAGAAGTTTTCACCGTGTTGTCTGTACGGACAGCCAAGTCTTGAACTGCTCCACATGCCTGCACCCACTGCAGAGGAGGCCTGGCCTATCGTAGTCCGAACCTTCGGCCTCACCGGCTTGGGAAGCAGGTCGGCTCGCTAGCCGTAGGCGGTAATATAGACATCTTGCTAAGTATTACAAGAATCGAATAAGTTCGGCCGGTCATAGCCTAAGCAAGTACAAAACAGTTTTTCGTATTACACTATTCTTCAATGAAGCAAGGAGTATTGTTAATGCTGCCAAATAATTGGGATCTGGCGGAATGTTTGCCTAAGCAACTGATATTAACCGCGTAAATTCTGGTTTGGAAAAGTAGCGAAAAGAATTACGCGCATATAGGAGCAAAACTGATATCACGCGTCCACCTACTGTTATTACTGTTTTTTATTATTAGAAAGTTCGTGCCGATATTGAAAGCACAATTGGTCGCGTTTTCGTATATTTGATACAATTATTAATTATGTGAAGAGGTAACCGTCTCTTTTACAACGGCAAGATAAATCTGTGGAAACCACTAGATAGCGGTGCACATCGCTGTTGGAACTTGCGACGGATTTCAGGGACAGAATATATTGAAGAGCCGCTGGAGAACGGGGAAGCAGTGGATACCTTCAGTAGAACCCTCGACGAGGGCCTTCAGCACGGTATCTATTTTACCTGCGTCATCGTCCCTTGCCAAAAGCTCGCTGGGGCACTATGCCAGTCTATAACCAAAATCAACAAATCTCACCTGTTAGTGTTCCTAAAACTTAATTAATTTCAATATTACCAATAACAAGGTTACGACTGTCTAACTGTGACCTGTTCCATATTAGGCAGCACACTGTATCTGGGCCACATATATCTAGGAGTTATCATATAACTATCATTCGCTAGATACTGTATATAACGATGGTCTAATGGTATGTCTAACGGCGATGCCGGACTTAAAACTCAAAATATTTTTAGACGATATGGATACATATACGTAAATATATTGGGTTAACGAGATAGCATTGACCGTTTTTAATAAGAACTGACAACTTTTAGAAAGAAAATGAATACATATTTAAAAGACGATAAAGATCGTTGATGATTTTTACCTTTTTCTATGCAATGAAGTACAAACCAGCAGGAGATTTCCTTGATACACCAATAAATGTGTTCCAAATAGTGAAGTTTGATATGAATGCACATTATACTCTACAATTAAGTAGTCGGTAGTTATGACGAATGGTTCAAGAACCAGCTTGTCAGTTCCGTCTGCCGATTATACCTAGACAATGAACAACAAAATATAAATGTCAGCCACAGATAGGGCTTCTAATTTAAATGCTCCTGATATTTTAGAATGAAGGGGGTGTTGAAGATCGAAGAACTGTTGAAAGGATTATTCAACTGCTTTGATCAGTGATAGTCAACTAGCATTCCGCATAATGCAAGCACCCTGCAAGCTGACAATTTTCTACGTGTTGCAGAAAATACAATCCAATAGATAATATCCAAGGCTGTAGTTCATAGTACGGCAGTGATCCGACACACATAGGTAGAGTAGGTAAGCGTTCTTTATATTCTGAACACAGTTTGACAGGGCAAAAATTGTTTTTCATGACTCACACTTCTCTGTAGCTAACTTAAGATGCTTCCTTTATATGCAATGCCTAATGGTGAAAAAATTAGACTAGTTTATTCTGTAGGGTGAAGCAAAGGTCATCTGATATTTGCAAAATCATCACCTGATAGCTTAAAAGTCTATATTCCACATATATTAATGTAGAAAACAAATAAAATGCGGTTAAAACAAAAATAAAGGATTAATTGTTAGTTTTAAATATGGCGGGTAATTTTTTGCAAACTGTCAGCAGACCTTCGCCTCACCATGTATAGTTAGGTTAAAGGTGCTACCAGAGTTAAAGTATGTATTTTTGTATTCCTAAAAAATGTACATTCTACTAAATAAAAAAAAAGCCTGGGCTGAATTTGTAACACTTTGATCATTTGCAGGCTCTCCTTGTTGTTGACAAATGTCAGTGGCCCTGTTTGCAACCGCTAAAATTTAACGCCTAACATAGGTATCACATTCAATACTATGATAACCTAACATCAGTTCTATTATTTTTCCTTCAGCAAATGTGTTTCGTAATTTACAGTTAATACAATACGCTTGTCGGTTATATCAAATCACATAACTGTACCAGCTTTATGACGAATAATGTTTGAAAAATACATGTCTTATTACAACAGTAGAGGGAACTTCTATTATCTCTGAAACAAAGACATACTAGAGAAAAATAAAATGATTTTTGCTATGCTGTGTTCGATTCCTACCTACCTTTCTATGACTAATAGTTATCGGACTTTAGCTCATATAAAATTGTGAATATAAGGGTACTCATTCATAAGATTCAGATCGCCTGATTAAATTACAAACAAGAATAACTTTCTCCAAGGCAAACTTTTTGTGTAATATGTGTTACACTGGCGACTGTCTGAGTTAGGCGAATTCATATAAATTTCTAGATCATTCTAAACCAGCATTTAAATCTTTTTTGTACTATCTTTTTCAATGCATCTGGCTACTACTGAAATCCTACGTTGCATGCATGTCATTTACCAACTATATTTTAAATACCTAGAAGAAGGTTTACATATTTCATCGAAAAATGTTATATCTTGCAACGACATGTACACCATCATACCGGTGTCATGTAGCGCAGATTAAAATCGTGACGCTTCGGCGTTTATCTTTATTGTCGATTATGCCCTGAACAGGGTCTCTCATGTTGTCCCTAAAGAGCACAACGAAACAATCGTACTATACGAACAATGATAGCTTTGTCCCTGACTCATATTTGGTCTGATTGTCGTTTTAGCCTTAACGTCAGCACAGTCTCTACGTTTGCCATTAGCGTACTAAACATTCAAGGCACACAGTCGGAAGAGCGATGTTCCACTGTCTGAAGTACCCAATGCCGCCCTAAACCCCCGCTCACATCTCAAAAAGTTAATTGACGGTTCACATGTACTTCAGAACGATATATATTTTTTGATTTAGTAGCCTAATGATCGATGTGTATTCATCTTCAATATATTTTCTTACACGCATTACAGTATAGGCTCTGTTATCCCGCTCTACGTAAGTAAAACTCTAATCTATTTCTGGTATCTATTTCAGGGCATTCAAGTCGATGTCGATCCAAACCGTTACGGCCATAGAATAAAATCGTTGAAGGCGTAGCTGAAAAACGATCCCCTTGTCACAAAAGCAAGCCTTCAACTTGAGACCATATGGCGTAAGCGATATTAGCAACTCTGGAAATTACGGCTCAGTCGAAGTAATATGTTTACGATACATACAATCCTCATCTAATTTACTTGTGGCAAAACGAGACATTCCGCCAAAATTCGAAATTTCCCGCCAAGCATATGTCATCTGATCCGCTCGATACGACGGTCAATTTTGGGAACGTCTGGCAACACTGTGTTGTTCGCTCATTCTTTCAGTCATCTTCTCGTCTGTTGCGGTTGCTGTTGTTGTCGTCGTCATCTCTTTCACTTTGCTGTGGCGATCTACATTCGGTAATATCCGGCCACTGGGCAGTCGAAAGGCTGAGGGAGATCAGGCGAGTGGAGAAAGGGCTGAATGTGTCTTCTAGCGGGCTGTGTCGGTGGCGGTCCTTCGGTCGCTCCGCTCTCGATAGCTAGCTCGGGCTCTGCCTATCTATAGTGAATATAGAGTGTGTGTGCGTGGGTCTGTGTGTGGGTTTTTGTGTGTGTGAATGTGTGTGTCTGTGAGTGTGTGTGTGTGTGAGTGTGTGTGTGTGTGTCTGTCTCTGTGTGTGCGTGTCTATCGGCCGTGACCGAGTGTATATCTATACCTATTGATGTCTGTGTGTGTCATGTTTAGCCTGCTGCGGCGCTGTTTTTGCTGCTGCTCCAGGCAGCAGTAGCTTTTGCTTTGTTCGGTGGTGTTATTATTGTTGTATCAGTCAGCGATGAGTGCTACTCTCTGTGTTCGAAGTGAATTTTTGCTCGTTTCGACGATTTTCAACGTCAGGATTTGACCTTAAACAGCGAGACGGCGTGAAGGACGACGACTTCAAGGAGTTGCGACGCTGCAGTGGCAACGGGTTGTTCCAGCGATGGTGAGTTTCGTTTGTACTGCTTCAACTGTAACCACTGCAATTATTACGAACGTTGTGTCACAAGTGTCGACAAGATTCGATTTGTTTTTGTGTCAACACGTTGATATTATATTCCGATATGCCTGTTAATTTCGTTAGGTGAAACGGGTAGCGAATAAGGTGAAAGACGGAGGTGTATCATCATAGCCCATGGCAGGCTGAACTGCCAGCATGTTATTTGTTTTCCAGTCAGTTGGTCGGCCAGCATCAGCTAGTCAGTCATTTAACTGGCGGGGCAAAGCTCACTCGTGATTCTTCTAGTCGTGTACAGCGCTGTCGGCGTGTGTGCCCGGCGTGAGCGGAGTGCTGCTTTGCATGTGACGGCTGTTGTGTCGATGGTCTGTGTGTCAGCAGTCCACGGTTGTCTGTGACTTCCGGAAGTGGGCATCATCGGCATCGGCCTATTTGCGGGTCATCGTGTCTCGCAGCTCTGCTGCTGCCGCTGTCAAGCAGCAGCATCATGGTCAAGGAAGAAACAACGCAAGAGGAAGGCTGCTAGCCAGGCAGTCAAACAGTCAAGCAAGCTAGTTCTATTTATTTGCCTATATGTGCGGTAACAAACCAACATTAGCTATTACCAATACTACGGCCACTAACGAGGGGGTTCGATGAAATTTGGGCCACACTCGAAGCCCTCCTGAGTTTTTAGTGTATGGCGCGTGCTTAAATGCCTTAATAGGATGAGTGAACACATAGACTCCGCTAGAACGAAACACCGGTTTGAATGCACAAAAACAGAAAATGGGGTCATGCTGTGATCACACTCGCATTTCAGGCATGGCCTTAGTGTAATTTCAGGGTCATTATTTCAATGCTGTGTGAAATCTGTTATTTGGGTAGCAAGATCTCGGTAAAGTGCTGTTGCAGATTTTTGTGACTGTAGTTGGTGTGAGGTGAGATGAAAATCCAGCTGTGCCTCTAAAGCAACAAGGTTCCGTTTACAATGGGAGGGGTATGTTTGTTTCAATGATGTTCTAACGTTTACATTGTTAGTACATGGAATGGTAACGCATAAACGTCTCAGGTAACCAGGATTATCCAGCGTGTCTTGTCCTGAGGACCGCCACATTTTCTGATAAACTATAAAGGCAGCTATGCTCGAATTAAATCGAACACATTGTTGTGTTCCGAGCCGACTTGATGCTCAGTCGGGCAGAGTTGCACGTACAATCGACAGAGCGATTTTTGTATTAAAAAATAACTTACTAACTGGTAAACGATTCTCGTGTACAGGTTACGCCGAATAGAGAAATTTATTAACAGAAGGTCTTTCATGTACTGTGTAGGTTGACCGTATGTCATTCAGATTATATATGTATATATATATATTCAGTTCACGGATTTAGATCTACGTTTTCTAAACAGCATAGAATGATCCAGAATATTTTAAATGGGACGAAAAATATTAAGGCATAATGAGCAACAAATAATACATTCACAATTATTACGTTAAGTGTCTATTAATCTCATTCTGTATAAGATTTATGACTTTGAAGTGTCACTGAGACTAGGCATTTGTAACCGGTTTGTGGATGGTTGATTATCACTTGCTATATTATATAAAGAATTTAGATAATGATCAGATTGTTATTATAAATAGTACAAAAACTATGAATACATTTTTATGTAAATGGCCACTGAAGAGGCTACATTCAAACGCAGATTCCGGTCAGTTAGTTTCATCCAAAACTTATCAAGTTGTAACCTGTTACTTAATTTTCTGATTTTTTGTTTGCGGTTGCCATATAGGTCAACGACGAGCCAGCGTTTTTGCCGGTCGGCACAGAGGTGTCTGCAAAATATAAAGGAGCTTTTTGTGAAGCTAAAATAAAAAGGGTGAATACCTGACATGGCATTTAACACGTTTGTGATACTGTGACCATTTTAATTAGATAACTAAATACAATATTCAACCATATAGGTAGCGATTTTACATATCCAGCTTTTCTCAGAAAACGCTGATCCGGGATGCAGTTCATTAGAAGCAGTTTCTAATAAATACGTATGATCATTTAACTGCGGTAATAATTGTGCAACTTCGAAGAATGAAACAGCATTGCTTGCATTTTAACTTTTTCATTATGACGTGCAGGTTCAACGCTCGGTAAAATGTCGAGTATCATTCAAGAGTATGCTAGGAGGTACCGTTGTTGTCGGAGACGACCAGGTACGTGGGTTTCTTAAAGTGGGCGCGCTTATTGAAGCAAAACATCCTGACAAACCCGGTGCCTTCCAAGAGGCGACAGTTACAAAAATTATCGACCAAAGCCAATATACAGTTGGTAAGTAGAAACTGATTGACTGAATTAATCGATAAGAGACAAAGTTTTATTTACTGTGGCAGAAAGGCAAACTCAACACAGAAAAACTGGGTTATTATCCAGATAATTGGCGATAGGTGCAAACACCTTATTCTCATTCTTGAGCAGTCTATCGAGTTATTTTCATGGAAGAATAGATATGAATTTAACGCCATTTATCAAACAACGGTTTCATTAGTGCGCAAAAAGTTAAATTGCCGTCAAATTAGCTGTTGCTAATAATAAAAAACAATGAGCCACTGGAGCAAATAGCTAATGTCGGCACTTGTCGGAAAAATATTTACTTCAAATATTACTATATAGAACAGCAGTTTAATGAAGTAATAGCTTGGAGCTGCGAATCGTTTGAAAATATAAAGGCTTGAACTTGTAAACATTATGCTTATTTATGAATCGTAGTATTCATTTGTGCTAAGTTATCCGATTTATTAAAGAATAGAAAATAATGTCGTATGTAATAGAAAAAACACTTTGTTTTGCTTGGCAAAGCGACTGGTCTGACCTGTGGAGTCATGCAGGTCGCTGTATGGTCAGGCCACATAATAACCTTCTGATTTAGCATGGTATTTTATACCTCTGTTACATACTTACTCGAGCCATTCGGGTTCTGCTTTCTGGAGTTCTATATGAATATACTACGAATTAAATAAAAGTTTTGGAGCTTAATTTTAGCGTCTTAAAAGACATTTTAAACACTGCGACGGTGTATTCTGGTATCTTCTCGGGAGAAAGCATTCGTATAGCACTATTGATCTATAAGAGAAAGTACTAGATAAGTACTAACTTTAATTTCATGTTACTCGTTTGCCCAAAGATATGGTGTGCGACTGTGTAACTTTCAAGATTAACGAAAGCTTATTACAAGTGTGGTGCTATACGGACACAAATAGTTGCCTTTGCCTTTAATAACTATTTGGTCAGATGTAGCCACTTAGTAACGATTAGGGAACGTAAGTCATTCCATAGGTATTTTTTTGCATGAGATAAAGGCAGGACCACTCGTGTTTGAATGAATAATTGTACTGCAATCCAGGCATAAATATAATCTTTTGCTAATCGATGCACCGTGCTTAGCATTGTCTACTACAGGATTAGGAAGCGTGGGTTATACTTTACCTTCACATAAAGAAAACAGAATGTCTCGTCGCGTCAAAACTGAATCTATTTTCTTAAATCACATATGTATGAGGCGATAGTACAGTTTTATAAGGCACTGAAGTGAGAGTATCCGAATTGGTCAAATATCGCTGCTTGTTCATTCTATTTGCGCTTATTAAGCATATGTCAAAAAAATCTGGGCATCTCATTGTTCAACCACACGTCAACCTATGCGGCTTTCCGAGTGAGTAATACAGTCGAGGAGTTTGCCGGGCCAGTTATTGCTTACTTTGCAATGTTAAATAAATAATCGAGTGCGCTGTTAAACTCAATGGACGCCTCAAAGTGAGGTATTCCAGTTGTAATTTAAAATTTTAGTGAAGTGTACGAGGAGCGTGAGTTCAAAGAATTTGCGATCTTGACATAGATCGGTAGGACATAATGTTTAGTCACTGATTGCAGTCACCACAGTCAATTGTATACGCAATTAATGTTATGACATACTGAGAAAGCGCAGTAATAGCGTGTGCAGCAAATATCATGCGCATACCTCTCTTCGCTAGATACTAAAGAGGCGGTTGGTAAAGCACTAATAAAAAATGACATGAATTCATATTTTACTAACATCAAGTAAGCGAAATTATGTATATAATAGGTCGCCAATTTTCATACAAGCTGTTCTAGTGTATGATACAAAAGGCAATTCGTTTTCCTTGGACCTTTACGCGGAAATCGGATCGCGTCATACATTTCTCTATGTGAAATGTAACGTTTGTTATCATGTGTGAAGTTTATTTTTTTCACGAAAAATATTGTTTTGATTTCTTATTGAGCTAGTTCGTCCTTGCAGTCTTTTATAAAAAAAGTTTTATGCTCTTTAATTTTGGTTTCAATTGAAAATGTTTATTCATAGATTTTATTTTATTGTTAAGCGAACACTGAAATCATGTTCTGCCTCAGAATTATATAAACCTAAATCTGGTTGTACAAAAATCAATTAGCTACACAGAAATAGTGCTAATTTTGCCTCTTACAGAAGGGAATTAATGAAGTCGATTAAGATAAGTTAACATGGCAACAGGTAATGTACTCTTTCTTGCTGCTTTTATTCTTTTTCCGTTTTTTGGTATATTTGCAGTTTTTGACGATGGCGACGTAACGACACTACGGCGAAATTCGCTTTGCTTGAAAAGTGGAAAACACTATTCGGATGGCGAGTCTCTTGATCAGCTTCCGCTAACTAATCCCGAGCACTTTAGTGCGCCAGTCGCTCCTGGCTCGGTTAGTTCCTCGGGCGGATCAGGAAATGGGTCCAGTACTGCCCAGGCAAGGGACTCCCCTGCCGGCAAAGCCCTTAACTCGGGCTTGGCGCCATCACAACGCAAGAAGCGAACGGCCGCCAGCCTGGGGGAGTTTCTCTGCCGAGAGGGCGGCGCTGCCGATGGCGGAAGTAGCCAGGAAGACGACGAGTTAGAGGCTACAACGCCACGAAGAAAACGCCAACAGCAACAACAACAGCAACAGAACAGTAATACAAATAGCAATAATAGTGCCCAAACACAGCAGCAGCAACAACAGCAATCGGCCTTACAGCAGCAGCAGTCACAGCAGCAAAAGACCTCAAGGAGCAGCTCGAGGGAAAGCGTACGTGGAAACGGAGGTAGTAAGGTGCGTATATGTGTTCGTAACCTTTAAGGTTACGTATTAATCCAATATTAGGTATTGCTAGTATAACTTCGTTGCTTAACACCTGATAATAGTTATGAAATAGACAATGTTAGCATATCCCCGAATGAATAGGCCCGTATTTGAGTGAAAAATTTAATGCTGACGGTTTTAATGTTGATCGGTGGGATCAGGTGCCAATAGTTGCAGGGACTGTGGTGCTAGTAGAGGTCGAGAGACGTGAGGAGAAGACTCCACGAGGTAGCGGAGCATCTGAAACCCACCGTGGAAAACGGGACACTGGCTTTGCGGCTCCGGCGCTCATCATACGTGAGCAGTCAGGTGTCCGGAAGGACGAAGTGAGGGTCAAACTGTTCCGCGATGGGCAAATGTAAGCGTTTCGAAGAAAACCGTTTGATTAATTAGTGCGCTATAGCTTAGGTATCCATCAATCCTTGTATTTAGCCAATTATGAAAAAAAAATATGCAGTCAGTTCCAATATTTCGACTTGAAATTAATATGACTCGGCTAGAGGTAGGACCAAAAAGGCAAGATGTGTGCTTCGTTGCCATAATAACAGCGATTCTTTAAAGAGATGAGACATAGTTACTGTCCATTTATTGTCAAACTAACTATGCTGTGTAATAAAGAGGTTTTTAATGCTATTTCTTGAATTCTGTAAAACCTTTTTATTAAACACATATTTATTTTAAAATTGCGAATACGCCCATGAGCGCGGACGGATACCTGTGTGAACAATTTTCTCCTGTCATTGTAATATCTCTCTTGGATGTATGCTCATTGTAAGATGAATCTCATTTTTACAATATGGTATTTTTTATGTGTTAGGGTGACGGTTCCGAAAAAAGATATACAGGAGTTTGATCGTAAACAAACGACGATGAAAGGCCATCCACAAAAATCGGCCATTTTCAAGGCCCTGGTCTATCTAGAGAAAAATGATCTACCCCAAGGATGGAGCCGAAAAGAACTGCTTGATGAAAACGCTGAAGAAAAGGATGACGATAACCAAGTTGACGATGATAAAGATAATAAAAGTAAAGTTGATAACAAAGATGAGGACAGCAGTAAGGATAAGGAAATAGACAATAAAGGCGATTCCGATGAGGAAGAAAGTGAATCTGAAGATGAAGTGAATTCAGAAGAACGTGATCGCTTCGTGGCTCAGTTGTATAAATTCATGGAAGAGCGAGGCACACCAATTAATAAGGGACCTGTGCTCAATGGCAAAGACATTGATCTACACCAACTCTTCTCTTTGGTCCGAAAAATTGGTTCGTTTGACAAGGTTACAAATCTAAACCGATGGCGTGATGTGTACGCAAAAATGTTCAAGGAGCCCAAGGCGACCCCGGCTCAGGGTCAGCAGTTGAAAGGCGCCTACAAAAAGTACCTACAGGGATTTGAAGACCTTTACAGAAAACTTGGTATGGACTCGCACCTGGACGCCAAGGCTAGCGGGTCGGGCGGTGCGCGGAGCCAGCGGATCATGACGCGTAACAAACAGCCACCGGTTAGTGCTGTTAAGGCCGGCGGTCGACAGGAGCGTAAAGCTGCCACGCCACCGCAGCCGCCTGATTCGCCCTCGTCGGCGTCCAGTGGCAAACGCGAAAGACTGCAACAGCATAAGGAAGAACTTCAAAAACAGCAGCAGCAGGAACAGCAGAAACAACAGCAAAAGGAGGAGCTGCAGAAGCAGCAACAGCAGCAGAAGGAAGAACAACAGCAAAGACTGCAACAGCAAAAGGAAGAACAACAAAAACAACAGCAGCTGCAGCAGAAAGAGGAACAGCAGCAAAAACTACAACAGCAAAAGGAAGAACTACAGAAGCAACAGCAGCAACAGCAGCAGCAGCAGCAACAACAGTCAGAGAAGGTAACGGAAAAAGAAAAAGAGTCGATAAAGGAGTCAACAAAAGAAGCGAAAGAGGACGAGGAAAAGCGATCATTGACAAGAAGTAACAAAAAACCCGAGGATCGAGAAACGGCCGGATTAACAACGCCGAAACGGGTTCGGAGCGACAGTCTCGATCCGGCGAAACGCGTTAAAGAGAAAGCTGCTGCCTTATCCGCGCAAAAGGAAAGCAAGACAAAAGAGGAGAAGGACCGGATTATAGGAACGCCTGTGTCAATGAAAAAAGACCGAAAAAAAGACAAGGGGTCAGATAGCGAGGAAAGTGAGGCCGAGGTGGTACCTGCTACGCGTAAAAACATTCTTGAGCCACTCCGTGTGAACGACCGAATCAGAGTGAAGTATGGGCACGGAAAGCAGCATAAAGTGTACGAAGCAAAAGTGCTGAAAATTGAAGATGTTGAAGGAGATTCGGGCGAAAAGAAGTTCTTTGTTCATTATACAGGATGGAACAACCGTTACGACGAGTGGATCCTTAAAAAGAGAATTCTAGAGAATATCACCCACAAGTTAGATAAGAGCAGGTTAGTGGATCACACAGTTGTCATTTAGAGGACAGTAAGTGTTAATCTTCTTAAAAGTAAAATGGCGCCTTATTTGAATAACTAAACCGAAGGAATTCCCTTCCTGTCGGACGATATTATCTGTACCATTGGAATGCAGTAGAGACGATATGGCATTAAGCACAAAATCCAATAAGTTACTATTAATGTATATATATGTATGTATACGTTTTACTTAGGGCTGGCTCGGTGACTGCCAAAAAAGCTTCTGCCCCGTCAGCAGCGTCCAGTGAAGGTGAGAAACATGATGATAAAGAGTCATCTTCGTCGTCGAGTGAAAAGGGTGATGGCAAATTAAGTGAATCCAGTAAAGATTTAAAAGACAAAGATATTCCATCCAGTAAAGATGCTACAGGAAGTGGATCTGCCAAGAAAAAGGAAGAAGACCCTTCTGAAGAACCCAGAAAGCGTCGAGGTAAGCCGCCAAAGAAGTTTGCGGAATCCAGTTTCGAAGTGCATATTCCAACCAGAAAAGATACAACATCACAGGCCAAGGATAGCAAAGACAAAGATGCGAGTAAGTCTGCGAGCGACAATGGTGGCGTCAAAAAAGAAGAGGATACTAAAGAGAAAGAAAGCGTTAGCAAGAAGTCTGAGGCAGTCAGTAAAGACATGAAGGAAGAGAAAAGCAAAGCCGCCAAAGACGAAAAAGTAAGTAAAGATTGCAAGGACCCACCAGTCATCGTCACGGGCCCCTGTGTTGCACAAACGAAATCTGGAGCAAAGGAGGAACGAAAGGAGGCCCCAGTAGCCGAAAGCCCCGCGCCCGCTCCCGTGAAGAAGCTCGTCGAGGTGAGTCCCGAGCATGCCGCACGGGTGTTCGCTGTCAAGTCAAAACCGCCCGAGTCGGTTCCTCCATCTGTCTCCGCCTCCGTCCAAGGAACTGCGGGGGTTTCGATCACCCTCCATGTTGCTGGCCCCGTTTCAGAAAAGAGCAAAGAGCGCGAGCTGTCGTTGGCCGCTGGCTCCAAAGAAAAAGAATCGAAGGACATTATGCCAGCTGATACGAAAAAGGAGCGGCCAGCAGAGGACGAGCCGGCCCGTAAGGAGAAGCCAACGACGCCTAAGAGGCCCCGCTTGGCCAAGCGAAAGAAGCCGGTTACGCCCTCAAGTGAAAAAACGGATAAGGTGCAGAAGGCTGACAGAACGGAGGACAAATCGGACGGAAGTGCACCTGCAGACAAGAGTATTGTGAACCAGGCGTCTTCAACAGTCAAGACGCAGGTTGAAGAAACACGACAGGCCAGTTCCATAATTAAGGCCGAACAGTCGGAAGGCGAGGATACCGATATCGAAAAGGATCCGATCGTGCCCACTTTGTTGCCCCTCCCCACAACAGCCAGTGGTATTGCAGCCAGCTCAAAAGAATCACAATCAGTAGAAGACGATGAGGCTGATGAGGAGACTCTTAAGGCCGGTGGGGGAGGGCCTGAGGAAGAGGCAAGTACCGAAGTCGAAGAAGGCCATCTCGAGGACTCACTAGCGGACAATGTAAGTGTTATATGTCAGTTACGATGCAATCGAATTTGATGCACCTATGTTTAAGTAATTCGACAACAACTCATCTTTAACAATATTTATTACAATTAAATATGTTTAAGAACGTATACCGTAATGTACAGATTAGCATGCTAATTAGCAGACTCCCTCTAGAGCAAAGACATACGCTAAGTTTAACAGACGCTGTTGTGGGGGTCAAGACTACTAGTCTTGTGTTATTTTCTGTTATTTTAAGATGACAGAAAACATTAACCATAGCTTCTTTTCAGAAGTTTGAGCATAGTATTCGGAATTAATGTATCCACTGTAGGTCCTATATTGAACGGTATACCTTCTAATTATGATTATAGCAATCGATGAATCTCGACGAGAGCGGGATCGAGGCCCTGGAACAAGAGGCCCCCATTCCGCCTCCAATCACAAGTGAAGATACTGTGCCGAGGGCAGCTTCTCCAGCTGCTACTTCAACCCCTGCGCTAGTGGAAGAAAAGCGAGCAGCCTCTAGGACGTCACTCGAGGGCGTTGCGAGCCCAGTTACTACAAAGACTCGTAAGCCTCGCGGCAGAAGAGTATCTGAATGCCGGGATGAAGACCGCGACGTATCAGAGACAAAAGATAAGGATCCTAAAGATAAAAAGGATACAGCGAAGGCCGCAGACAAGGATGAAAAATTGGAAGAGAAAAAGGCCGTGGTTGTAAGTACTCAAAATCGTAGCTCTGCTACTTCGTATACGTGTGAATTTTTTTTTGTCAGCTCTAGCGTTCTATTAAAAGCGCAATAAGAAAGACCCGTGCACTAATTTTAGACTTATTCTAATTCTCATGGGAGTCGTTTTAATTTCAAATTTACTCTCAGGCTACAAAGTCTCGAGCACGGAAAACATCTGAAAGCCAAATAGATGAAGACACCGTAATTGTTAAAAAGAGAGCACGAAAGGCGTCAGAGATGACCTTAAGCCCTGCAGCTAAGGTAATTTCGCCGCAAAAAGATGAATGCAAAACAGCGGAAGTCGCCAGCGTGGCTGTTTCCAATGCCAAAATCACTGCCGAGGAGCCTAAAGAGCTCGAGCCGATCGTTAAGCATGTTTTACATACTTCCGAAGAGAAATGTACTGAACAGGCCCGAACAGAGACCATTCCCGTAAGGTGGGTGAATGTATCATACGTTATAAGTATGTTTCGTAATTCAGCCTGCTTATTGCAGGCTTATTATGCAGATGTATTGTGACCTTATAAATATCTATGTATACAAATGCAAGGTGTAACAAAAAAGTATACTTAGTTTAAATGATCATAAGTTCAGTTTTTTTTGCATGTAATAAATTTTTATATTGCAAAAGGGTCTGCATACAATATATAACTTTTACTCCCGTCACAGATGTTAGAAATGATTTTAATCAATACATTCCTTATAACAGTGGTACTTCGACAATACTCATTTAATGCTGTAGTGTATCCTTGGTCACTTTCTACCACAGATTTATCACAAAGAATTACCACAAAAAAATTGATTGGTATCAGGTGTGTGTATGGGGGGGAGGGGGGAGGGGGTATGGTTAAAATATTTATGGGATTTCCTAATTTAATCCATCGGTTTGAAAGATTTTATAAAGATATGCTCTTACATTACTATGATTATGTACAGATGATCCGTCATAAGAAAAATAAAATATGCCATCTTTACCAGAATGCTCCCAAATGCGCGGTGATACAAATTTCATTCAAAACGTTTGAAATGCGAACGATACTTAATTATTTTACGCCCAGCTCATCACTTGATTGCCTTACAGATTTTCGAGATGTTTCGTGAAAAATTTCGAGCATTTTTTTTGCTCGTTTTATATTATTGGTCTTCTGGAACGTTGTCTGTAAATATGCTAAACAGTTCCACCTGCTTCAAACTTACCTGTTACCCAATAAAGTTTAATTCGCGCTGATGGATCTGTCCGAAACTTCTCACAATATTGATTCTTTAGTTTTGCTATGTCTCCATTTTCAATAGCACAAAAGTAACTCGTGCTCCACTCATTATTTCCAATTGATTACACTTTTAAAAGAAAGAATAAGTAGACAGTTGTGATCCGTTAAACAGTTTATATATATATATATATATATATATATATATATATATATATGTACGTATATTACAGATAGCTATTGTTATAAAGGTATTGACAAGACGAACCGAGTAATCACACCGATTTGCAGGCAAGAATCTCAGCCCAGTGCTTTGCGCCAAGTTTCCAAAGAAGTGAGTAGTATCCCTAGTAATTTAAGCCTCGAAAAGGATAAACTTAAGGACACCAAGGAAAAGCCTGTAAAGGAGATGAAAGACAAGAGCAGGGATAGCGGTCCTAGTGAGGGGCGTATGGAAGCTACACCCGTTCATTATTTGCCCAAGAAACGACGAATTCAACAAAAGCTTGACGAGGAAGCCAGCACATTACCTGCAGTTGTTGTTGCGAAGAAATCTAGGATTGAGGAGCAATTTAACATTGAAATAACGGTTCGTACATCTATCAAGCGTCTGTTTAATTTAGTTGTTGATAAGTAACGGCTCGTATAACTAGGAAGAACTTACTTGACCCTGTTACTAATAAAAGAGCTTTATTTAGTGTTTCAAGTGAGCTTGCCTATTTTGTCGTCATAAGCAAATGCTCAGAGCTCTAGTCTTCTCTTCTACTGGCTATTATATTTTAGAGGCAGCTTTTTACATATTTGGGTAATTTTGAACATATGAAAAGATCATGGAAAATCACAAATCAATAAATGATCACATCTGCGAAAGAACGAGTTTGAAAATATAAACGATATTTTTTTTTTACAGGGTACTAATTACTGAGCCTTAACAATAAAGAAAAGACACGGGTCAATTTAGATAGGAAAACTGAATGTATAATACATACTGTTTTTTAAACAGTCTCTATATGACTGAGTAAGTGTATTTAAAATTCAAATACATTTGTGCGGAGACTCATTGAATAAGCATAGTTATTGAGCTCAGAATAATTAGCGAAATACATTGACTAATCCATGATTAAGTCCTTACGGGAAGTAGGTTGAGAAAGATTTTGAGATAAATGGGAAAGCAAAACCTAATTAAAAATCATATGTTTTGTGGCTATCTAGTCGGAAGCCGATATGAACAACGAAGTGCTATGCAAATCGATCCAGCTCGATGCGATCGAGGCATGAAAAGTTTATTGAATATCTCTCTCTGCTTCACCTTGTAGGTTAAACAGGAATCAAAGGAAGCGGATGCTGTAAGCGACACCTCTGAGGAGAAGATGCAAATTGCCGAAGATACCGAAGACGGCGGCGATGAGGGTACAGTTGGCGAGGAGCCTGACACAAAGAAGCTAGACAAGTTCTCTAATGGAAGCAGTAAAGAGAATAAGACTGCTGGGCTCAATAAAGAATCAACGAGCAAAACGATAGGCGGCGACAGCAAAGATAAAGAGAGTATAGCTAACAAAGAATCCAAAGAAAAGGAACGCCGTGAGGAAAAAGAGCGGGCAGCTGCTGGAGATGCTCTCGCAGCTTTGGCACATGCTTGTGGCGAGGCAGAAGCGGCTGAGGAGAATGAAGGGCCATCTGAAGCCGTCGGTAAAGAAATCAAGCGTGAAGACCATGAACCTGAAAGAGAAGGTGAGGGTGCGGATGGAGGAGAGCAGGCTGGAGGCTTGTTTCTCATTTGTGAGGAGAATGTTCTTCCAGAGAGTCCCGTGCCACACAATCACGGTCAGGCAAACCATGGAGACAACCAAGATGGTAAGTTCTTAAAAATTTTATGCCTTACTTCGTATCATTCATTATAAAATTTCACTCAGACTTCAGCTCTGTTATACTATGTAACTTTGTCTGCTTTACGCACTTTCCCTAGTGTCTTTTACGCGTATGCACGAGGTGGCAGTTGACAACTGATGTTTGTGTAGTACTATTAGGTTACATCGTAAGAATGTCGCGCATGTAATTTTAGGTGCCGGGCCTGCTGATGGGGTAGTTGTGTTGGGAGGTGGTCGTCTTGGTGAAATGCCACCTGCGTGCTGCGTAACAGAAGTGACCCCCCCTACAACGCCGGACGATTCGCAATCATCAGGCAACAGTCACCACAGCAACAACAATATTAATAATAATAATAGTAGCAACAACCTCAGCAACAATACAGGGAGCAGTAGCACCGATATCATGGGTCGAAGCCAGCACGTGGTTAACCCTTCAGTGGGAGCTGAAGTGGCGACAGCCGGGGGCGGTGTTCCAGTAATACCTTCTGATCGGCGAGTCGTCATTGCCACAAATGTGAACGATAAAAACAGCGATAAAGCAGGTGAACAGAGAGTTCGTGGAGCTCCGACAAGCCACGGAACGGCCGGAAACACAGCAGGGGGTGTGGATGAGGAGAGTACGATGTCGGCAGATAGCAGCGACTCAGCAAGGCAGTCTTCAGCTGTGGAGCGTGAACGAGAGAAGGTTCGGAGCTTTTTGTCGAAAAAATATAACATACAAAACGTCGATTCAGTTTAGTCTGTTTTTTTGGCTTTGCTAATATTTTTGTTTAATATTGAAAGATTAAGTCGTTTCTGTTTGAAATTATTGAAGGGAAAACGAATGTATTGATGTTGTGCTATCTGTGTGTGTATTTAGTCGGTTCGCGGTGGTAAGGGTAGCCTTAGCGGCGGGACCCGAGGTGGACGCGTAAAGCGGACTCGCAAGACCTTGCGGCAGAAGGCGCAACAGGGACAGGCGCAGCGTCGGGCTGGAGCTGAAAGAGCGCGTAGCCCAACCGATGGTCATCTATTTTCCGGAGGACTACGGGGGTCCGACCGCGATGGAGCGCCACCAGGCAGTGGCCAGGGAGGCGCAGGTCAGCTCAGCCGTCACGCCGGCCTTCTCTGCACGCAGATGCCGCCAAATTACGATCCTGCGAAGCCGCCACGATTCAATTTTAGCCTTTCGATAGGTAAAGACAAAAATGCATATTATACCTCTTACAATGTTCATTACTATGTGTAAAAGTACTAAGAATGTTTTAATCCGAAATTTATCAGAACACTCAAGCTTACTTGGGTGGTAATGCGGTAAACGTAAAGATGCTAGGCTTCTCGATATACCCGACATAACCGTAATCTGAACTCGTTGATTAGTAAACGTTCGCCAATTTTCTGTGATATACAGATGGTATTGAAGATTCAGAGGAACGAATTTCGCTTATCCAGGATCGGCTGTGTGATCTTAAGAAGAAGTACATGGAACTCAAGACTGAGGTAGCCCTTATTGATCGGAAAAGAAAGCGTATTCGGAGACGAGAGGCAGGTTGGTTTTTTATTTCAATTAAATTGTTCGAATATACGTAAGCAAGCTCCCGATGGTAAATGTACTTTATATTTATATATATATTGAAAAACGTAATTTAGTTTTCTTTTATGTGCTTTTTGTAATGATAAGATTGCTATTAAAACATCACTCAAGTCCATTGAATGGTGAAACTGAAAAACAGTATAAAAGCGATTAGTAAATCCAGATTGTTCTTCGAAATAATTTTATTTGCTTTTAATTACCAAGCCGTTTTGTTTTCGATGCGTTTTGTTTTTAATACATTTGATATCATTTCAAAGAAATTTTTTTTGGAATTTTAGCTCGAGCAGAAAACAATATTTCAAATTCACCTCGGCCTCACCCTTCGCCACTGCGAACTGCAAATGAAGACTGATAATAAATGCTGACACGCCGTAGGAGGCATCAACAAATCTGGACAAATCGACACATTTCATGTTCTCGAGCAACGGTGGAACGTATTGTGTCGGAGCCTTTTGTACAGAGCGAACTCGAAAGAGACGAAAAACGAGAGATTAACTATGCTATTAGATAGTGCCTGGGTTAACCATTATATCCTGCTTGGTCAGGTCTAATGGCCACCCATGTATAAATCAGTAAGTATTCTGTGTACATTCGGAGTTAACTTCTATGTCTATATAACATGGTATATACATAACAGGCATACGCTCAGCACAGTATAACACCAGGGCAGCATGTAGTGGGCCTTGAGCGGTTGTAGGGGAGTTAGTAGTGGATGTGTGGTAAGATGTGTACATACCCTTGTATTTACATGGTCAAGAAGGCAGTGCGTTAATATTACCATAAATTATTATTGACATTACCATTGGACTCGTGGTGAAAGCATAGGCAACAGCTCAGGTTATAGTGGACCTAACTCATAGGGCAAACAATTGCAAACAAGTTAACCAGTTTGCCAGCTGATTAGCTCAATTAATACGACGTGTTACGCACGCAGTTGCTTGTGCGTGTTGACTTATTTTTCTTAACGGTGAAACCATACGTACATTTAGTGATGAGCGAAATCCGCTTCAAAGTGTAAAGAGGCGCAATAAAGGATACCTATTATTTTTTCCTTACGTTGGGTCCGATGTGCTAATGGTAGTACAAGATAATCTGATTTGTGGCAGATTCGTTACAAAATATATAGAATGCGTGACTGTAAAACAGTCAGATTATTTTCAACTTGCGATTGAAGACGCGTGAAGAAGCATCTACTGTTATTAAGCATTATGTGTATATGTATGAAAACAGATTATATTAACACTGCTATTTATTGTAGTATTTTCGTTGGTTTTTATTATTTCATTAATGTATATTAACAGTTTTGAAAACGCGCGGTTGTGGTTGCTGCTTATAAAGGGTGCGTATATATACCCAATTGACAAATGAACATCTGTTTGTGAAGGGCAATAAACAAGAGAAAAGAAATTGTCTTTAATAGTACTTTGTAAAGTCATCTCCAATGTAATCAACTTTTGAGAGTTTGATATTCGGTGTTGATAATCCACACACAAAAAGGTGGTTTATTGATTAGTAAGATCTATTACATGGGCGCCGATAACGGCTGAACTTGTCTCAAAGGAAAATGTTATTAAAAATGGAGGTTTTTTTACGATGGAGGCTTCAAGGCCTGCCGACTATCACTACTGTTTAGTAAAATTCAAGCGAATTCATAAACACTGTGCAAAACGAAGCTCGACGAGTGAATTGAGAAGCCAAACAACTATATTTCTACGGCATGATAGGATAAGATGCGTACATTTAGCTTATATAAGCAATACGTCGTGTAAAGTTTACATGGGGCGTAAAGGGTGCAAAATTGTACAGGATAGAAACAAAAAGCGAACAAAAAAGAACCGAAACCCGCGTGTCGAAAAGAATATTTGTTTCAAAGGCCAGATCTCAAGATCGACGTGTCGTGTAGCGTAGAGCTCGCAGGTTAACACAGCCTAACAGATGAGCGACCGTAACATGGATGCGTGAGTATTATGATTGAAAAAAGATTTTGAAACCGCCACTATTAGAGCAAACCTGTATATACATGTGAATGTGTCAACGGATCCGAATCAGGGTCTTATGCTAAAGCGGCAAATCGACCAGCGAATCTAGGTACTATAAAGCCATAAAAGAATTAGACAATTGATAAATTAACCGCAAGCTTAACCACCGAACACAGTTATAAATTCAAGCTATCGTGTATTCAGCTTAATTTTTATATGCAAATAGTGCTCTAAAAATAAAATTTTGTTCCGCAAATGCGCCATCCGTTACTTTTAGAAATGCAAAATGTCGCTTCCTCATGTATTCCTTTTTGAAAACCGACTCGCAGATGTTCGAAAATGCATTACAGGCTAATTCTTGGAATGTATGGCGTAGACCTACGGTCCATCAATGTGTATCGTCGTGTTTATATTTATGTAACAGAGCTATAGTCTGTCTACTCTCGTCATTTTTATCCTAAAGTGGGCAAGTCTTGATGTTTCCTTTACTTTTGGTTGCGATAAATACAAAGTTTTTTGCTGCTGTTGCTGCTTATATGTAAATCGTGACACAACGACAACTAGAGAAAAATAGACTCGAATATATTTCAGTTTGATAGATTTGTATATTAACGGAGACTCACCTTGCCTGTTAAAGATTGATTACAATATAACTGTATATCTCAAAGGAAAAACCTATAAAAATTTTAATAAAAGGATATGTAAAATATTAAAACTTAAGTAAACTTATTTGAGCAATAGCTTCGCTATTGATTTGCTTAATAAGAACGGATTCATTGTGTAGTTATCGATGCCTATATCTTAACGTATACAGCAATAACATGATATCACATGGAGCTTGACCCTATTTACTCTACGTATTATATGGTCCGAAAGCGAAATCAATTTCAATGGGAAATAAACCGATGCGCGTATGAAAGTTTTGTCGTCCCCAACTGTAAGTGGCTTGTTTGGTTATAAAATAAATTTAATCTTTGTGAAACAGACTTTATCCTAAAAATATCAGTTCTGTTCTCAAATACAAGTGATTTTTAAAAACTGAAAAATAAAAACTTATTTTAAAATTAGTTTTGCGTGCTCGGCGGAAAAAGATGATTAAAGAAAAAGTTGTTTAAAATATGTTTGTATTATGATATTAGATAGTAAAAGCCGAAGCCGAAATTAATACACAAGCTGCGGTTTCGAATACATTTTTACGATGTTTATTCTTAATGCTGAAGCTGGAGTCGTTCTGTGTGTGTGTGTGTGTAACGGAAAGATCATTTCTTGGTTGTTTCTGCTCAGTCTCTCGTTATTCTCATCAACACTTGATTAATTTTCGTGCGCATCTCACCGTGAGAAAGCAAGACACGTTGTCTTCAGCTTCATTTTGTCTATCTTTTTTGTAATAGCTTTTGTTTAGATGTTTGTTTACCGCAATTATCGTGTAACGGTAGTTGCAGTGGTCATTTTCTCCATCTCAGTATAATCACCTTAGTATTTCGGTAGTTCTCTTTTATTATCGTTTCTATTAGTTATTTGTCTTCTACTACAACTGAGTCAACTCTTACTAAAGGGTTCTTTTTCTTAGTTTATATTTACTGTAGTATCAGTTATAGTTTACAATCTGTTATAACTATCGTCGCGGTTTGTTTACTTAAAAATCTTGTCTAGGTGTCTTCTCTTCCTTCTTTTAGATAATTCCGCGCTCAAAACATTTAGACTCTCAGATAATGGAAGGGATGCTCTTCCTTCGTGTTACTTTTTGGATCATGAGTTTTCGAGTTGAACCAAATTTGAAGACTAACATAACCCATAATCCTTACAATCATCACGGGACATTGAAGCCCACTTTGATTATAACATTGATACATGCTTGTTACACAACGAATCAAAACTTTTATATATATATATATATATATATATATATATATATATATATATATATGCTTTGAAATAGGTGCTTATTTCTTTGAAAGGTAACAAGAAGTAAAGAGGTGTCTTATAATGATACTCTCTGGTCATCTATCGGTTTCTCATCACAGAGATTCACTGCTCTGCCTCTCTGTTCAATGGTGTGTACAGAGTTATTTCTAGATTCAAACAGCCCGTATACTGTTTATGCGTTTTTTGGTTTATATCTATTTTTGTATTATTATGTGTAGGTTATTCTATCGTAATCGGCAAAATGTTCTATCGGCATGCCCGTTATCTTTATTATTAATTATTTTATTACATAACAAACAACAAACAGACCGACTAATTAGATCGTTCGGGGTAACGACGCGCCTCTGTATTCTCTCGATCTCTTGTTTCGTCTCAGCTTTCCCATTCGTCGTGGCAAAAAGGTTCAAATGTCTCCCTTTTTTGCCTGAGTGTAAACGTCCCTGTTATAATATGTAACTGACACAGTTCTCACAGCAATAATAGGAATAGTTTATTAACATTAATAAGATGATAGAATCAATCATCAATGGATGATCAATTAATTATATAACGTGGCTTTTTCCGCCACGGTTGTTCCTTCTTTCTTGCTATTTTTTTTGCAATGTGCATTTATCGCTTGTTTTCATTTAACGCTATATATAGTTATATATACTATGTATACTGTTATCATTAGTCTTTATCGTTAAATTAATAGTTATTATCATATACATGAGTTTTCGTCATATGTTTATTGTATAGAGCTTATTAATCGTCTGTTTAGTTCCTTCTCCCTGCGCTATTCTCTTGTCCGTGTGGTAATAAGTAGTAGTATTTTCTTATTACTATTATTATCTTCTCTGTTGAATTCCTTCTTCCGCTTTTTATTCTCGCACTTTTTAAGGTAGCTCGTCACTACTGTTGTCATTTTGTCTCGCCGTCGACGCGTTCCCTTCCTGTTTTAACGGTGCGTTTATGTATTCGTGTGTATATTTCTTTCTATGCACAACCACTTTGTTTGTATACTTCGCGCGACCGCACGTTTCTACTAGCTATATAATAAAGGTGCCCTTGAAACCGGGCGCGATCTTCGCACTCAGTGAAGAACACGACAACGAGTCTGTCTTCGCCCACAAGACAGGCTTACCCTATTTGTGTCGTACCAAGGACTTTCGGCCTGTACGTCAAATATCGCCGAACAATTTATTATTGATCTTATTTAGAATACTTACTCTCGTAAAGCAGGTTTAGGGATTCTGTTGAGCTGCTGGCACTCCACTTGGACCCGCATCGCAAGACGCTCGTTAAGGACACGGACCCGTATGTACGCGCCTTTTTCTATTAACGTAGATGCACATTCGGTTGTCGATGTCATGCTTACATCAACACTATCCGCATTAATGGTCAACAATAATCATATTGCGCCAGATTCATGAGCCGGCACTAAAAACTATTATATGTAGAATTATATCATTTTTGTATTTATATAATATAATAGATTGGATTTATAAACTACAAATTATATTATCATCCGACGGAGAAGTGCTCCTATTTTTTGTTATCTATAATACAGGGTGTACCGACTGTACCGGGTGGATTATCGTTTTTTGCCAATGCGGTGACTTATGTCAATTGCTTGAATTTATTACAAAATTCTGTTTTTCACACATTAGAGAGTATTTTGATAACGATGGCGAATATTATTTTTAACAACAATAACAAGAGTATCTGCATGTTATTATCGTGATGTAAACGCGTACCTTTATAAGAATCATCCAAACAGGTAAGTTGAATTAAGAGCTCTCGCAAAATCCCTTAGCCAATTCCTAGACCTAATATCAATGGACTTTCTTTTGTAAAGATATCCGACTTCGGAGGCTGAAAGTTTGTAAATTAGTTTGTAAACCAAAACGGTGATAATTTCGAATATCTGCAAGAGAAGGAAAAGTTGCGCGTTCATTATTCTGGATTCTTACGTAGCCTAAATATTAACTATATGTAAACAGAAATTGAAATCGTTACCATTTTTGGGACACCCTGTATAGTATTATATTTGGGAAGAATAATTTTGAGACACGCTTAACAGTACTGATTGAAGTAGCCGATTCGTCGTACAGATGTGAGAATCCGTCTCTTGTAGTTTTTGATTTTTGGCAAGATACTCCACACATTTGACTGAACGGTACAGTGTTTATATATATATATATATATATATATATAGTACTCGAAGTTGCCTTCAGTTTCTTGGGTACACTATTCAATCATCTAGTTCTGTGTGTACCGGCTTGAAGGATTGGCCTCTATTGAACCTGTTCTACTGTCGAACTCTACATCCTTGTTCACTAAACACTACTGACGGTCGCAGGACGGAATGAATATGGCGACTCGAGCAACACTAGCAAAGCAGTCGCCTTCAATTGATGAATATGAGCCTAAAAGAATCCTCATAGAACGATACTGCTAACCAACGCGTTATGTCATGACGACAATCGCTTCTTTTAGTACGCATGTTCCTACCTGTACCGAACACCTACTTAATACTTCATGTGAGGTGCTCTGAGGTAGTGTAACTTTAAAGTATGCTTTGTGCCTCTTTCGCGGATGTATTTTGCCTCATGCTTTATGTTACAGTTTATTGGGCTTTTGAAATCATGGCAAAACATCTATGCAGTAGTAACGTATTCTTTCGTCGGTTCAGCTTTTGTATGTGATCATTCGGAAAAGGTGTGAATGCTGTCACCGCTAAGATTATATTATAGTAGACCATTTCTACTGGCAAGAGGCAATAACCACGCACAACGATACGCTAGGTCAGAGGCCATAGAAATGACAGCATCGTCTCAAACTTGACACACTCGATTCGATAGCACTGGATTTATATCAGGAGAGACAAATGAAGCGTCATTCTAGAAAACTGCAGGTTGACGCTGCCTTGTTTCTTTTTCATATTATATCTATATTATGATCTGCATACGCCTCGATGAAGCGGAATATGTTCGCTTGTCGTAGATAACTGTATTCGTTTACGCATTCAGAAGCTGATGGCAACACATTTTTTCTAGTCTTTAGTTGCTGTTTTCAGGTCCACTGTATTAATTTCGATTTTCTTGCCAAGTATAGTACTGTATTTCCTTTCTCTATAATGAAAAAGTAACTTAATCAGCTATAAGTCATTGGAGTCGCAGTTACTGATTTGTTGCGTATGCCACAAAAAAAGATTTTATGGATTATTCGTGGAATTAATTATTTACCAAGGTTGAGTCACTCCGATGAGCGTTTGAGCTATAAAGGCATCATATATTTAGTCCATTTGTGATCGTAGTTTCATCGTTTTATGCTTTTATCACTAACATAAAACAAATGGAAACTTGTTACTCTTGGTGTTGAAGACTACCGTGGTTTAACACAGTGGTCAGAGGCAATAGCAAGAAGACTTCTACTAGCCAAAGCCTACCTTTTTAAGAAACAGCTGGCTTGGTGGAGCCACCGAAAAACACTTAACTCGTTCGTGAGAAGACGCCATGTGAAAAACAGAATTTGGTTCCTTCGTGAGTGCCCATGGAACTTTCTTCAAAACCAGCAGGCCGCAAGACTTCTCGAGATGTATCCTTCTACCTTAAGTCACTGCTGAACGCGTTGCAAATTAGATTGTCTCGTATACTGATTTAGTTGGCGTTGGTAAGTTGAGAGTAAAAGTTTTTTATGCTTCGAAACTAGCAAACAAATATGGTGTTGTTCTTTTTTTTTTATTTCTAAGCTTAAATTCTACATGAAATTCACTTAGATTTCATTGTCGCTTTCTTACTTACACACCTGACTCTCGCCAAAGCTGCTGCTATGTCCAGATACATGACCTTTTTTATCGCTATGTCTATGCCCACCTATCGTTGTGGCCATCAACAGTTGTTTACCTTGACACAAGTGAACCTTCAACAGTTCCTGAGCGGTTTTCACGGAAAGGATAAATATGGAATTTTCTTTCAGTCGTTCTTTAGTTACTTCATATTCTCTTTACGATACTTTTGTGTTGCTCTAAGCACATTTGAGCGTGAGGTTTTAACTTCTGCGGATTTATACCGCCAATTATTACACTCGAAGTGTTTAATGTGCATCTGCAATTCATGTAAAGAAACACGCTTTTGAGTTTTGAAGACGTTTAAGACAACTGGCTTGCCCGAGTTCCCAACACCATGATATTAACTGAATCCGTTTGCTTCCTTCTCTAAATTCCGTGTTGAAGTGGCTCACTTCGCAGACTTGGCAGATCAGCTTCGAATCAGCATAGATACAAGGATGCGACTAATAGGGCCGAGATGATGGCATCGAAACGGCGCTGTAGAACACTGGCAAAGTGGGAACTCTGCAACTTGCATGTTATGAAGCAAACAAGTATAGGCAGTTATTATTAATGTCGATTTTCAAACCATCATTTCTAGAGGTATCCATATTCTCAGAGGCTTCACAGTAAAAGTGCATGGCACAACGATGGTTCTAGGGACGACGGCGATGTGTCCTGTACTATCCAGACGAATACCTTACAGTGACCCTACACCGCTTTTAATATTTTGCTACTCAGTACTCGGTTGTAGTAGTCTTGTTCATTTATTATGTATACTACGGAACAGAGTTGATTCTCCAACTGGGGGTCCGGCCTGAACTACTTAAGCGGCAGACAACCGTATCGGCCAGGCCCCATCTAAGTACATGCTTTCATTCTTTCTACATTTGGGTTAGAAATCTCTATATTGGTGTCCTCTGCAAGAAACTGACAGAAACCCAAGCCCGCAAACGGCTTGTAATTGCTGAACGAACGATTAGTTTCTCCAGGATCATTAATTCCGACACCTTTAATACAGCCTGGAAGAACACGGAATCTGACGACAACGTTAACAGCGTTCGAGGCGGTAGAAATACCAATCAGTGAGTCCAGGTCGAGAAGTCTCACAAATCTATTCGCTATACTGTTGATGAAAGGATAAACACTCCAGCAGCGATTCAAACGCTTGATAAATCGACCTACTATAGCAATTACATATAGCATAATATGATGATGATACGATAAACGTAGTGATAATATCACGACAATGGATAAGACTGATGGAGACGGAATCAATTGCAAATCGGGAACCTGTACAATATTACCATCTTTGAATTATTGATGTTTCTACAGTCCGTACACTCTACTTTTATACAATATTATTATTAAATTAATGTTTATAATTATCGATATTATTGTTATTATGTATCAATATACTACATCTGGGTTTCTACTACCTCTATAGCTTATGTCATAATTTTGCATTTTTGCTAGCCGTCTAACCGTAATATATAAACGTATAGGCTATATACACTACAGTTACACATGATAATATTGTTGATATACCAATCACATCATTGACAACCATTATATCGTAGAGGTAATGTACAACGTATGTTAATTCAACTGTTGTTGACCAATAACTTTTTGTATATATATATATATATATATATATATATATATATATATTATGTCGCTGCACAGTCTCTTTCGATGGCGATAGATAGCTTTTTCATCAGTAAATGTTTTATACCTATGGAACATTGCACTCATGAAGAGGACACACATTAATATATAACGTAATCTTGTTTAGTCTTAGCACCCGTCGGTAGTAACGGGTTGTGCTAGTGACGCGTGTTTCTGCTTTCAAGAAGGTAGAATATTAGCCCCGTAGATATAGTGTTCGAATTTGGTAAGAAAACCTTTTGGGATGCAGTTGTTTTCTTTGCTAGTATCACCAGTCACGAATGCTTACCACCCAGAATTGTGATGCTTTATTTTGTCTGTCTTCAAAACTCTGTTTAACACTCCGATGTCTGGTGGATTTTACAGGAAGTTCAGCTTTTTTTTTTCTACTCGTATTCTCATAGTCCTAGATAACCAGGCAGGCCTATTACGTACCCGCAGGTATAGGCTATGCATTGGGCTTACGTCTGGTGCGTACGCCTGTAAGGTTCACTCACCGTTCGTGAAACGAGATTGAGGGCGTCAAATCGTCTATCACATAGAGCATGGGATCATTGTGGCCTAAAACATATGCGATAATATTTTAACTGAGTGGCATCAGCATATCTTGAAATGTTTGGGAAATTTAAACGATTACAGTATTTGAGTGAAGGTATTTCCCTGAATTCTGGTTTGATTCGTACACGTAATACAGCATACCTGGACGTTAACCCGTTTTGTTCGTTTAAGTGGGGTGCAGAAATATGACCACAGTTCAAGCGAACCTAATAGCAAAAATTGCCCAAAATCGCTCAACTGCAAGTACATAGACTCGACAAAAAATCAAGGCCGTTTAAAAAATTGTAAAAAAAAAAAAAACTTGTTAACTATGTCCATGGACAGTGTGAGCTGTGTCTTTAACTTGTGTCTACTCTGTAAGCATGTAACTGCAAGGGGTATTGTCTACGCTAAATTGAGCGTTATATGTAACAAGTACTTGGTTAGTTCAGCTGATTTATCTGTTCATGTTACGCTCATCGTGTCATCACAGCGGACTCCATTAGAATATCAGTTATGCTCACGCTATGTAAAATAAAGCCCTCCTATCAGCTTTTGTATCCGATATAATGGCTACAATTTTGCTTTTAGCGCCGTATTAAGACGTAATGAGAATTTGCCCTGCTATTGCTGTAACACTGCGACGACACCTTTCGTTTCATAAAATATAGGCCAGCTTATCGCGTTTAACGGTTAGAGTGAACATAGTCATAATATGACATTCAGACCCTGATTTATGTACCGGCTTCTTTCAATGTCTGTCTTGTTGACGTCGTTCGGTAAAGTAGGCTCGTGCATCCACAAAGCTGCGTAATGCATGAACAGCATGCATAGATAGAGAGAGGCAGCCAAACTGCCACAACGGCCACCTATGATGAAATACCAACCCCTTAAGTAATAATAAATAGAGAGACAAAAATATGCACTCAACAAATAACTACCCCCTATGCAACACCTTCAGATAGATCGTATAGTAGTAATCAGGTTAGTTTAACTGTGTCCCGCATTTGTATATATTGAATGGATATAGAATAACGATGTGGCGATGAAGCAAAATGAAGGGGAAGATAACCGACCACTACAGAATCGCTAGACTTGGCCAATGTCCAGTGTTCAATATCCACTTAGATGGAATGATATATATATAGAAGTGCCGGTAAAATGAAGTTGTATATCTTTATCACTATTATTGCACAAACCTCAGACAAACTAGTGATATTTCCGTACCGAGACTGCCTTCTCTCTTAGTATTGCATACCCTATGTTACCAAAAAGATATCACGGATGCTTTCTTCCTATATATGTATATCCTCTTAAATTTAACATGAAAACTGTTAGGGTTCAAGCTTAACACAGTACATTGAGCTGTTAAATGAACGGGATCAAAGAAATAGCTCTGAGAGCTTCAGGAGGATAGGCCTGCTGCCCAGTTGACTGTTGTATCTCAAACGAGAATAGTCATTAAATATATGGTGCTATTAGTTATGTCTCCAAGCAAATCTGCCGTCAATCAACCCATCATTCTAATCATCCCATGAAACTATTCTGTCAAAAAAATATCCATTTGTAACAGCGAGTCTATCTTATAAGATCCATATCCTGAATCTACCAGGAATAAAAAAGAAAAAATTTATATATATATATATATATATTGTGAATTGTGCTCGTGCACTTTGCGGCGTTTGAAAAATGGCGGCGCGAAGTAGATCGAATGGAATCAGTATCCTATAGTGGCTACTATTGTTTCAACTTACGGCCAATACTAACGATGTCTATTTGACCGAGGAAACTAGATCCTAGAGTTAACTACCGAATCGTTATCCTGTTAACCGCCTTACAAACAAACAACCCTAATCACCAATTGTTATGGCATTGAAAAGTAATGGAAAACATTTCCACCGCCTATAGTACACATCAGTCGGCTAGAAACACCTTATAAAACTTGTGCAGGGTCGCACATCGATTGATCACTGATCGATTATTCAGCAATGGCGCTCACCGGAATTAGTATGTGATAAGAGCGAGCATCGATGTGAAGAGCATTGGATAATAACAACGCTACGATCTATCTGTAGCCGCTGTGACGCTGGCGTTCAGCACCGAACAAAGCAGGATGCAGCAATGTAGAAAAAGAAAACGTAAATTACAACGATGAGGCCAATTCGAATGTTCGAGCTCAATTGTTCAAATCGTCTTGATCATTCAGATCCCTAACAGTAAATGTCGAAGGTCTGCCTCGATAAAAACACCGCACCTGTTCTGTCTATTTTCCAGCAAAAGTTAAACAAGTGTTGCAGTTAAAATCGCGCGATCAACGGCCTGATTTTTTCCTAGCATGTTTTGTTTCAAAGGTCGTGAGATCTATTCCATCAGTTCCGTTAACAAGCGGACAATGTAACGACTACTGAAGATTTTGTTGCCCAATTTAATCACTAGCAGCACCTCTGCTAAACACTCGTGCGAGGTTCATATCAAATTGATCTGTTTAGCCATTTGTTGTATCCGCGCTCGAAGGGTGATTTACGACAGATCTCCTCAGGTAACACGCCTGGAAGCCAGAAACATGTATAGTAATTATAAAGAAAAAAACATCTCTTTGAAACTGAATAATAGTTTGCGTCGTTGGCGTATGATAGGTTATTTTGGCAACAGAAAAGAATATAGTTGCATGTAGCGAAATTAAAGGGACAACTAATATCTTCGGTCACCCAGCTGCAATTTATATCCCCCTACATATGGACCTTTTGTTAACAGTTAGTGTAAATAAAATAACTAACTATATACAGAGCTGAATGGGTAACGTCTTTATATCGACGAGGATACAAAACCATAAATGATTCAGCGTTCGGCCATATGAAATCTTCAGATCAAAAGCTTGTTGACTGAGTGGCCGCTAGTGTGCAGAATGATCTGTGTGACATAAATGCCGGCTTTGTTCCTCGGAAGAGACGTTATTATTGAACGATTGAAAGCCGATTAGCGAAGTCAGATTAGGAAGCTTATTTTAGGACTAGCACTACCTTCTACTATTGCATTACCAGTTTTTCTGTAGAATTCGCTGAATTGACGACGTATATTCGGATGGTGACGACTGGTTACGTCTGAAAAAGCAGCAGACCATTAAAATTACGTATAGTACATAGTCCGGATATAGAAGCACACACGTGACATTTTTTCTGCATGCACGTTTTTCGATGTCGGTCGGAACCCTGTATGGGTATAGTTAGTGAACACTGATGATTCGGCTAACAACGACTAACATTTTAAACTTAATCTTCAAGTTCAAGCTAAAAAAAGATTTCACCAGTTGTAATCTTGGATCGTTTGTATCAATTGATTATCTCACTCAGAGCTTGAATCCAGAAGTTCTCGTCGATTACAGCCACCTGCTCGTACGCATCAATACAAGCGGGAATCGTTAATAGACTACGAAAGAAAGCATATTTTACCTTAATATAACAGACTGTGACGCGGGCTATTTCGCTGGTACCGAACGGTGATCGTTGTTCTATCCGATTTTCTATGCATTACTTTGCCGGTTATTGTAGATGTATATATATATACACGTATATATTGTAATTTTAACATAGTGTCGGTTGTCATCTTACGCTGGCTCGTATGATTACTGTCAGCCTCTATAGGTCTGGCAGGGCGCCACACGGGGCGGCAGCTGCCGTCATCGATGTCGTTGCATGCAGATGATGGAAGTGCGGATGCTGATGTGCAGTGAGTGGATGCCCAAACTGTAAAAGAGGAGGTGGAGCTCCCAACGGAAGAATCAGTCCACCGCCGGCGTCCGCTCCGGGGCCACTTCGTGCCGCTGCAGCGGCGGCAGCGGCGGCCGCCAGTAGAGGTGCCAGCAAGGCTGCGTCGTTCATGCGCGATTTATGTCTGCAAATACAACCAAAGATATGTACAGAGATAAGAAAAAATACAGGCCTTTTTTCTAAATACTTGAAAGAAGCGATGGTAATGTCGAATTAATCTATAAGAAACTTGAAGGCAAGTGGCGAACTCACTGATGAGCGTAGTTCATAACTTACCTTTATAACATATCATGTAGGCATTAAGCCGGCATTTTGCTTTTTTTTTTTTTAATTACTTGGCGACTTATCGTAGCTTCACTCAAAAATGTTGCGGTAATATTAAAGATTATTTTATTAATATTCTTACCTGCGAAAAAGACTTGTTAGAACCTGAAAGAATTATTCCGGGTCAACTTCTAGAGCACGTACAAAGAAAATTGTCGGAATTCGAAGGGGAATTCCCTGGTCAAGTTTAAAATAGAATTCCTACGTACAAAAAGGAATTATTAGAACTCAAAAGAGTAATTCCTAGTCAGGTTTGACGACAGAA